ACAGCACGTGCATTCAATACGCGTGTCTTATAGCAGCCTCGCTGTCATGTAACTACGGCATATGCTGCCAGGAGTTTGTCGTGTGGCTGGCTGTCGGCGCCGACGCCAGCCATAGCCACGGCAATGCGTTGTCCTGTTGTGCCACTGCCAGCGCATTTGCATTTCCTAGACGTCACGCAACATTGCACTGTGGTCGTAGTGCCCCCCGCTCCCAACATGCAGCGCCTTTCGGTTCTGAATGCAGTGCACGGTGATGGGGTTTCATGCAGCTGGGTGAGGCTTGAAAACAAGCCTGTTTCTCCTGCTTGTCCTCAACTCTCACTCAGCCGAGCATGGACCGTATCCCTCCCAGCGTCTGTTTTCCCAGCGTTTAGACTATGGCCGTCCCCGCCGGCGGACCATGCAATGCGGAGCCCGTGCTTACGGCGTTAGACTTCCTAACGCGGGGCAAGCATATCGCTTCTGTTGCCCCACCGATTGCGTCGACCTCTGCTGCGGTCCCTTTGCCTGAAGGCGATGCTCCAATCTCGGTAAATGGCGACCATTCCGTGCCATCAACCGCTACCCCTACTACGCTAGTAACTTCTCGGATGCCAGACAACGGTGCAAATAAGAGCATCCCTGCAGTATCTGTCGCTACTACCTCTCTCAGTGCTAACCCCGTCTTGCCCGACAGATCATTAAAGAAGCGGTATAAGCAGCGGGTTCTCACCGTCGGACGTCCGGGCGGTCCGACTCAGCCAGCACCGTCAGTTCTTCCGCCTCCCGCAGAGCCTGAACCCACGAATGAAGACTTCGAAGATCCGAAAGGCAAGCAGCTGTTGGTTGAGGAGCTTCAGTTGAAGTGCAAGCAGCAGTGGCAGCGGTATTTTCCTTGGCTTCTCATCTCCGAAAACAAGGTCGGCCGCCCCTACATGCGCTGCAGCGTCAGCATGGTCTTCGGGAACCCCAACTACAAATACGGGCGCAACGGCGATGGTGGCATCGACATTCAGAAGCAGACGATGCGCAAGCATCACCACAGTCTGAAACATGAGGCCGCGGTCTTGAGGAAGGAGGAGCGCGACGGCGTGAAGAAAGTGCAGAAGTCCATTGCTGACTTCCACCGGGGGACGATGATGTCAAGCGTCTTGCTCGCTTGATGGCTATCGTGTTATTCATTTGCAAGTCTGACGCTCCCATTGTGCTATTCGTGGCTTTGGTTCAATTCATGGCAGAGCAGGGGACTCCGGATCCGCCCCTGAAGGAGAACGGGACGTACTACAGCGAGTAAGTGTCCCGTTCAAAACTTCTGCTTTGTGTTCCGTGGGTTTACGATACTAACGAGTTTTAACCCCGCGTGTCTCAGGTACAGCTTCGCACAACTGGTCGAGACCATGGTGTGCTACCTGAAGTCCCGCCAGCTGAAACACATCCGCGATAGTCCGTACCTTGGCATCCAGTTGGACGAGAGCACCGACCGACGGCGGGGGAAACACATGATCATCTATTTGACGTTCATGTTTGACAACGCTCCCGTCACTGAGTTCTTCGCCTTGCTCACTATGGATCAGTGTGACGCCGCGTCACTCACTACAATTCTCTTGACTCATCTGGAGAGTACCGGCATCGACCTGATGCGCCTCACCGGTATGAGCACTGATGGTGCTTCCGTCATGCTTGGACAGCACAACAGAGTCACAGCGCGCCTCAAAGTCAAGGTTCCTCATCTTGTGTCGTCCCACTGCATTGCGCACAGGTAAGTTTGTTGCTTCGTGTTTTCCATACTTAAAAAAAAAAAAAAAAAAAAAAAAAAAAAAAAAAAAAAAAAATCCCCGTGCTAATGTTACGTTCCGTTGTCTTGCAGGGAGGCCTTGGCGGCCAAGGATGCTGCCACCGCGCATCCGGACTTCAACATCGTGGACAAGGTGGTCCGTGCCGTAGCAGAGAACCTTGGTCGCTCTTCTGTTAATCACGCCCGCTTTCAAGAGCTTCAGGAGGTCATTTGCGAGACCCACCTCGAAGTCCAAGGCATCAAGGACGTCCGATGGTTGTCTCGTAGTGACGCCATCCAGCGCCTGGTGAAGGTGTTTCCTGCAGCAGTGATGGTCTTGCACGAGACAAACAAGAAGATGTATCAAGTCGTAACGAGCTACAAATTCCATTTCCTGCTGTTCTTCCTTGCTGATGTCCTGAAGGAGCTCAACCTTCTCAGCTTGAAGTTTCAGCGGCGCCAGGTGAGCACGTTTCTCAACTTACTGTTTGTTGTTTTACTTTACTTTTAATAACATCCTGCTGTTGCAGCCCCGTTTACAGGTCGACGCAACCCATGTGCTGCCGATGGTGCACAACACCACCTTAGTGCTGCGCACACGTTACCTCGACTGCGACGACGCGACTTTTGGCCAAGCTGGAAACGCGTTGGGCCCGTTCCTTGACAAGCACGCATCAGGGGAGTTCCGTGAGGTCCTCGTTGCTGGCACAGCTTCCGACGGCACATCGGTCAGCCATCGATACCGACTGCACGAGGAGAAAATCAAGGGGCAGAAAAGTGGTGTGGACCACCAAGCGTGTTTGGGGCTGGCGCGCGAGTTCATCACGACCTTGGTTGGTCGGCTCGACTACCGCCTCAAGGATCTTTCACACCTCGACGGGGCGAAGCTGTTCAAGCAGGGATCGTATCCCAAGAACCAGGCAAAGCGTGAGCGAAGGCTAGGCCAATGGCTCCAGTCTCTGCGCAACATGTTCAAGAAGAAGTCAGAAGACCCTGATACTCTACCAGGTGCGTCAAATGCCGGGAATGTGCTGCTATAGTCTTCAGAATTCTCTTTCAGCTGCATGTTTCAACCCTTTATGATCTCCTGTCTCACTGTCCCCATGCGCACCCCAACCGCAGGCATCAACTGGGCGAGAGCGCAAAGGGAGATCATCACCTTTTCCACAAACATGGCCTCACACCAGGAGGATGTTGGGTTTGCGGACGGCCTTAAGCTCATGCTGTCCTCCCCCGACTGGGCGACATGCTACCCGAACCTTGTCCACCTGTGGATGGCCGTCGCCGTGCTTCCGCTCAGTACCGTCGAGTGTGAGCGCGGCTTTTCACGGCAGAACATCATCAAAAGCTGGCTTCGCGGGAACCTGTGCGACGCGAAGCTAGGAAAGCTGATGGCCGTCTCGCTCCTTAACTACGACATGGAGTGGCCCGAGTTACTGAGGAGGTGGAATGCTTCCAAGAAGCGCAGGCCTGCGAATGATGTGCTGATAGCGTCCGGGGAGAGACCGAGCAAGCGTGCGAAGAAAAGATCGGCCGAAGCTGCAGCAGCAGCAGCAGCAGCAGCAGCAGCACTGGCAGCAACAGAAGCGGCTGCTCGAGAAGCGGCCCTAGCAGCAGAAGCAGCAAGGATGGATGCTGAGTACCCGTGGCTTAGTAGGAAAGAAAGGGCCACTGTCCCAGAGTCAGTGGTTAGCGAGGATGATACTGATAGCAATGAAGTGTACGGCTCTAGTGACTCTGACTAAGTCCTTTGCTACTGCAGCTAGGTTGTTAGGTACTATGAGTAGACATGCTGGTAGGATTACAGTAGGTTGACTTTTAACAGGATTTTTTTTTTCGTCTTATTTATCAGACTAGAAAAACTAGTCCAACTTATAATGCAGACCATGTAAATTTCGTCGTCCGAGCGTAAGACGGGGAAAAAAAATTTCAGGGTACTGTCAGACAGCCCCAAAACCTAGCGAGAGCCCTGGCAGGAAACCGCTGTCAGAATCCCAACCACTAGACCATTGGGATAAAAGGGCTTATTTCAGTAGCGGGTCAGTGCGCCCATAACCCCCCAGGCAAACGCGCCTGTAACCCCCCCTAGGATCGATCGGGGATCTCACAGTGTAGCTCTACTGACACCCCCCCACACTGGGAGGCCCAGGACTAAGCACAGCGGCACCGGCCTACATGTGCATACACCGGGAATCCAACCCGAGACCGCCCGCTCTGATACCATGTCAGAATCCCAACCACTAGACCATTGGGATAAAAGGGCTTATTTCAGTAGCGGGTCAGTGCGCCCATAACCCCCCAGGCAAACGCGCCTGTAACCCCCCCTAGGATCGATCGGGGATCTCACAGTGTAGCTCTACTGACAACCGCCACGCGCCTCGAGCGCGTGACGGGCAGGGCGCGTGGCGGGAAGAAAAAACGTCGCGCGCCAGGGGGTGCGCGACAGACAAGACAACAGCGGAAGCATAGTAGGCACAGGATCGATGTGCTCTAATACCATGTTGAAATAGTAGACATAGCTAGGACTAGTAGTCTAGGGTTTAACATAGGCAAGGCAGAGTTGTCCAAGCAAAAGAGGGGTTGTACTATAGAATGAGAAGTACAAATAGAGGAGAAGCATGCAAGGAGTGGTGCAGCACCACAGAGAACACCTATGTGACTACACTACAGCTAGAACTACATGCACTTATACAAAATATATATATATATATAATATTCTGACAAAAACCTGGTAGGCACGAGATGTCGCTGAGAAAGTGACAGTCTCAAATCACTTGATCGAATACTCTTATCAAGCTTCCATAGCTTCATGTAAAGAAGGGTTGGGTTGCGTAGACATCTAATATTCCCGTCCCCTTCCTCCAATCAGTTATGACTGTGGATGTTTACGTTATGATGTATTGCAACCTTAACAAAGAATATGTTAGTGTGTAAAAGTGATACCTGATGATATATTGGTTATGAGATTATTTGTGATAGCATTCAATGTGAAAATAAGATACGCTAACTAAGCATGTCTTTGCTTTTGTGATTGTAAGCGATAGAGAGGCCGCTGTTACGGAACGACTGCACGGTTTTGTGATCTGGCTGATTCGGGGACAAGTGATCATTCTTCAGATGCCTAGATCCCTGATTCGGGACCTGTGTACCTCCGTTCGTCAGCATGCCGCCCGTCCGTGGCGCTTTAGGCTCGCCGACCTCACCGCCAGGAGTGCAGACAGCTTCGTGGACTCGACGAATTGCCAGAATGCCTTTTTGGGCGATCCTTGTTCTTGTTGTCGTTGCTGCGACTGGGTCGGACGCGACCAAGCCGAAGCCAATCAGCATTTCGCTGCGCGCCAAGTGGGAGGGAACACCACTCCTTCTAGAGGCAGGGTGAGTCGCCTTGGTGATGCCAGATCTTGTAGTTTTCGGAGCTTTCCGCCTACGCGCGACTTCAGCAGCGCACCTCACTCGGTGGAGTGGCATGCAACCATCGTTATGACAAGATGCGTGATCCAAGGGGGGGTGCTTGGTGGAGCCGCGCTACTGCGATTCGTCTGCGGTCGCTCGCCAGGCTTACCTTATCCTTCTTGCGATGCCTAGCTGTCCTGAGCCTTTCTAAAAACCGCGACGCTGCTTGCTTGGTGTATGAATCCTCGTTGCCGAATCGGCCCACTTCGGCTCGCTACATCGCCGTTGTCAATTTTGTCTTTTTCCCGCCGTACCTCGCTGGAACAGTGCCGAATGTCCTACGTTTTTGTTGGGATTGCTGGCCCGTTGCTCAATTTCCTGAGTGGTGAAACATAAGCTGTCCTTGCACATTCCTTGTGGGATGCTGAATTGATGCCCGTATATTCCCTCCTCACTCTCCCCCTCTCTCCCCCTGTCCCCCTGCATCGACCCATCGCCAGCGAATTCTTAGCGCGCGAGGACGCGGCTCTCTACTGGAAGTTCCTCGCCGCCTGGCCGCACGCGTCGCCCGATGCCAACTCCTCCGCGCGCCCCGCTTCCGCCGCGCCGTCCCCGTCCGACGGCGACTGCCTGGACGCGCTGCTGCGCGTCGCCTCGTCGTTCCTCGCGCCCCCCCTAGCGCCGCTGCTGCGCCTGGCGCTCGCCATGCGCTCGCTCTCGCCCGCGCTGCTCCTGCACCGCCAGCTCGCGCGCCTCTCGCTCTCGCAGGCGGGGCTGCTGGGCCCCCACGGCGCGCAGGAGGGAACTGCGGAAGGGGAGCAGGCGGGGTGGGGCGCAGGGGGGGGCGATGGGGGCGAGAGGTGGCGGGTGAGTGAGAACCCAGCGGCGCCCAAGGGTCACTGCTGCTGGGTGGAGCTGCAGGGGAAGGTGCTGCTGGGGGAGGCGGAAGTGGCGGCGGCACTGGCACCAGTGCAGGCGGAGGAAAGGTGAGGGTTCCCTCTGGACGGGACTGGCCTCTGCCCTGTGCCTGCGATGGTTGACCCTTCACCTCGCTCACCGTCCCTCACTCGCACATCTCTACCCTTCACAATCCATGCATGCATCCGTCCCTCCCATCCCACTCTTAGTGTCACTCGCTTTGCTCCCATCAGCACTCACTCTACTCTGTGTCTTATCAGCATCCTCATCAGTGTGACCCCGCCTCGCATCACCTCCCTCAATCGCGCCCTCCCCTCCCGCTCTTGCTGCACCGCACTGCCCTCCCCTCATCGTGGTGCCAGCGCCCCATCGGCCGCGCCAGCAGCGGAGCACGGGGCGGCGGTGCACGCCTTCGACCACGTGTACCCCTCCGCCTCTGCCGCCGCAGCCTCGCACCACGCGCCCCCCCCCGCCTTCCTCTATGCCAGCCCCGGCTCTGCCTGCTTCGCCGCCCTGCTGCCCCTCCTCTCCGCTGCTGCACACCAGGTAACGCTGCTGCACACCAGTAACGCTTCTGCTTGTGCTGCACGTGTACTGCTCGTCAGCCCTGCTAGCATAGTCTTGTGTAGTGCGGTCCTCTACTTTGTTCTCTCGTTCCCTCCCTCCCTCTTCCCTTGCCTTCCCGTCCCGTTTCATCGGTCACTCTTCTTTTCCAAAAATCTTTCTGCTCAACCACATCTGCCCCCGCCCCCTTTCCCTCCCTCCTTTCACCGCCCGTGCGGCAGGGCGCCATCCGCCTGGTGCTGCGGCCGGTGCTGCCAGCGGGCTGTGAGCAGCACGTGGAGCGGTGTGCGGCGGTGGGGGCGGGCGGGCGGGTGAGTCTGGGCGGGTACGGAGTGGAGCTGGCGCTGAAGAACATGGAGTACAAGGCGCTTGATGACAGCAAGCTCCACAAAGGTCCGCCCTGTGTCCCCTCCCTTTCTCCCTCCCATTGCTGCTTGGAGCACAAGCAGCTGGGTGATGCGGTATGTGGTGGCTGGCGCGGCATGGCCAGATAATTTGTTGCTTGCAATGATTCCCACTTTGCTCTCTGTGGCGCTGTCAATGGCCCTTGCTCCATGGGGCGATCGCCTTGTGAATACCCACGAGATCGCCTCTGCACCATGCATGTTCATGTGAGCTGAGCACTATGCATTGCATTGCTTTGGATGTGTGCGGCATGGATGGCCATGTGTGTGGCACGCAGACGGTGCAGGGCAGGCAGCAGCAGAGGGGTTGGCTGATGACTTGGCGCAGCCAGTGAAGGGCTTTCTCTTCCACACCCTTGTGGTCAGTCCGTCAATGGCTGCTCTTTTCACGCACATGCTTCTCATTCCTTTTCATAGTCATCTGTTGTGAGGAACTTTCACATGTAAGTGGCATTGCATCCTCAGCTATTGCTGTCAACCGCGTGCCTTATCGTGTCATCTCTCTCGACTCCCTTGCACACATGCATCCCCTTCACTATGCGCCCATGCCATCTTGCCCGTGTTCCTCCTGTTCCTCCTCCATTTCCCCCTCTCTCCTCCGCCAGCAACGGTACCCTGAGCAGACGGGCGAGCTGCTGACGTTTCGCGACCAGCTGCTGGCAGCAGAGGAGATCCGCGACGAGTACAACGTGTGGGAGCTCAAAGGTACAACGTGTGGGAGCTCAAAGGTACAACGTGCGGGAGCTCAAAGGTACAACGTGCGGGAGCTCAAAGGTACAACGTGTGGGAGCTCAAAGGTACAACGTGTGGGAGCTCAAAGGTACAACGTGTGGGAGCTCAAAGGTACAACGTGTGGGAGCTCAAAGGTACAACGTGTGGGAGCTCAAAGGTACAACGTGTGGGAGCTCAAAGGTACAACGTGTGGGAGAAAAGAAGTGTGCAGTGCAATTGTAAGGGTGTTCTCCAAGGTACCAACCAAGTGCAGTTAGTAAGTGTGTGTAGACCAGCCCAACCAGAGAGGGGTAATAGCTAGCTTGCAAAGCGTTGGGCAGCAGAGGCTAGCTAGCTTCTGGTGTGGCAGCCTCCATATGTATGTGCTGTGCTGACACATGTATCCTCCCGCTCACACTGCCCCCCAGACCTGGGCATTCAGGCCACTCAGCGCATTGTGGGGGGAGCAGAGCCTCTGCGGCTGATGCAGGACATCAACCAGAACTTCCCCAAAATCATGGCCTCCCTCGCCAAGACCAAGGCACGCGCTGCTCGCTCACCATTCCCTCCTTGTGCCGATGACAAAGGTCTCCAATACATTGTGTTGCAATGCTCTGCTTGCTTGTGCCATGCCTTCTTTCCCTCCCTATCGCCCCTCCTTTTAATTTCTGCCTGTTTCCTTGCTTTCTACCATCCCCTTGGCGTCAACCTCCTGCCCGGTGCTCGCCCGTGTTTGTGCCTCGTGCTATGAGTGAATGCGAGCAGGTGGACAGCACGGTGGAGGAGGCGGTGCAGGAGATGCACGGCATGGTGCAGGCAGGGCGCACCATCGTGGCACTCAACAGCATCGCATTCAACCTCGCCACCCTCGACATCTTCACGTACAGACCCACGCTCCTCCCGCCACTCACTAGCACACACCACTCAGTACCTCACACCACCCCTGCCTGTGCCGGTCATGTGAGCATCTCTATTCCTGCAGCAGCTCTTATATATTCATCTCTTGCTCCCACTCGCCTGTTCTCTCCCCCTCCGCGCACACCAGTCTGTTGGAAGCCGTGCAGGCCGAGCTGTCGCTTGGAGCACAGCTGCTCTCTCTCAAGGTGAGCCGTCCTTTTTCTCACTGCTTGCTGTGTCAGCTGTATGCAGCTGCACTGGCCATTTCTCGCTGGCCTCGCCCTGCCTCCCCCCCACCATCTACGAGTCTTCTCCCCAGGTTTCTACTCTCGCCTACCATCACCCCCCCCGTCTCTCTTGCCATCCCTATTTCCTCATGCCCTGTCTCCCCGTGCACCCCCCTCGCCACCCACCAGCTGCCAGCGCCAGTGGTGCGGCAGCTGCTGCATCTGCCACCGGCATCGGCGGCGCGGGAGGAGGGGGGATCGCCGCGGCTGGACTTCCGGTCGCCGTGGCACGTGCACTTCTTCAATGACCTTGAGCGAGACCGCGAGTACCGCGGCTGGTCGCCCAACATGCATGAGGTGCGCTGGACGTGCTCTCACTGCATGCTGCTGCACTGCCCACTCCTGCTCATCACCTTGACAGCCCCTTATGTGTCCACCAGCTTCACCTTATCCTTATTAGTCCGTAGCATTGCTCAAACGTGTGCTATTCTGTGCTCTCAACTCAAGCATGCAACTCTTTTTCAACTCCATGTTGCTTTTCAAGTTTGTGTGTGTTCATGTGCATGTGTGCGTGTGTGCATGTGGTGGCAGCTGCTGATGCCCATGTACCCAGGCCAGTTCCGTCCCATCCGCAAGAACATATTCCATGCTGTCTTCGTGCTCGACCCCATGCACCCTTCCACACCAAAGGTGGGTACTGCCATGCCATGTACCCCCCTAGGTGCCTCCTTTCATGTCCCCCGTTCCTTTCCGCTTGCATTGTCCTGCCCTCTGCTCAGCTGGTTGATATCACCGTCTGTCCCCACCACTCTCCAACCTCCTCTCTACCCGTCGCTCCTTCCCCCTTTCTCCCCCTTTCTCCCCCTTTCTCCCCCTTTCTCCCCCTTTCTCCCCCTTTCTCCCCCTTTCTCCCCCTTTCTCCCCATTTCTCCCCCTTTCTCCCCCCCACTCCCCCCCCCCCACAGGCAGTGGCGCACATCCACAAGCTGCATCAGGGCAGCATGCCCCTCCGCATGGGGGTCATCCTCGCCTCCTCCGCGCGCCTCCTCACCCTCAACGACCCCTCCGCCCCTCCGCCCCACCATGACCTCTCCGAACTGGTGCGGCGCCCTCCTGCCCGCACCCATGTCACACCCCCAGCTCTCCTGCTCTCGCCCCTCCCCTCTCCCTCTCGCCCTCTCCCGCAGCATTTGCTGATCAATCCGTCCGTATCTTTGCTGTTAACACCTTTCCTCCTTGCCCACCTGTTTGCTTATGCCAGGCTGATTGTCCTTTCTGGTTCGCCGTCCACATCCTTCCTCCGTGTTATGCATGCCCATCCCACCCCATGCACGCATCCATGCACGCCACACAGGCCATGGCGCTCTTCCTGCACATCAAGGACTCTGTCGGCGTCCGCCCCGCCTTCGACTTCCTTCTCTCGGTCAGCTCACCCGCCCTCCCCCACGCGTGCACGCTTCCTCCTCGCCACTTTTCCCTTGCCCCTCCCCCAACTCCCCCTTCTTTACACACTTGCTTCTGCATCTTCTTCGTTTCTGTCCGGCACTGGTCCTCACGTCCTTGCTTGCCTACACTGCCTTCTCTCGCCTCCTCTCCCTCACTCGCTCATCTCCCCATCAGATGTGGGGAGGCAGTGGAGCGGACGAATCGGTGGACGACTACGAGGACGCCATGGTCACGTTGCCGCTCCCGCAGTACACACCGCCCGACCAGCCCACCATGGAGGCCGCCTTCCTCCACACGCTCAGGTGGGCGTGGGAGAGCGGTGTGGTGTGGTTTGGTGTGGTTTGGTGTGGTGTGGGGTGGTGCGATGTGATGGGATGGGATGCGTGCAATGGGTAGAGGAGCATAATAATTACAATGATTCTTCCTGCATCAGGAATGCATTGCATGGGCCATATGGTGGGCCCTCATCTGCATCACGTCACTCACATCGCTCCATCTCACTCCCCCAAACCTTAACCTCATGGCTCTCCACTCGTCTACTTCTCGTCTTCTTCCGTAATCTCCCTCTCTGCGCCCACCAGTGCGGCAGCAGCCGTGTCACAGGGGGGATCGCTGGGCAGCGACGACGCCAGGAGGGCTGCGCTGGCATCAGTGCTGGCAGCAAGACAGCGGGTGGAGGGGGGGGATGCTGACAGTGAGGAGGGCGGAGGGGAGCAGGGGGGAGCAGGAGGGGGAGGGGCGGCGGCAGCAGTGTGGGCGCAGGTGGTGGGCAGCTCTCGCTTTGTGTCGGGGCTTGGCCTTGCAGACGCCATGCCATGCCTGCTCTTCAACGGCGTCTTCTACCCCTCGCCCAAGGTGGCATGACACCTGCCCCTGCTTCTCTGCATCTGCCCGTGTCCTGCTGTACCCTCGTTCAGCGATTTCCACTGAGGAGGCTCCAAGCTTGATGCACCCCATCAGTCCCACCAACCCTCGCGTTTTCTCTTGCTCTCCACTCCCCCTCACTACCGCACTGCACGGCACGGCTATGGCAGGTGCCAGGGGGCGCACTGGAGGCGATGCAGGAGGAGATGGAGGCGGTGCAGCGGGCTGTGTACTACCAGCAGATCAGAGGCTCCTCTGACGTCCTCGCCTTCTTCCTCGCCTCCGCTGCCAAGCGCTTCAACCCCGAGGCCAGTGCCCTTCGCTCGTTCCCTCGCCCTCCCATGCACGGCTCCTCTCTGCCCTCCCTGCTGGCCATGTGCCGCCTGCTACCTACTGCATCAAGAGCCCTTGCCAGCCCATCACTTGTGCACGCCACCTGTTTCCCCTCCTGAAGCAAGATCTTATTATTTCTCTCTCTGCCTCGCACTCGTCTTCCTCCCCCCCCCCCTCACCCACAGGTGGCCCTGCCAGCTGGCAAGACAGCGCCCTACGTGTCCCTGGCGCCTCCCATGGCTGCTGACAACCCCGCGCTCACGCGCCTCTCCTTCCTGCACTCGCCCGGCAGTGAGTCCCCCCCTCCTTGCCCCTCCCTCGCCGCTGCCACTGAAACTTTGACACTGCCCTTCCTGCGCCTTTGACTTGCCCTGCCTCACTTCATGCGCCATCGTTTCGTACCTGCCCGGCATTGCCTTGCCCCCACTTCCTGTCTGTATCGCCACATGTGTGTCTGCACGTTCCTTGGTGTCGTGTGCCCTGCTGTTGTGTGTGTGGGTGTGGAGTGGTGAGCAGCGGAGGACGAGGTGAAGCCCTTCTCTCACCTGCTCGCGCTGGACCTCTCATCGCACCAAGGGGTGGACCTACTGCTGCAAGCCGTGCTGCACCTGGTAATACCGCACTGCACCTGGAATGATGTACAGCATGCGAGTGTGTGTGAGCAGTCGTCTATCACGCCTGGCTGTGCTCATGCCGTGCACCTGCCCTCATGCCTACCATCCGTCCATCTTCCCGCTACTGCCCACCCACCCTTCGCCATGCAATCATGGCAGGAGAGCGAGGAGGGCACACATGCCCGAGTGGCCGTTCTGCACAACCCCCTGCATGCCCCCGCCACCGCCGATGCCCGCCTGCCACCTCTCGCATGGCGCCACCTCGTGCCGCGCCTCATCATGGCGGCCGTGCAGATGCCCAGGTCAGCTCACACGCCTGCTGCACCCCGCTTCAATGAAGCAACCAGTGCATGTTGACACACTGCTGCCGCTCGCCTCATGTCATGTCTTGCCTCTTATCCATTCACGTCCTTGCTCTAATTCGCCTCCCTCTAACCCCACCCTTTCCTCCCCCCTATTCCACCGACTGCCCAATTAGCCTCCTGTTCTCTCTCCTCCGTGCTCCTCCCCCCCAACATGCCCCATGCCTACCAGTCGCCGCAGCAAGCTCCCAGCCTTCCTGCGCAGCCTGCTGCAGCTGCCACTGCTCAGGACCGTGGTCTCGCGGACACACTCAGGCACCGAGGAGGAGGGGTGGGCCGGCAGGGGGGAGGTGAGGAGCGAGAAGGAAGGTCTGGAGCTGCTGGCGTCAGCATGGAGCATTGCTGACGAGGCAGGGCTGAACAGGGCCGAGTTGGAGCGTGCTGTGACGGGCGCTGGCGCTGCAGAGGCTGCTGCTGCGCACATGGCCCAGGTGAGGCCCTGCTGGGGAGAGCAGAGAGGTGGCTCCCTGCTGCGCAAATCTCCATGTCTCTGACTTTTATGTCGTTAGGAGCAGCAGTGCCACTGCTCTTTTCGTCGCTTTCATGTGCTTTACACACGGTCCGTCTCATTCTCTGTCCCATCCCATCTGCTCTGCTTGGCAGGATCGACTCTTTGTGAAGCAGCATTGCGGCGCCAGCCCGGGCAGCAGCGTCATCATCACCAATGGCAGGGTGCGTGCACCCTGCTCCTTCCTCCCGTATTCCACCATTCTTTCATTCCTTCTCTTACCTCCTCCCTTGCCCTGTCTCTCGCATTCACTTATGCACACCTCACTCGCTCTCACTCCATGCATATCCATCCGAACCACCTTGCATGCACCCACCACCCTGCATGTCTCCACCTTCCTCCTCGCCACGCGCACCATGAAGCACCTGCCCTCTCGCCCTCTCCCTCCCTCCCTATCTGCCTCTCTCCCCTCCCCTCACCCCACCAGCTGTTGGCACCGCAGCACCGCTTTGTGGCGGCGGACTTTGCGCTGCTGGAGGAGGTGGAGTCAAAGCGAGTCAAGCCAGCGCTCTCCGTGCTGCAGGACCTGCCCTCCTGGCCGCACCTCCCGCCCGACCTCCCTCTCAGGTGCGAGCGGGACTGGCGCAGGCACGGTAGGGCGTGTGAGGGCAAGTTGCATGTTCGTTCTTGCAGATTTATTTGACATTGCAGATTTATTTGACATCCTTTGGTATGCAGTGTGCATTGCGTGGCACTGACTGTTGATATTCCACGTGTGGTCGTCTTCACATGCATGCTTGTAAGGACTTTGGATGGCCATTTGGTGCTCAACATACCTGTTATCTACACTTTGCCTTACATCCCGCTATCCATATCATGCACCTCCCACCCACCCACCCACCCACCCACCCACCCACCCACCCACCCACCCGCCCACCCACCCACCCACCCACCCGCCCACCCACCCACCCACCCCACCCGCCCCTCATGCAGTGACCACGTGTCGGGCATGGCGATGGTGGTGGCATCAGCGCTGTCATCAGCAGAGAGGGCCAGCGGTGACTACGTGCAGTTCGCCCGCCTCACTGCCAGCCCCAGGTGCTCCTCTCCTCGCCCGCCTCACTGCCAGCCCCAGGTGCTCCTCTCCTCGCCCGCCTCACTGCCAGCCCCAGGTGCTCCTCTCCTCGCCCGCCTCACTGCCAGCCCCAGGTGCTCCTCTCCTCGCCCGCCTCACTGCCAGCCCCAGGTGCTCCTCTCCTCGCCCGCCTCACTGCCAGCCCCAGGTGCTCCTCTCCTCGCCCGCCTCACTGCCAGCCCCAGGTGCTCCTCTCCTCGCCCGCCTCACTGCCAGCCCCAGGTGCTCCTCTCCTCGCCCGCCTCACTGCCAGCCCCAGGTGCTCCTCTCCTCGCCCGCCTCACTGCCAGCCCCAGGTGCTCCTCTCCTCGCCCGCCTCACTGCCAGCCCCAGGTGCTCCTCTCCTCGCCCGCCTCACTGCCAGCCCCAGGTGCTCCGTGCAGTGCTCGTGCCATCCTGCCATCCGCCAGCAGCAGCATCGTTACACCCTCCACACTCGATAAGCACTTGGTTCCTCACTGCTTGCACCTCTTGCCCGCTTCCAACTCACTCGTCACACCCTCTCTTTCCCGTCTTTCCCCCTGCCAACCCAAAGTACTCTCGTCTTACACATAAGCCTCTAAGCCTCTTTCTCTCCTTCCGTACCTCGCTCCTCCCGCCCCTTTCCCGTGTTTCCTTGCCAGCATCGGCATCATCCACAGCAACGACTCGGCACTGCTGCACATCGATGGGGTGATAGACCCGCTCAGTGCGGAGGCACAGCAGGTCACGCCGCTGCTGTTGCTGCTGCACGAGTGGTTCAACCCCTCCCTGCGCATCTTCATGAACCCCCTCGTGCGTGCCCCACCTGCTTGCCCTCTGCTCCACCTGCTTCTCTCTTCTTCCTGCCTTGTGCTGTGCTGCATGCCATGCATTTTCTCTGATGCCATGTACACAATGTGTTTTGCCATGTGCTTCATTGGTGCTCAAAGTCGGAACTTCTTTGTGCGTCTACCACTCCAGATCAGTTTTGTCACCCCCATCCCCTCTCCGACCCTCACACTCCGTGCATGACCGCCAGACGTCCATCTCTGAGTTCCCTCTCAAGAACTTCTACCGATACGCCGCTCCCCACAAGGCACGCTCCCTCGCCCCTTCTTCTTCTGCCCTCCGCCCCGTTCCATTTCTTGAAGTGCCATCATCTGCTCGTGTGCTCTCGGTCTGCCACCTCTCTTGTACCATCTCATACCCCAACTTACCCACACTTCACTCGCCTCCCTCCTTAGTAACGATGCTTCCACCTCTTATCCCCTGCCATTTCCAGCCCTTTTCATCAATCTCTCTTCGACTCCCTCTTTCCCCACCATCCCACATCCATCCCAACCGCTCCCCTTCCTCAACCCCCACCAGGAGCTGGCAGATGCATCGGGGGTGCTGGCAGCGGGGGCGGAGGTGGAGTTTCTGAACATGCCTCTCACGCGCACGCTCACTCTCAACCTCAAAGTGCCCGAGCCCTGGCTCGTCGAGCCGGCTGTAGCGGAGTGAGTGGGGCCGGCTGTGGCGGAGTGAGCGGGGCCGGCTGTGGCGGAGTGAGTGGGGCCGGCTGTAGCGGAGTGAGTGGGGCCGGCTGTAGCGGAGCGGGTGAGGGTAGAATGCTCCTTCGTTGGGAAGTGACTGAGGATAGAAATCAGTACAATTCCGTGCGTTTTGTGCTTACCCAGTTCACTCGTCCAACCCAATCACCATCGCCTTCACAATCCGCCCTCTCAACCCTGGCCCCACATACGCCCGGGCAGCCATGATTTGGACAATCTGGTGTTGGAGAAGGTGGCGGACCCCAGCGTTGCCGCTGTCTTTGAGCTCGAGGCGCTCATGATCACTGGTGGGTCCGTGCTCATGGGTGGTGCGAGATGCTCATGGGGTGGCTGTGGAGGGATTTGTGGACACACTCATGCACGCAGATGCCTTGGCGCAGACGGTAGAAAATGGTTGAGTAATTGAGAGGTTGCAGGTTCGTAGCATGTGAAAGCTAGTTTTATAGGTCGAAACTGTTTTTCTGTGCACGCTCGTGTCACGTTTTGTCCTCACTTTCTTTTCTCTTCCACGTGTCTCCGCTTCCTTGTTGCAGTGGCCCAACTACTCTCTGCTCATACCTGTTTGCCCCCACAACTCTCCCTCCCTCCCTCCACCACGCCACAACCCCCTCTCTACCACCAGGCCACTGCTACGAGGACTCGGACATGCAGGAGCCGCCGCGGGGCATGCAGCTCGTGCTCGGCACGCCCCCGCCCGTCCCCTCCGCCCTCCTCAACCACTCCTCCGCCCCCGCCACCGCCGCCGCCACCAGCAGCAACGGGGCAGCGGGGCGGCCACAGGGCCTGGTGGTGTCAACGGCCCTGGAGGACACGATAGTGATGGCGAATCTGGGCTACTTCCAGCTCAAGGCCGCGCCCGGCCTCTGGCTCCTGCAGCTCGCCCCCGGCCGCTCCCAGACCCTCTACCAACTCGCAGGGGAGGGGGCGCTGGGGGGCAGTGGTGGCGGTGGTGCAGAGGCAGGGAGGGGCGGAGAGAAGGAGGGGGATGAGGGGATGGGGGCGGTGGGGCGGGTGGCGATGGAGGTGGCGGTGATGGACCTGCGCGGCAAGGTGGTGCAGCTGAGAGTGGTGAAGCGGGCGGGCATGGAGGGCGAGAAGATGCTGGATGGCGCCGGGGGGGAGGATGGGGACGACGAGCAGCAGGCGGAGCCGGCGGCAGCGGTGAGGCCTCTCTGCTCTTGTTTGAGCTGCTCGCCCCTGTTTTTATGAAATCGCATGTCACCCTCACTGCTCGTTGCCTCTTATGTAAATCACTGCTCATTGACTCTCTCCCCTGCCTTTCTATGCCCCGCCTGTTGTTCTCCCAGGCATCTCTCTTTGGCTCTTTCTTCCAGAAGCTCACCGGCAAGGTGGGGATGAGACCAGGGTGGGGATAAAAAAAGGGCAGGGTAGGGTGGGGGGGGATGAGAGTGGATTGTGGCTGGCAGCAACAGGCACTCACAGGAGGGTTGAGGAGGGATGGGATGTGCTCTGGCTGTTGTAATGCAGCACCTTTGAGTGTGCCTGCTGCGTGACGGCATCTCACCAATCCTGCATCCTCACTTCACCCTCATCAGTGCTCCTTGCCTCTCCCTGCCACACCGCCAACCCCCCACTTCCCATGTGCCTGTGTCACTGTGTGAGTCAGAAGCCGGCTGCGAAGGGCGAGGGGGCAGCTGCCAACAGCACAATCAACATCTTCTCCATCGCCAGCGGCCACCTGTGCGTTGCCTCTCGCCCCTCATGCCATGCCCACTGCTTCTCTCACGCCCACTATCCATGAGAGCATAGCCTCTCTGTGTGCACCATTGACTGCCCCATTCCTTGACCCATCCGTGCTGGATCACTCCTCGGTTAAATACCACGTCCCACGTCCTTCTCCTCTCCTTCCCTCCCTTCCCCACCCGGTTCCACCCGCCCCGGCAGGTACGAGCGGTTCACGCGCATCATGATTCTCTCTGTGCTCAAGAACACGCGTCGCCCGGTCAAGTTTTGGTTCATCAAGAACTACCTCTCGCCCTCCTTCAAGGTGACTCCCCCCTGCCGTGCATGCTTTCTCCGTTTTTTTTCCTTCTAAAGCCTCTGCTTACAAATCCCCGTCTCGTATGGAGTTTACCTTGCTGTCAAAATCAACTCTCCTCCCATTGAAGCATGCTCCAATTTGACCGCACACATTCACACCTTTAGCCACGCCTGCCCTCCAGTGTGCACACCTCCACGCGCTCATACCCACATCCGCCCACCTCTCCACCCCTCTCCATGCGCTCGCCCTCCCCCTGCCCCACGGTGCAGGAGGTGATACCGCACATGGCGCGCGAGTACGGGTTTGAGTACGGGCTGATCACGTACAAGTGGCCGTCATGGCTGCACAAGCAGACGGAGAAGCAGCGCCTCATCTGGGCCTACAAGATCCTCTTCCTCGATGTCATCTTCCCCCTCTCCCTGCAAAAGGTCGCCCCTCTTTCTCTCTCGCTGCCACCTTCGCTGCCATCCCCCTGCTCCGCTCCCTCTCACATCTGCAAGCAATGCTCCCTCTCACATCTGCAAGCAGTGCTCCCTCTCACATCTGCAAGCAGTGCTCCCTCTCACATCTGCAAGCAGTGCTCCCTCTCACATCTGCAAGCAGTGCTCCCTCTCACATCTGCAAGCAGTGCTCCCTCTCACATCTGCAAGCAGTGCTCCCTCTCACATCTGCAAGCAGTGCTCCCTCTCACATCTGCAAGCAGTGCTCCCTCTCACATCTGCAAGCAGTGCTCCCTCTCACATCTGCAAGCAGTGCTCCCTCTCACATCTGCAAGCAGTGCTCCCTCTCACATCTGCAAGCAGTGTTCCTCGCCCGCGTGATGGACTGCGTTGTGCTGTGCTGTGCTGTGCTGTGCTGTGCTGTGCTGTGCTGTGCTGTGCTGTGCTGTGCTGTGCTGTGCTGTGCTGTGCTGTGCTGTGCTGTGCGGTGTTGCTCACATATCACCTCCAGAATTCCGTTGCCGCGTTGTCCCTGCTTGCACCCACCAAGCCTTGTTGTTAAGTGCGTGTCTCTCCTGCATGCTGTGGTTCTAACACCTGTTAATCAAGCTTTGCATTCTTCTTCCCCACCCACCCTCCCACCCCTCCCCCCCCCCCACCAGGTGATATTCGTGGACGCGGATCAGGTGGTGAGGGAGGACATGGGGCGGCTGTACGACATGCCGCTGCACGGCCACCCCCTCGCGTACACGCCCATGTGCGACAACAACCGCGACATGGAGGGCTACCGCTTCTGGAAGCAGGTGGGGTCCGGGCTATGGGTTCTGAAACACGTTCGTGGGCAGTAGAAAACAGGACGCATTCAGGATGGTATTTTATTATCCTGTACCACTCACTCAGAATCTATCGTTCCTGGCTTCCCTTGTTGCATGAGTGCAGGGCTTCTGGAGGGATCATTTGAGAGGAAAGCCGTACCACATTAGGTGAGGCAGTGAGGGAGCAGATGCAGCACAACACCACCCTACCACGCCTGTTTGAACCTGACCTCTTTCTCCCCACCTCTGCTGCTTTGTCATCTGTGCCTATGCGCACTTACTCTTATTACCTTACCCTCAAATTTCCCACCTTTCACCCACCACCCACCTAACCCCCCCCCCACCCACGTGCGTCCACGTGGCAGCGCCCTGTACGTGGTGGATCTGGTGCGCTTCCTCTCTTCACCCCACTTATCAACTCCCCACCACCCCGCCGCACCACCCACCTAACCCCCCATCCACATGCACATGTGCATCTGGCAGCGCCCTGTATGTGGTGGATCTGGTGCGCTTCCGGCGCATGGCAGCGGGCGACACGCTGAGAGTGATCTACGAGAGCCTCAGCAAGGACCCCAACTCCCTCGCCAACCTCGACCAGGTCTAGCCTCCCCCTCCTCTCACCTGCACCAGGTGCCGCCTCCCCCTCCTCTCACCTGCATCAGGTGCCACTTCCTCCACCTCTCACCTGCACCAGGTGCCACCTCCCCCACCTCTCACCCACACCAGGTGCTGCTTCCCCCACCTCTCACCTGCACCAGGTACTGCCTCCCCCACCTCTCATCTGCACCAGGTACTGCCTCCCCCACCTCTCATCTGCACCAGGTACCACCTCTCACCTGCACCACCACCTCTCATATGCACCCAGTACCAACTCTCCGTTCCCCTCTTCCTGTAACTCCTCTCCCCACTCGCCCTCTTTCCTCTTCCCTCCAACCGTCTCCCCCCTCTCTCTCCCCCCTCCCCCTGTATCAGGACCTACCGAACTACGCGCAGCACACGGTGCCGATCCTGTCGCTGCCACAGGAGTGGCTGTGGTGTGAGTCGTGGTGTGGCAACGCCACCAAGGCCCGTGCCAAGACCATCGACCTCTGCAACAACCCCATGACCAAGGAACCCAAGCTGCAGGTCAGTGCAACAACCCCCCCTAAATCTCCTCTCCATTCTGCCCCTTGTGACTCCCTCCCTTGACCTCGAACTTGAATACAATTCTGCTTTTGCCTTCTCTGATGCCTTCGCATGCGCCTATGCCTGTGGCCCTGCACGGTGCATGGCAGGGGGCGAGGCGCATAGTGGCGGAGTGGGGGGCGCTGGACGAGGAGCAGCGGCACTTCACAGAGAGAGTCACCCGAGGGGAGTTCGACGACCTCCCACCCTCCGCGCCTCGTGGCACGCTGCGATTCACCGGCTTCCATTCAGCCCCTCGACCAGAGGAGGGGCCGGTGAGGGAGGCTATGACAGAAGAGGAGGAGGGGGGAGTGGATGATATGGATGGAGTGAGTGAGGGAGAACAGGAGAGAGAGGAGGGAGAGGAGGGTGGAGAGGAGGGAGGGGAGGGAGGGGAGGAGGCGGGGGATTGGGCGGGGTACGAGGTGGACACAGCATATGAGGACTTGGAGGGGCTGGAGGAGATTGCGGTGGAGGCTGTTGATGGCGTGGAGGAGGGCGAGGAGGGCGGGGAGGAGGAGGATGAGGAGGAGCTAGGGCATGAGGAGTTGTGAGAGCAAGAGCAAGGCAATATGTACAAGAGCAGGGCAATATGTGCGACAAGACAGCGCTGGCTGACTAACTGCTGAATTCTGCAGCTTTCAGAACATTGCCTTGCCATCTGATTCCTAATCAGTAACACTGTTAATCGTATCCCCTCGCTGTCCGGTACACAATTGCCTTTGCTTTGATACGGAAAACAACAGAATTGTTTCAATCGATAAGCAACTAACAGATGTTTTCCGTGCACACCTCATAAGAACTAACGCAACCTTTCCAGTGTTTCATAAAAACTGTACAGGAGAACACTAGTGGCTCTCTTTCCATACCTGCACCCCCCCATCAGTTGCCACCCTCTTGCACTGCCTCCCCTCCGTGCCCTCCCTGCTCGCCCTGCACGCCCACCGCCTGCCCCGCCTCCTGCAGCCCAGCAGCCTCCCCCATCGCCGGAGGAGCCGCAGGCAGGGAGGCGCGGAAGCGCAGGCGCACATAGTCAGCGAACCAGCGGCCCTCGGAGTCACACAGGGTGGGGTGCAGGGCGAGCTGCACGTCGTCGTACACGGCGTTCTTGTCCGCCTCGCTGAGCCCGTGGAAGAAGCTCTGCGCGAATGCGTCCAGCCAGCTGGCCACGCCGTCCGGCAGCAGCGTGGGGCGCGCCACCACCTCCATGTGCTCCACCTCGAAGCCGTGCAGCTCCAGCAGCTGCCTGTGAGGGGGGGAGGTGTGGAGTGGGGGGGAGGATGGGGGGTTTGCAAGGTGGGTGGGAGCCAAGCAGACTTCATCAGGCGCCTCAGTGCCACCACCTCCATGTGCGCCACCTCGAAGCCGTGCAGCTCCAGCAGCTGCCTGCTGTGGGGGGAAACATGGCGGGCGGTTGAGGGAGAGAAGGCAGGGCGGGTAGAAGCCAGGGGGGGCAATGAGCACAGGAAGACACAGAGGAGCGCCTCCCTTTCCATGCCACCCAGCCTCGCCCCGCTGCCATTCATCCTTTTCAAACAAACAATGACTCTCACTTAAGCCTTTCCCTTCCCCTGAAAGCACAACCCTTGCTTCCTCGCCTCCCTCTACCCCAGGCCTTGTGGTGTGGGCGCGCGCACCTGTATTCCTCCTGCGTGGGAAAGTACCACGGCACCATGGCCGCCGCGTCTATTCCCCGAGACCGCAGCACCGCCACCAGCGCCGTCACCACCGATGCCACGTTGCCAAAACCCCCCATCTCCGCCACGAACCTGGGGGAGGGAGAGGGGAAGGGAGGAGGGACGAGAGGGGAGAAGGGTGAGGAAGGCAATGCGGGTGGACAATGTGTGAGGGGGGGGTGGAGAGGAGTGGGGGGTGCCATGATGCAGCAAAGATAGTACTGCGGGTGCTTGGAGAGAGGAGCACGCAACAGAGTGGTGGTGCGGCCAAGGTGGCGGCGAAGGGGGTGGGGCGGGGTGGAGCCTGACCTGCCGCCGGGCTTGAGGGCGGCGCGCACGTTGGCGACGACCAGGGAGGGGTCGCGTTTCATCCAGTGCAGCGCCGCATTGCTGAACACACAGTCAAACTCCGATGAAAACCTGGGGGGGTGGAAGGGTGGGTGAATGCGGGAGCAATGGATGAGCGCTCACACGGGAAGGGCGGGTGGCGGAGGCAGTGCAGCAGGTCACGGCAAGGCAGTGAAGAGCAGCGGAGCCAAGTCATGCACAGCATAAAGCAGTCAGTGCGATAAGAACACGCTCTGGTGCACGCTTCAAAACGAAAACCAGCCAGCACTCACTCAGTACAGGTGGCCTTATCGAGAACTCACTGCAGCTGGCAGGCGTCAGCAAGAATGGCGTTGACCCCGTCGCGGCGTGCCATCTCCACCATGTCAGGTGACGAATCCACACCCACCACGTGGCACCCCAGCGCTGACAGGAACTTGGACAGCGTGCCCTCGCCACACCCCAGGTCCAACACTCGCTCGCCTGGGGTGAGAGGATGTGTGTGGGGAGGGAGGGTGGGGAGGAGTGTTCACGGAAACAGCGTAGAGAAGTGGGATCAACAGGCAATCCCATCCCTTTCACCCTGCGTCATTCAACACGAAAAACACACCAATGTACAGGCAAGAGGCGAGGCAGGTGTACCTGGGAGCGGGGCGAGCAGGTCGACGACGGGCAGGCCGAGCGTGGGCACGAAGGAGAAGGACTTGCGGTACGTGGTGGGGTTCCACCGCGTGCGCTGTGGGAGAAGGAAAGGGAGAGGAGTGGCGGAAGAGACGGGGAAAGGGAGCAGGGCGGGAGGGTGAGAGAGAGGTTAATGGCATGGCATGGACTGGCTGCTGTGTGCCACACTGCATTCACAGGAACCAGTGCACCAGGCACACACAGTGCCTTGCCACACCCGCAGCCCGCCCTTGCACGTCACTCTCACCCCCCCAACACACGCACCTTCCTACTGGGCGGTGCATCCTCGTCGCTGTCGTCGCCCTCCCCTGCCCGCCCTGCCAGCTGCTCCTCCTGCGCGTCCCCTGCGCGCACACGCACACATAAAGGTGGGATGCAGACATGCGGTTGCTGTGTGCTCTGCCTCCTGTGCGTGCCGCGCTGCATTCACTGCCACGTGCCATGTGAGGACCGCTCAGCGCCGTGTACCTCAAGCGCCTACACGATCTCTGTGCACCAACCCACGCATTATCCCCCCCATCGCCGCTACCGTTACCCCACTCACGGCTGCTTGCGGGCTGCTGCTGGATGGCGGCGCTGATGCGGCGCTTGAAGCGGCTGAGCCAGCCGTCCGACATCTTGAACTCGCCCGCCGCGATGCCCCGCTCCCCCGCCAGCTGCCGCGCCTTGTCCACTATAATGGAGTCCACTATATTGGGTCGCTGCGATATGATCTGCCAGGCACGCATGCACAAGCTGCACCTTGTAAGAACACTGGGGAAGGAGGGAATCTAGAAATGTGTGGTATGGACAAATGTGCCAAACAGCTCAGCGCCGCACTGCACCTCTCGGAACCAATCGATGAGCTCGTCCTCCAGGTCCGGGAATTTGCCGAGCCTCTGGCGCTTCTGCCGAGCCTCAGCGTCGGAGAGGTGGAGCCACTTGGGGGAGTCCTTGAGGATCTTGCACACAGTCGTGCGGCTGAGGCGCACACCGTGGCGCGCCTCTATCTCCGCCACGATCATGTCTTGCGACATCTTGTCGCTGCGCTGCTTCAACTCGCAAATCTCGCGCTTCATCTCCCCCGTCAAGCTGCTCCGCCGCGCGATGCCCTCCATGTCCGCTCCCGCGCGAGGGGTTCCGCCTTCCGACCCCGTGGGTTCCGCCCCGCCCTGACCGAGTGCGGCGGAGTCCAGGTGCGCGGAAGCCTCCCCGCGCGGCATGAGCGCGGAGGCATCGGCGCGGGCGGCTTCCGCGTCGGAGACGAGGCGGCGTTGGCGGAGAATCTCGACCTTGCTAACCATCGGCGGATGGCGGAGGGGGAAGGGGCTGGCGGGGGGGAATGAACGAAAGAGGGAGCGGCATTGCAGGGGGGGTGACGACCTTCGAGCGACCGATGCAAACGGGCTCACTCGGAACAACCGAAAGGCGGCGAGCGGAAGGGCCATTGCGGGCACGCAGGGGACGCGACTATGCAGACACAGCAGAAACGACGGACGGAATTAGCGAGGAACGGAGGGGCCTGAGATTGTAAAAAGGTTACACGCCTACCGAAAGCTCGTTTTCTGACGAGCGGGACACGTTGTGCTCCACAGTGCCGCGACCGTCGCCTTATATACGTACGTCAGCCTTTCGAAGAAGCTGCCAGGAGGAAGCTAGTCTAGTGCGGATGACGAGGGATGATGAAATCGAGGGTGGCGTGTGAAGTGAAGTGGCTTGGGTGGGGGATGTGGTGGTGATTGGCGGGAAAAGCTGAGACAGGCCTGTCAGAAGGCAGCAGTGGGGTTTACGCATTGACTCGGGTTTGAGAGATTCGGTTTCCCTGTATAGGAAGTGTGAGTGATACATTTGACGTGAATATATGAATAAACCCTTCTTCCCAAAAAATATACCGTAAGGGTGCAGACTTCATCATATTGTTTCAGCATACGAATATCCGGCTCCCTTCAAGACAGCCTACTAATAGCGATTTTTATTCACAGATATTCGTGCGCGTGAACTAAAGACCTGTCGATGGTTGCCACGTGGGCGTGTGCATTCCGTTGACGCCACCTTATTCGCCGAATTCGCGAAATCAAGGGGCTGGCGCGGAAGTAGGGGAAGAGGGGTGGAGGTGAGGGGGAGGGAGCGGGAGAATCCGCGATCCCTCCCCAGTAGCCACTCCTTCCCCACTCCCCGTCGAGTTGCCCTTAGCGCCCAGCATTCCGCTTGCGACCCCGCCGAGCTACTCCCGCTTACCTCCCCATTCCCCGCGCTACGCCCAGCCTGCCCAGATCCGCCATCACACCCACGCTCCGCTGCGTTCGCGTCTATGAATTGCCTCCGCAACCTGCCATTCTCGACCAAGGCAGAACACGGCACCTTAGTTTCTGGCGAGCGTTGTTCCGGCAGAACTCAAACCTACCTTGGCTTGTCGCGCATCGCTGTGTGCTCGGCATCCGCAAAAAGGGGAAGATCGTCTCCTTCACGCCGTGTCGAGCTCGTGTCGTTAGTGCTCTGACGTCAGCATGCACGCCGTCAGGGCTCTGCGGCGAACCATCGCCAGCCGCGTCGCGCCGGCTGCTCGGCTCGATGGGTTCGCAGCCGCGGCCGCGGCGCAACGCCGCTTCGCGTCGTCCGTCTCCGGCGAGGTACTCCCCGCCTCCCTGCCCCCACGTGAATCGCGTCGGATCGTCCTCACTCCGTTCCACAACGATCGCCTGCCTGTTGCATTCCTTCGTGGTCTGTTCCTCCCCCGATGCCTGCATTGCCCTTCATGCACGATTCGTCGACCCGCTCTTATTCACCGGAAAAGCGGCGACGAGTATGTCAGAGCGGATCCGGGCAGCACAGTGTCGCATAGAGTCGCTCGCGATGATCTTCCCAGATCCCTCATCGTGTCCGTCGAATCTGCTCCGCCATGTGCCATGTGGTTCCGCATGGATCCGCTCATGCCTGAACGGCCCTGTTCGGATGGCGTTTCGTTTCTGCCCGGTTCGCGGCTGTAGCGCGGTGATGGCCGTATCGATGGTCTCGGCTGAGATCCGATCACGGAGATGCGGCGCCCTGCCCCCTGCGCCGTTGCCCTGTGCCTTCACCGGGACTAATCAACACGCCGTGCGCCCTTCGGCCCCTCCCCCCTCCCCGTGCCACTCCCCAACCCCCTTCCACCTGTCCCGCGCAGATGACGGTGCGCGACGCCATCAACTCGGCGCTGGACGAGGAGATGGCATCCGACTCCAAAGTGTTCATCATGGGCGAAGAGGTGCGCGGAGCATGGGGAAGAACGGGTGGAAGGAAGGGGAAGGAAAAGAGGGGGAGGGGATGGTGAGGGAGGAGTCGAAATCTACAATGTTCCTCATGGGTGAGGAGGTGAGGGAGGAGAGGCGAGGCGGGCCGGGCGAGAGTAATAGGCGCGAACCAAGACGAGCTTAGGCGCCGCAACTCAAAGTATCTCTCATGGGCGAGGCGATGGCGGTCGAGCGCACTGCTGGGGAGGTTGCGCTGGAGTTCAAAGAAAAAGAAGCCGGATCGGGGAGAAGCGGGAGAGGGGGAAGAGGGGGGAGGAGGGAGAGGAGGAGCGTGGAGGAGGGAGAGGAGGAGCGGGGAGGAGGGAGAGGAGGAGCGGGGAGGAGGGAGAGGAGGAGCGGGGAGGAGGGAGAGGAGGAGCGGGGAGGAGGGGGGCGACGGGAGTGTGCTGGACCTACTGATCGCCGTTGTCCGTTTGTTCGTCCGGAGTGTTCAGTGCGAGCGAATGGGCGATGGTAGTCAATGGAGAGGAGGAGCGGAAAAAGCTCGTGTGTGCGTTTGGCTCGTGCTCGCGGGGCATCCGTTCTCCCTGCCTCCCATGCGCACCCCCCACTGCCTCTTCTCCCTTTCCTCACCACGCATTCCGCTTTTCCCCGCTCCCATTCCGCCCTTCCCCCTGTCAATCCCCACCTCCCGCTCATCGGCACGCGCGGGGGGTCGCAGGTGGGGGAGTACCAGGGGGCGGACAAGATCACCAAGGGGCTGCCATCCGCCCCCTCGCTGCCTCCCTATCCTCTTCTCACCGCGCACTTTTTTCTCCCCCCTGTCAATCCCCGCGCACTCCGCTCGTCCCGCAGGTGGGGGAGTACCAGGGGGCGTACAAGATCACCAAGGGGCTGCTGCAGAAGTACGGCCCCGACCGCGTACTCGACACGCCCATCACCGAGGTGCGCCTCTGCGCGGTGCTGTTCGGTGCTGTGTGATGCTGTGTGGTGCGAACGACACGGGAATGGTTTATCGGAGCGATCTTGTGCGCGCATTTGCTTGATGGGAGTACCAGGGACCGCTGGCAGTGCATGCATGTCCCGATCGCTCTCTTGGTGTCTATTTGCGGTTCTTGTTTCTGACGAATGCTTTTTCCCCATGCGTGCACTCACGGCGTGGTGCGAGCGGGCGAGCAGGCGGGGTTCGCGGGCATCGGGGTGGGAGCGGCCATGTATGGCCTGAAGCCCGTCGTGGAGTTCATGACCTTCAACTTCTCCATGCAGGTACTTGCCGTGCCAAGTTGCGCCCTGCCATACCATGCCCTGCCATGCCGTGCCCTGCCATACCATACCCTGCCATGCCGTGCCCTGCCATACCATGCCCTGCCATGCCGTGCCCTGCCATACCATGCCCTGCCATGCCGCGCCCTGCCATGCCACGCCACACCATGCTAGCCGTGTCATTTGCTCACCTCCTTCCCCATGCCATGGGGCCCCTCGTTAGATTCTCCCCTTTCCCCCCCCTCACCCCACTCTGCGCCAGGCGATAGACCACATAGTGAACAGCGCGGCGAAGGCGCACTACATGTCGGCGGGGCAGATCAGCGTCCCCATCGTCTTCCGCGGCCCCAACGGCGCCGCCGCTGGCGTCGGCGCGCAGCACTCGCAGGTGCGTGTGGCGCTGCTTATTGGCGCACGCTGCGCCTCACTGCTGCTTCTGGGTGCTTGTGCTGTGATGTGCTAAATTAGCTGTATTTGGTTGCTGCTCTTATAGCATCCCCCCGCTCGTCTCCCCGCCCAGTGCTCTTCTAGTAACTGTATTTGGGTTCACATCACCGTCATGCAACGGCAATGTGCCGTGGCCTCCCCACCTTCTCATCCTATCATCTCCCATCCCCATCTCTGTCCCCATCCCAATCCCTCTATCTCTCCAACCCCCCCCCCGCCCTCCATTTCCCTCCCCCTCCCCCCGCAGTGCTTCGCGTCGTGGTACGGGCACGTGCCGGGGCTGAAGGTGTTGGCGCCGTGGAGTGCGGAGGACGCGCGCGGGCTGATGAAGGCCGCCATCCGCGACCCGGACCCCGTGGTCGTGCTGGAGCACGAGATCCTGTGGGTGCACAGATGGGGAGAGGGGTAGGAGTAGAATTGGGGGAGAGGGAGGGTCATGAAGGGTCATGAAGGCCACCATCCGCGACCCCGACCCCGTGGTCGTGCTGGAGCACGAGATCCTGTGGGTGCGCGCATGGGGGGGAGAGTGTCGGTAGAGGGATTTGTGGGGGTGCGGGGGCTGCAAGGGAAGAGTCTGATCGGGGGTGAGGGGCGCCGGGGGGCTGATGAAGGTTTCCCCGGGTATCGACCCCGACCCCGTTGTGGTGCTGTACGCGCACAGATGGGGGGGTGTGGGGGGAATGGACGGGTGAGGGGGTTGGGCGGGTGCCGGGGCTGTAAGGGAAGACTTTGGTTTGGGAAGCGGGGAGAGGGGCGCGTGCGCAGGGGCTCGTGAAGGCGGTGTCATGAGGCACTCCCACCCGTGGTGGTGGTGGTGGTGGTGGTGGTGGTGTTGGCGCACGAGATCCTGTGCGCGCAGGGGGAGAGATGAGGCCAAAAGGGATGGGTGTGGGGTGGTAAAGAAAGATTCTTGTGTGATTGGGCGGAGGGAGGGAGGGAGGGGGACAGAACGCGAGAGGGGGGACGAAGGGCGGCGTGAGGTACAAAACACACCCATCTCTCCCCAATCGTGTTTGAAGAAGTGTTTTGAGACGTCTCAAAACAAAACACACCCATCTCTCCCCAATCGTGTTTGAAGAAGTGTTTTGAGACGTCTCAAAACAAAACACACCCATCTCTCCCCAATCGTGTTTGAAGAAGTGTTTTGAGACGTCTCAAAACAAAACACACCCATCTCTCCCCAATCCCTCCTTCCTCCAACCCCTCTGACCCCAGGTACGGCGAGGCGTTCCCCGTGTCCCCCCAGGCGCAGGACCCCAACTTCACGGTGCCCATCGGCAAGGCCAAGGTGGAGCGCGAGGGCAAGGACGTCACCCTCGTCGCCTTCTCGCGCATGGTTGGCGTGGCGCTCAAGGTGAGGGGAGGGGAGGGAGAGGGCAAGGAGGCGAGAGGAGGGATGGAGAGGGCGAGGAGGAGAGGAGAGGGGAGGGGAGGGAGAGGGCAAGGAGGAGAGGGGAGGGGAGGGAGAGCGCAAGGAGGAGAGGGGAGGGATGGCTGAGCTCAAGGTGAGGGGTGGGGGGTTCTGTGTGCACTCATAATCAAGAAAAGGGGAGGGGGAGGTGAGGGGGAATATGCTCCATGTGCGTCTCGATCCCAGCTTGCAGCCGGAACAGTGCTTTGCACACACGTTCAGCAACACCCGTTTTGAGAAGTTTTCTTCCACGCGCCATGGCTATGATGCTGCCATGGCTCAACACTTGCTTCCAACAATCCGACGCTCTGCGCCATCCTCCCTCCCACCCCCCATTGCGCATGTGTGGTGCTGGCAGGCGGCAGACGAGTTGGCCAAGGAGGGCATCTCCGCTGAGGTCAGTCGCGCTTCTCTCTGCCTCCCCACCCCATTCCGCTCCATGCTGCGCCATTCTGCCCCATGCCATCCCATGCCGCCCCATGTCGCTCCATGCTGCTTCATGTCGTTCCATGCTGCCCCATGTCGCCCCATGCTGGCCATACCACCCCACATGCAGTGCCATGCCTGCTCGTCACACTCTCTGCTTCACCTGCCTTCTCTCCACTGCTGCACTTGCAACACTGCGGCACTTGCAACACTGCTGCCACTCAGCCCCTCTGACTTGCATCTAAACAACAGCCCGCCGATCCAACCCCTTGGCCCCTCCGCCCTGCCCGTTCCCCATGCCCCTGCGCCCTGCCCCTCCCAGGTGCTGAATCTGCGCACGATCCGGCCGTTGGATCGGGAGGCCATCAATGCGTCGGTGCGCAAGACGTCGCGCCTCGTCACCATCGAGGAGGGCTGGCCGCAGTCTGGTGTCGGTGCCGAGATCTGGTGAGCTGCTTGTGGGGGGTGGTTGTGTGGGGGGGAGGGGAGGGGGGGGGCGCTTACTGGAGCTACCGTTATCTGACTGTTTGCTGTGCTGCTCTCAGGGCCCGCACCATCCAACTCCCTCTGCCCCTCTCACCTGCACCGTCCCTTGTATGCCCACCCCTCCCCGTGGCTGTCCCACCAGCGCCACGGTGGTGGAGGCATCATATGACTACCTGGATGCCCCAGTGGAGCGCATCTGTGGCTCAGACGTCCCCATGCCCTCTCCCTTGCACACTCCCCCCCTGTGCTCCCCCCGCCCCCCCCCCCCCCCCCTGTCCGCTCCTGTGCATGCAGTGCCACGGTGGTGGAGTCATCATTCGACTACCTGGATGCCCCAGTGGAGCGCATCTGCGGCTCAGACGTCCCCATGCCCTATGCTGCCAACCTCGAACGCCTCGCCCTGCCCCAGGTGCGCCTACCCCCCCCCCCCCATGCGCCCCTCACCCCACGTCATGCACCCCTCTCCCCATGTCTTGCGCCCCTCTCCCCATGTCATGCGCCCCTCTCCCCATGTCATGCGCTCCTCTCCCCATGTCATGCGCTCCTCTCCCCATGTCATGCGCTCCTCTCCCCATGTCATGCGCTCCTCTCCCCATGTCATGCGCTCCTCTCCCCATGTCATGCGCTCCTCTCCCCATATCATGCGCCCCACTCCCCACGTCATGCGCCCTTCCCTCCACATGCCTTTCCTTTGCGCTGTGACACTAGATTTGGAGTCAAACTTTCGCCACTTAAATCACTCTGTGTTCGACTCAGTTGTCTCGCCTCAGCAGGGCCGTTGCCTGCGTTTGATAAATGACGAAGCATACATGTTGCGGCTTACGGATCTGAATGTGCTGCTTATGTGTGCGTGCGCTCATGCATGGCAGGTGGAGGACATTGTGCGAGCCAGCAAGCGCGCATGCTTCCGCTCAGCTGCCCCCGTTGCCGCCACGGCATAAGAGAGGAGAGGCATAGGGTGTAGAGTATCAATGAATACATTTCACACCATACACGTGCTGTAATCTGCTTTTCTAAATTTAGTTTAGTGAATTGGATTAATTTGGTACCCACCACATCAGTCAACATCTCAGCACAAATACCGGTACGTGCAGTAGCAGAGGCTACCATGGCACACTCTTCTTGTGCCCTGAAACCACCTGCTTCATTCAGCAATGTCCACTGCAGTTGCTGCTAGCAGGGTGGATTCGCACATGGCATTCAGTTCAATTTTGATGTATTTTACACTACCGTAACCAACAAGGACTTTGCTCTATAGCATACGGAATTGTGAAAACAAGCAAGCGTAAGTCGCATGCATGAGTTACCGGTAGATGATGCGCCTGGCAAACCAATTCACTCCATAAGTAGAACTTGGTCGCAGGAGTCTAAGGTGATGCGCCTCGCAAGCCAGTACATGAAAGTAAAACTTTAGGAAAAATCTCAGTCTTTGCTCATGTTCAAGTCTACTTGAACTGCTCTCCTTGTAGAGAGGCTGCTTATGCTAGCAGTTCTTTGGAACTGACCAAGATGATGGAGAATATTGCAGCCAATGGCGTGAATGAGTTTCCAACTTCTCCAAGGATCGCCCGGCCGCACGATGCTCGATTGGCCACATTCGGGCAGCTTGAAGCCGTCAGCAAGGTCATTTCTAGCGAAAGTCGTCCGTGATTGGTTATCTCGTTACACCTCTCCCAACCTGACGGAGGAGTCGTAGTGTCGAACAGACCACGAGACATTTTCAGTTTGGTCGTGATTGGACGATATTCTCGCTTGTGCTTTTTCAAACTGAAAGGACAAGCTTAGCGGCAGTAGGCACCTGGTTCCAGTCGAGCAGAAGCGGTGGGCGGACGAGAATGGCGGCGGCTGGCGGATGGCGCTGGGGGCAACTCCAGCGCACACTGGTGGCGCGAGAGGGTAGGGCATGGCCGAAGCCGCTGCTTTCGCGGAGTGCATTGGTGGAACGCTTGGTTGTGGCTGATTTGCGAGAATGCTTGGTGATGCTGGAGAGAAAGTGACGAGGTCACGGCGGTTGGAGGGGCGATTGCGGACAGGAGGAATGGTAACAGCGGCGCTGGGATTGATGCAGCCTGCCATTCCTACCCTGTCTACGATGAGGATACTGTACCGAATCCACGTGCGCCGCGACTCGAGGCGATCTTCTCTGTCGGCATGGATCAAACAGCGAGTGAAGGCTTCTGAGGGAATGAAGATTAAATAGCAGATTTCTGCCAGCAAAGAGTCAGAAGCCGTTAGTCGTCAGGAAAAGCCTTTTCGCGAACCCCCTGTCCTCAGAGTAAAACGGCATCCTCTAACTAGACCGCCTTCACTCAGCAGTAGAAACCAAGATGGCGTCTCCTACCCGTGTTCTAACCCTAACAATCCTCCTCACGCTAGCGTTAGCGTGCTGCACGGCGGTGAATGCGGTCAACGACCCGAGCAGCGTGCAGTTTTCGTCCCTGACTCGATCCATCGTGGTAACCACAACGGTGAACGGCAACAACGTCACCAACGGCACGTGAGTACCCACACCACTGCGACCCAGGGATTCAACCCCATTCCGCCATAGTCTCCCACTTTTTCCACCCCCTTAGAAATCTCAGTAGCAGGAACCTGAATCGCAAACAGTCTCCTCACGCGTTCCCTCCTGCTGCGTCTTCTCCCCGTTTTTCGCCCCACCCGCTGTTCCGTCCCGCTCTTGCAGCGGAATGACGTACGCCAAGGACGAGATGATGATTCACTGGCACCTGAACCAGTCGCTGTGGGGGACCGACGCGGCGTTCAAGAAGGTCGTCCTGCAGCTCTGCTTCGGCGCGCCCAGCCAGGCGTCCCGCCCGTGGCGCCAACCCAACAATGTGCTCTCGCACTCCAAGAGCTGCAAATACACCATCGCATGTAAGCCCTGAGCATGAGCAGCAATATAGCAGTACTAAGCACATCACCTCCCCAAATGTTCCACCACACTCTGCAGCAATCCGCATCTTTTCTTTCTCATCGTTTTCCTTTTTCTCTGAAACACACTACCTCTCCTCATGTGCCACTCACACCCTCGTGTGTAGAAAACCGTGTTCTTCTGTCTAATCGTTTCCCTTCTTCCTTCCCCACACCTTACCTGGTGCAGCGCAACCGTACAATGCGTTCGGCAACAACACGGTGTGGCGGCCGTCGCAGGACACGCCAGGCGCGCAGTACTTCGTGCGCGCGTGGGTGCTCAACTCCACCGAATCCTCCGCCACCATCTCCGCCAACAGCGTCGCCTACGGCCAGGTCAGACAGACGCGGTTTCCCCCACAGTGGGTTTCTGTGATCCTGAATATGCTCGCCTTTTGTTCTTCAATGTTCCTAATAAACAAAACCACGCTCAGCTGCTCTCTCTAAATCCCCACAAAATTTCGTTTGACCTCAGATTGAAGCTGGCCCCTTCCTCTACCAATTTTCATATTCTTTTTTTTTTCCTCGCCCCGTTTCTGTTGTGACTGCAGAACACCGACCCTTCCATGAACACTAATCTCGTGGTTGTGACGCCATTTGGCGGCACAGCTATTGGGATCGACATATACATCGTGTGCATCTCCGTCGTCTCCTATGTTGCCCTGGCTTGCTTCTTCGTCTACGAGAGATATGCAAAGAAGAATAAATAGTAGTTCAACGCTTTTTACAGCTACTTCACGTAGCTGTGTTTTACAGTCAAACGGCAGTAGCATGCTATGCACGTGGTGATGGTGATAAAAAATGTTATATATTGTAACTGATAGTGACCTTGGTGGTTGGTACACAAGAACATGGGTTGCAGATGGCGCTAAATCATGTATGCCGTGTTTTATTAAACGGTGCACCTAAATAATCAGGCTTTCCTTCTCAAAAAGTCTTTCTCCAAGAAAGACTTTAAGCTGTTGCAACCTGTAAGATACACGCGTACCCTTTTGAAGCAGTGAAATTGCAGTGTTACATGGTGTACCCCGTCGGTAATTCTAGTATCAGAGGGTTCATTATCATACTACTAGAAAGGCAGGGCGGCACTTCACTAACAGATGCTTACGTATAGGAAGTCCTTCGCGCAAAAATCGCAGGTTCGCTCGTCAGTACTGGTCCGTTGTGGTGTAGTCATCAATCAACTCCTCGCCCTCCTCCCTTCAGCTCGCGTCATCACCTCCTTTACTTCTGTCCCAGGTTCTCAATCTCCAATCTAGGTCGTTTGCTGAAAACACACTCCTCGCGTTTCCTTTTCGACTTCAGCCTTCATCGTTATCGAATCATTTGTCCTTTCGATCTATCTATTTCTTCTGACGTCCCATGGCCGACACTGAAACCCTACCGGTTGGTAAGCGGAAAGCGGACCAGCCTGGCGGCGTGACTGCTGAGAATGGCGCCGCTGACGGCGACGACGCAGATCGCGCGGGGAAGCGGAGGCGGTGGGACAGCGGTGCAGATGGGGTGCAGAGCGGCGCTGACGGCGGACAGAAACCCGCGGAGGGTGGCGGAGGGGGGGGTGCCGCTCCCGCTGCTGGCGGAAAGAAGGTAGGATTGGCGGTAGGTTTCGAACAACTCGCTGATTGTTAGACAGCTTGTGGTGATATAATTTCCACTTATCATGACTGGTTCACAGGGAATCCATCGTATTTGTTAGCCGATTCGCGCTGATTATCGCCAGGGCAGTGCTGACACCAGGGGATTCAATGCTCGTTTCCGTTTGCATTGGCTGCTGAACATACGTTAAATCTCGCCATGCTCGCGTAGAGGCGATCGCGGTTGACCACCTCGCAACCTCCCTGCAACCATCCATCCATCTGTCCGCCCGTCTGTCCATTCCTCCCTCACTCAGGTACCGAGCGTCTCGCTGGATGCTCTGGCCAAGGCGAAGAAGGCCCTGCAGATGCACAAGGAGCTCAAAGAAAAGCTCAAGAAGCTTCCTCAGGTGGGTTCCCAGGTGCTTCCTCAGGTGCGTCCTTAGGTGGGTTACCCAGAGTTCCAGCATTCACCGGATGGCTCTTTCGTGGTTCAGTATATGCTGTTTAGGACATATTCAGAGCTTTATCGTCGCCGTTGGGCCTTTATCTTTTCTTCTTTATTCATTCCCTTCAAACCCTAGTCAACCAGTTGGTGCCCGTTCGGGTTTGGCTTGGCAACGACATGTTTCACCATGCATGTCCCCAAAACCCATTCTTTCCCCCATTCCACTTACTTTGCATTGCAGCTGAGCAAGGCAGCGCCACCCGCAGCCGCCGTAGTCCCCACTGCAACAGCAGCCGCCGCTGCAGCCGCCGCAGCAGCAGCGGCCGCGGCAGCAGCAGCAAAGGGGCTACCAGCGCCTGTGCCCGTGGTGGTGCCGGTGGCCGTCCCTGGCGTTGGAATCGTGCCCATAGTCCCGGGCGTTGCTGCTCCTCCTGGTGCCGCCATTCCAGGAACCATTCTTACTCCAGATGTAGCTGCGGCAGCGGCGGCGGCTGGGGGCAGCAGCAAGGTGACGCGGGCGCCGGTGCTGCGGTTGGATGCGATGGGGAGGGAGATAGACGAGCATGGCAATGTGGTGGAGCGGCCCAAGATCGCCCCCGTCAGCACTCTCAAGGTGGGTGGGTGGTTCGGCATTCTCAAGGTGGCTGTGCTGCACTCTCACAGTTCTGTGTGATGCACCCACAACGTGGATGCCATCTTGTGCTCAGAGCTGGGGGAAGACCCCTATGACAATCCCTTCTTGGACCTGCGCATGCTCCCTCACTCACTTCCGCTATCTCACTCACTCGCTCGCCCTTTCCTGCTCTCCCGTCCCTCCCCCCCCCCCCCCCCAGGTGAACATTAACAAGGTGAAGAAGGAGGCGTTCAAGATCCTGCGCCCAGAGCTAGAGGAGGACCCGCAGGACAGCCCCTTCTTCCACCTGTGCTACTCCCTCACTCACTTCTGCCATCTCACTCACTCTTTCCGCCTCTCCCACTCCCTTCCCCCCCCCCAGGTGAACATTAACAAGGCGAAGAAGGAGGCGTTCAAGATCCTGCGCCCGGAGCTAGAGGAGGACCCGCAGGACAGCCCGTTCTTTGACCCGCGCATGGCCAGCGAGCGTCTCAAGCTGGTGCGGCTGCGCAAGGCGTCCTTCCAGTTCGTGGAGGAGGGCACCTTCGCCAGGCAGGCCGAGACCATGCGCATGCGGGTGAGTGAGAGCAGGGCGTGTGGGTGAATGAGGGGATGAGGGTGAGTGAAAGCACTTCTGAGGCGCCTCAAGAGCCGCTTGAAGCTGGTGCGGCCGCGCAAGGCATCCTTCCAGTTCGTGGAGGAGGGCACCTTCGCCAGGCAGGCCGAGACCATGCACATGCGGGTGAGCGATAGCAGCGGCATGAGGGTCACACCATGCACAATATTCTAGGTTTTTTCTCCTCTTGGGCCTTTTTCTCCTTCTTGGGCACACTTCTGGGCTGTGCATGAAGATGCCTTTCAAGCATGACCTGTGCCATCCATCCCTTTCCCATCATGAACCCCATCCCTACTCTCGTGCCTCGTGCACGTGCTGGTGCGTGCCACTCTCTGTCCAACCCCCCTCATCACTGCAGGCGCAGTTTGGCATGGCGAGGCAGATGGAGATGGCGGCGCGGCAGAGGGCCAAGGAGAGGGAGGCGGCGGAGGGGGGGGACAACCCCAACCTCGTGGAGGTGGGGCAGCGCCCCGTGGCCCCCTCGGAGAAGCCCAAGCCGCCCATTCCCGACGTCGAGTGGTGGTGAGTTCCCTGCCTTGCCGCCTCCTGTTTCCTTGTGCTCCCTCGTGCATCATTCCCCATGGCTGCTTGCCTCTCAAAGTTTCACTGGCCTGCAGCTCTACCTGGCTCTTAACCCCACTGCTGCCCTTTCCCTCGTCGCACTATCCTCCCCTCCCCTCCCCCCACAGGGACGAGCTCATCCTGGCATCCAACCAGTACCCCGAGAAGGGTTCTGCCGTGCCAGCAGCGCTCAAGGCATCCAAGATCACCATCAACGTCCAACACCCCGTGCCCATCGAGCCGCCTGATGCAGCCTTCCCTCCTCTCCTCTTCCCCCTTGCCCCCACAGGGACGCGCTCATTCTGGCCTCCAACCAGTACCCTGAGGAGAGCTCTGCCGTGCCAGCAGCGCTCAAGGCGTCCAAGATCACCATGTACGTCGAACACCCCGTGCCCATCGAGCCGCCGGCAGAAGCCCCGCCGCCGCCACCGCAGCCACTGCGGCTGACCAAGAGCGAGCAGAAGAAGCTGCGGACGCAGCGGCGCGTGGCGCGGGAGAAGGAGCGGCAGGAGATGGTGCGGCAGGGCCTGCTGGAGCCTCCCAAGCCCAAGGTCAAGATGAGCAACCTCATGCGGGTCATGGCTGCTGAAGCCACACAGGACCCCACGAAAATGGAGAAGGAGGTGCGTGCTGCGGCGGCAGAGAGAGAGCAGGCTCATGTGGACCGGAATCTTGCGAGGAAACTGACCCCGGCGGAGCGGAGGGAGAAGAAGGAGAGGAAGCTGTTTGAGGAGACACTAGGGGGAGGGGTGGGTGGCGGGGGTGAGACGCACGTGGCGGTGTTTAAAGTGCGGCATCTGCTGCACCCGCAGACGCGGTTCAAGGTGGATGTGAACGCGCAGGAGAATCGGCTCACTGGGTGTGCGTTACTGGCTGATTCGTTTGTGTTGGTGGTGGTGGAAGGCGTGAGCAAGTCGGTTAAGAGGTACTTGAAGCTGATGATGAGGAGGATTCACTGGGCGGATGCTGTCGCTCCTGGTGCGGCTGGGGAGGAGGATGAGAGTATGGGGGAGTTGGGGGTGAAAAAGGAGAACAAGTGTGAGTTGGTGTGGCAGGGTACAGTGGCCCGGGCCGCGTTTGAGAAATTCACAGTGGAGCAGTGTCGCTCAAGCGCTGCTGCGAGGAAGTTTCTGGAGGATCGCAAGGTTGCACATTTTTGGGACTTGGCGGAGAATTTATGTGAAGACTGATGGAGCCAAGTGTTAGGAAGTACCATTTGAATAGGAGGATATGTGCATGCTCGTCCTATTAACGAAATAATTTGGCCATGCAACGACAATGTTTGATGATGTTGGATCACATTCAATGGTTATGGAGAGTTTCGTGCCGGTTGTACTGTTTGCTTGGAATAATAGTCTTTAGGCGTGTACTGCATGGAGCATCTGGTCCATTTGCAATAGCGCATCATAGCCCTCGAACTATGTTGCCCTTGGAGTTTTTTCTCAGATGCAGTCATTTACAAATGTTGTTCCTAGCCTAGCTCCTCTTCATTCTCTTTCGCAAAACCTATTTCCTCGATTTCTCCACAGCTTCTTACTTGACGAAGCTTGCTAGGGTTTGGCGTTAACCAGCCGCAATGGGGAGAGGTGACGACCCCGAGAGGTACGAAGACGAAGGGCCTTACGAAGACGACGAGGAGGAGTACGAAGGCGGCCCTCGCGACGCTAAGGATGAGCCAGACGAACGCGACGACCGTCGCGACGTTCGCCTTGACGATCGCCGCGAGAGGCGTGGTAGCCGCGAGGGACGCGAGCCCCGTGGCTCCCGGGAGCTCCGTGGGCGGCGCGACGAGGATGAGGAAGAGGAGGGCGACGACGAGGAGTATCGCGACGATGAGGTCCGTTGATCGATTACCATCTCCTGTCGATCTTCGTGCGTGCACTGAAGAATGTCCCTCCGCCTAATGCAATTTTATCCGCTTCCATCTGTTATTTTTGAAGTCCCTGTCGTGCTTTCTCAGATCTATATTTTCACGCCTGAATTTGATTTGGAAAATGACCACAACAGAGACCCTTTGGATTTAGAAGTGTGTACTTTGAAGTCCATTGACATGTATTTGCCTCCCTCTTTGTTTTAAAGGCAGAATATTAGGTCAATGCATTATCTTGATTGTTCTCAGCGGCTTCATTTATTCTTACCGGTATTGGTAACTTACTTCCTCAATGCACTGTCGCATTCCGTCGCTCCCATTCGCAGCCGTCGTACGACGACAGGGGGCCAGAGCGCGCCAGACGTTCGCGAGGAGATCGCGACAGAGGCAGGGGAGGGGCCAAGGATGAGGAGGAGGGGAGCGAGGAGGACGAGGAGGACGACGAGGAAGGCGGGGGTAGGGACGTCGACCGCGACAGGCACAGGGACCGCGATCGCGTGAGCCGCGAGAGGCGGCATTCGGATCGCGGCAGGGGAAGCGGGGACAGGGACAGAGATCGCGACTATCGCGACGACCGCGAGTATCGCGACAGGGACCGAAGCCACCGCAGGGACAGAGACCGAGACTATCGCCACCGGGATCGCGACCGTGACCGCGATAGGTAGTTTCTTCTTTCTTTCTTTCTTTCTTTCACCCACGAGGTTTCTTTTCTGCGTCGTCCGCATCAGTCGTACTCTCTTTTTGCGCCTTATTTTGTTATCTATCTGTGCGCCATGCAACATTTTTCGTATTTGTACTCGGACATTCTCTTATTTCATATCGTTGATTCATTCTTATTTTCTCTGTGGATTTGATTCTGTATTGGCTATGGCAGGCGCAGCAGGCGTCGCGATCGCTCTCGCTCGCGGTCTCGTTCGTATTCAAGGTCGCGCTCTCGCTCCCGTTCCCGAGACAGGGAGAGACGCAGACGTGCCAGCGGGTTCGACATGGGTCCTGGGCCTTCTCTCGCAGCTGTGCCAGGGCTAGCAGGTATGCCCGCACACCCGCGCCTAACCGCCTCATCATCAGCCTCTGCTGCCACTTTACCTTGGCTGTTCTAGCAGTTTACGGTTTCTCTCTTTGTATTCCACGCGGACTCACTTCCGTGGCTCGGTTGTCGTTGTCTGCTGTGGTGGTTGTTGCCGTGTGTGTCTCCTTCTCCTTTTCCCTTTCCTCTGCTCTTGCTTCTTGGTTGCTCGTTCGGCTGTGTGTGTCTTTATGGGCCGCTTTTAACCCCTCCACCTCCTAACCGCCTCACTTCGGTGATCACCCCAAGCCGGCCTGCGCCACCTCTCATTCTCCCCCCTCCTCCCTTCGCCGCTGCTTCTCGCTTCGCATTAGCACAATAATTACAAGGGTAAATCCCCAATGCCTCTGCTTGAGCCTGTGGCCTTGGAAGGATCACAACCTTTTTTTTGGAAGGGTGGGGGAGGGTTGAGACGGAGTATGTGGTTTCGTAAATTACTCCTCACGTGTTGAAGTAGTTGATTAATTCTTGTGTTTTTGTTGAATTGTTTTGTTTTTCATACACATCCGTCCCTATTTTCATGCACCCCATGCGTCGTTCTATGTTTCTTGGTTTGGGCCTCCTCTCTTGCTCTATGGTTGTAACTTGTGCTGTTATCGGGGCATGCTGTAACGGGTCCGTGAGCAGGCCTGCTTTCTGGAGCCGGGGGAGCAGCGCCGGCAGCAGCACCAGCGCCGGCGGCAGCAGCTCCTGCGGCTGCTGCGCCTTCTGTCGGAACGCTGCCTCTCACGGGCGTCGCTGGTAAGGCAGCATGGCAAGCAGTCCTAGTGCAGGGTTTCGGGTGTGGAAGAGGCTTTGTGTGCAGCGAGTTCAAGTTGCGTTCTACTTAGTGCCTCCATTGCCGCTTCTCCCGTCCCACCGTTCTCGCTCTGCTCTTGGCGCACTGCTGGACCACCCGTTTCTTTCACGCACCATGTTAGAAGGCTCGCACAATGCAACACACCATGTTTGGAGGGCCTTTAAAGGTCTCTGCGTCTCCTCTCCACCCGCAAACACACCTCCGTATCCCCTGTCTTCTCTTACTCCGTGTCTTTTGAGTCGACTCAAAAGTCACCCGCAAACACACCTCCGTATCCCCTGTCTTCTCTTACTCCGTGTCTTTTGAGTCGACTCATAAGTCACCCGCAAACACACCTCCGTATCCCCTGTCTTCTCTTCGTGTCTTTTGAGTCGGCTCAAAAGTCACCCGCAAACACAACTCCGTATCCCCTGTCTTCTCTTACTCCGTGTTTTGTGCCCGTCGGCTCCCCAGGCGCCATGGCAGCGGGTTTCACGGGGCTGCCAGGCATGCAAGCAGTTCCCGGGTCGATGTTCCCCAACATGTTCCCGTTTGCCGCCGCCGCCGCCCAGGTAACTACAAGCGCTGGTAACCGCATTTATTGTTAGCTGCTCTCTGCTGCTTGTAACCGCTGGGGCCCTCAAGGTTAGGCTCGCGATGTCATGCAGGCGCAAACTGGCTGGGCTGAAGTGGGCTGACTGCTGTAAGCTAGGTGCCAGGCGGCCGCATGATGCTTTATGACTTGATGCGGACAGAGCCACGCGTCTCTGACACCCGTTTCACTCCTGATGGCCCCATTTAGTGCAGCAGTGCGTCGTCTCGGGATGTTTGTTGGGATTTTCGTCTCCCATGGTGGTACTGGTACAGGATAGGTTGCTTCTGTCTTTTCACGAGGTGTAGCTTTTGTTGGACGGCCGCATGATGCGTTGTGACTTGATGCGGACAGAGCTCTTGATCTCTGACAACCGTTTCACTCCTGATGGCCCGCTAGGTTCTCAGTGATGTAGCCCAAACGCGCCGCTTGATGCGTGGGCGTGGTTAGAGGATAAGCTGATGTGCGCTATCTGTGATGAGTTGCTTCTAGTAGGCCGCATGATGCTTTGTGACTTGATGCGGACAGAGCCACGAGTCTCTGACACTTGTTTCACTCCTGATGGCCTGCTACGCTTTCACAGTTGCACCAGCTAGTCCCTGCACTTGCTCCGTCTAGACCCTTTAGTTGAGGCTGTTTGGTTCAGGTCAACATTCCACAAAAGCCACAGCGTAACTAGATTTGAGGCTTTTACGGTTTCGGGTGTGGTGAGCTAGTTCGTTGCCTCGTGGTGCATGGAGTGTACCCTTGTGTTGCAGTGCCACGTGATGCTTTGTGACTTGATGCGGACAGAGCCACGAGTCTCTGACGACTTTTATCACCCCTGATGGCCCACTGCACCACCTTGTGCTCCGTGCATTTGGATCTCCACGTCTTTTCCTCGCGTCCTCCGGTTTCCTCCCTTGCCCGTCTCGGTCTGCCTGATGCTGGTTGATAGCACCGTGTTCCGGCCAACGTTAAGCCCTTCCTCTGCGCCCTTTCTCGGCCTCCTCTTTCTGCCTCTATCCCCATCAGGGAGGAATGCCAACGCAAGCCACTCGCCACGCGCGCCGGGTGTATGTGGGCGGCCTCCCGCCCATGGCGAACGAACAGGTATGGGTTCACCTTCTTGCCCCAATGTTTCATACTTGGCGTTTCTTCTCCTGCTTCACTCGTCCCCGTGCACATCTCCATCTGCCCCTCGCACTCTCACACCTCTCCTAGCTGCGCCCGCCCTTCGCATTCAGTCACCTCCCCACCTTCCCATGTCCTCGCATCCCCTTCGCCCCCTGCGCACCATTATCACCTCCCTTCCTGTGTGTGTGTGTGCGCGCGCGCCATCATCAATCCCGTTCCCCCCTCCGTGTGTGTGCGCGCGCCATCATCAATTCCTTTCCCCCCTCCGTGTGTGTGTGCATCAATTCCGTTCCCCCCTCCGTGTGTGTGTGTGCACGCGCCACCATCAATTCCGTTTTCCCCTCCGTGTGTGTGTGCGCGCGCCACCATCAATTCCGTTCCCCCCTCCGTCTGTGTGCGTGCGCGCACGTGCCCTGTGCAGAGCGTGGCGGCGTTCTTCAACAACGCCATGACGCTCGTCAACGGCAACACCGCCGGTCCAGGTACGCTGCTGCAGCTGAGGGCGGTATATGGGGGGGGGAGAAGAGGGGTAGTGGGGTGGGCAACAAGGCCGTCCCAGGTTCATTACTGCTGCTTGCGGAAGGGGGAGGGGGGGGTGGGAAGGGGCAACACCTTTGGAGCAGGTAAGCGGTAAGTGGCGAGCAATCAAGAGAGAGAAGATTGCGCACGAGCCGCGGGTTCCACTTCACCACCGTCCATTCCTCGTGTACTCCCGTTGCGCCTCTCTATTGTGGTATGCTTGTGTCAACCACAGCTTGAGCCTCGGTTAGAAGGTGTCTCCTTGCTTCTTCCTCCTCACCCCAACCCACTTCCCGCTTCTCGTTTCCCCCTCTTCCCCTGGGCCTATTTTCACAACGAGCTTGCCCGCACCCCCCAACCGCCCCACCCCCCCCCTCCACCCCTTCTCTATTCCGTCCCATACCCACAGGCGACTGTGTGGTGTACGTGTACATCAACCAAGAGAAGAAGTTTGCCTTTGTGGAGATGCGCACGGTGGAGGAGGCCAGCAACGCCATGGCGCTTGACGGCATCAACTTCGAGGTGCGTTCCAGGCCATCCGTTGCACCCACCCTTGCCACTGTCTCACATCCACATAGCGTGTCCCGCTTTCTCTCAGCCACGCCCCTTTTGCCAGGGAGCTTCAGTGTGTGTGAATTCAATTCTTGCCTCCGCATTTGATTCCCGTGCATAAGTCACACTCCATCTTCTTGTGCACTCCGCCCCCCTCGCCTCACCTCTACCAGGGAGTGTCAGTGAGGGTGCGGCGCCCCAGCGACTACAACCCATCAATGGCGGCCACGCTCGGTCCCACACAGCCCAGCCCCAACCTCAATCTTGCTGCCGTCGGCCTCACTGCCGGGTACGCCTTCCACCATGCCGGTCTCAGTGCCCTCTTCCGTGCCTTCTGTTTCTTTGTTTCTTCCCACCTCTCCTCCTTTCAACACCCCTCTCCCACCCCCCCTTTCCCTGGTTTGCATGCCCTTTTTTTCCACCCTTCCTCCTTTGGCACCTAAAAGCCTAGACTCTGAGGCTGTTTGACAACTTCCTGTTGCTCTGGATTCACAGTGTGCATGGCACAACCATGATGCTTGTTCTCTTTTCGTAGCCCTTCCGTCACACCACCTTGCCTCTTTCCTGCCAACGCCATCTCTTGCTCCCCGCAGTGGCTCGGGCGGAGCGGACGGTCCAGATCGCATCTTCGTGGGTGGGCTGCCGTACTACCTCACAGAGGAGCAGATCCGCGAGCTGCTCTCCTCCTTTGGGTCAGTCTCCCTCTTGCCTTAGTGCAACACACAGCCAGCCGTCCATTCCCACCAAGCCCTATGTACTTTCGTATGTCAGTTTCACATGCGAGCCGTCCGCCTCTGTGGGCGCGTGTTGGGATGAAGGATCAAGACACAGGAGCACTACCCTTTTTTCGTCTCTCATTCTTCTCCATCCCGCCCCTTGCCCCTCCACCCTCCCATGCAGTCCTCTACGGGCGTTTGACCTGGTGAAGGACAGGGACACGGGCAACAGCAAGGGGTATGGCTTCTGTGTGTACCAGGACCCCAGTGTCACGGACATCGCCTGCATGGCGCTCAACGGCATGAAGATGGGCGACAAGACTCTCACCGTGCGCCGCGCCACGGCCAGGTGCGTTCACAGGTGCTCTCAGGTGTTCCTGGTACCCTCAGGTGCTCCCAGGTGCCACGTGACATACTCTTGGGAATTGTCGGCTGGTGGTTGCTGTGCTTTCACATGCCATTCCAGATGGTTCATGTGGCATGCAGCGTTACTGTGGGTGCGCTGTTGGTTCCTTCGCATCGCACTGATGGCTGCTTATGGGTTTGTTGTCCCTCTCCTTCCGTGTCGCCTGTGACATGTCTTGTGCCGCTGCAGTGGTCAAGCCAAGCCCGAGCAAGCCAATGTGTTGGCGCAGGCTCAGCAGCAAATCGCCCTGTCGGTGCGTTTTTCTGCTCACCCTCTTCTCCCTTGCATTCTATCCCTTCCCCCTGCTGCTGGTCACTGTCACCCACTCACTCTTACCCTTCGCCCGAACACTTCCACGCTCTCCCTCGCCTATTGTCTCACTCACTCCTCTTCCTACTCCGCCTCACTGCCACTTTCACCCGACTCCTTGGCGCACCAGCGCATGGCTCTGACAGGCGCCAACACTGTGGGGCTGGGGGCGGCAACTGCCTTGCCGGGTGCTCCTGTTGACATCCCCACCAAAGTCATCTGCCTCTCACAGGTTCGCCTCCTCACTCACTCATTCTCTCACTCTTACGCCAGGTTTGTTGCTCTTGTGAAGGCTGCTGCACCCCTCACACTGTGCCATGATGTCTTTATGCCTTGATGCCATGGGGTGGTGTGCCATGGTAAGGCACTGACATACCTCTCCTTTTCTGCCATCGCTGCACTGGCGGGCAGGTGGTGTCACCGGACGAGCTGACCAACGATGAGGACTACGATGAGATCATGGAGGACATGCGAGAGGAGTGCGCCAAATACGGTCAGTCACTCGGACCATATTGTTTCCCTGTTGTGCTGCTGGTAGACTCATCACTTGAGAAGTATTCTCTCGCCAATGACGATCCGCCATGTGCCCTTGCCACGCATCACATGCCACATGTGACATGTGCTTCTGTGCATGTGTCCATGCCTCATCACCTCATTATTTAACTCTGCTACAAATCCATTTCTCGGACTCGGCGTCTTGTTGATCCGCTGTCTCCCTTATAAACAGGTTCGCTTGTGAACGTGGTCATTCCTCGGCCGCCAGCACCAGGCGCAACAGCTCCTGGGGTGGGCAAGGTGCGTCTCACGCTCAGTCCATCTGCATGTGCGTTACATCATCCCATTTACATGTGCAATATGTGCCAGCCGCAAGCGCAGCAGCTCCTGGGGTGGGAAAGGTATGCTTCATGCACAGTCCATCCATGTGCCCTGCGCATGTAAGTAGGTGCTTGTTGCAACTCATGACTGACAAGTCACCATGCATCTCTGCCCACATTGCTCACCCCCTGCTTGCCTCTCTCCTTGCATGCCACACTTGCCACAGGTGTTTGTTGAGTACGGCGACACAGCGGGCGCCCTCAAGGCCAAGGCAGCCCTGCATGGGCGCAAGTTTGGAGGCAATGCTGTGGTGGCCATCTTCTATCCAGAGGATGCATATGCGCGCGCCGACTACTCCAAGGTCTAACTGCTTTTGAGGCGCCTCAAGAGTGGCAATGCAGCGGGGTCGCTATCTCTGATTTCTTGGCCTCTCTTGGCCTGGAGGATGCCTATGCTCGTGACGACGACTCCAAGATCTGACGCTCATGCATGCCCTGCGCCAGCACGCAGGCATGGTGGGATGGTGATGCTCTGACAATCTACTCTTCTGCCTGGGAGTATGCTTTCCTGCCTGGGACCCGTGGAGACCTGTGGCCTGAGCTGGCTGCCTCCCTGTAGTAACCAGTTTCTGGTGGTAGACTCTGCAACACGCATTACATGAGCTTGTGCCACTAGATTGTGCCACTTGCTGGTTACGCTTTGCTTGTGATGTCACTGGTGATCCGCGAAGCTAATTTGAGCAGATAATTGACAAGAGATTGTTGCAAGACAAGGAAAGGCAAGAGGAATATGTGCTGCTACGCCTGTTTCATACTCACATGCGCAATTTCATGACATCTTTGTTTGTGTGTGAAGTGGTTGCTGCGCTGCTCTACTGGGAATGCTCTACAGAAGATGCCAAGTTACCGTACTGGAATTATCTTAAAAGCGGGTAGGTAGGTACAAAGTAAGTGATTCTTGCTAGAAAGGCATAGTGCCAGCGTAGCGGAAACGTGTTTGTAGAAAAGAACAAGATAGAAATCTTGCATTGATCATTGAAAAGTAAAAGGATGACACAATGAGTACTCAATGATGTGACACAGCAGGGTATATATGCATCCAGCTACCCCTCCAGAATGACCCATTCACATCAATAATGGTGTACCAATAATTGTACCCTCTACCCTCTAATAATGCTGACCTCCAATAATTCTGGCCCTACAATAATTGTGACAATTATTGTAGGAGCTGGAGGCTTATAAAGAGGACTACACTAAAACCAAACAGCACACTGGTATACAATATTGGTTATACTGTATTCGGATTTCCAACACTCCCCTTTGCTGTAGGTTTTAGTGAATCCGTTTTCCTTGGAGGATAGGGTGGTCGAGGTGGTATACCACCACAAGGTAGGGGTGCGCCCAAACCAAGTTAGGGTTTGGTGTTGGCCAAGCTGCTTGTCACTGTAGCACTTTTCCCCTCCCAATCTTTGGGCCTTCCAAACTCCAACCAAACCACATGCCTTCACGTTTTCCATTCCCTCCTTCCAATCTCCTCATTCTAGATCGAGATCTAGAGAGTAATGTTTGCTGCTGAGGAAATCGTAGCAGCTCCATGAAGTAATCTCCTCAAAACCATGGCGGAATGCGCGTATCGTCATGGCGGAATGCCCTGAGCGCACGCCGAATTTCCGAAACCGTAGACTTTACGACACGTGATTGTCAGTGCAGCTGTCTTTTTCGCACGCCTCCTGTGCGATGACGCGAAACCGTAGTGGATGCGTGTCTGCGACGAGTGCAGCTGCGGATGTCGCAAATCGGTAGCGGATAACGCATGGCGTACGGCTGGCGCGGAACTGCATTGGCGGGCGCACACTTCGCGCGATAGAAGTGACGACCTGTCGTTCATCAGCAGCTGTCGATCTGCTGCGCGTCTGCTGCATCATTTTCGTGTCCGCGCTTGCTGCATCTTCGTAGGCCTTTCTCCCCATGCTTTGGCAATCATGCCAAGTTTGCTCAAACTTCACCTATGTTGTTCGGTGATGCTCCCCATACACTCCAGTCGACACACGGTAGTAGCCGGAGTTGCCGAACTTCATCAGCTCGAGGGTTGCGCATGCCGACGAACTCCAAGTATCCCAGAAAACTGTACTCCATACATGCAGAAACGTCCTCTTTAAGTATGCAGTGCACACTAGGTATGCAGAAATGTGCACACCAGGTATGCAACAGTGTCCACACCAGGTATGCAGAAATATTTTCTCCCATGTAGATTCTCCGTTCTTCCCTCGCGGTTGTGCCGTTCATCAGCAGCAACCAGTCGCACGATACTACTGCGTCACAACGGATGACGACCGGCTGCATCCATTCTGCCTGCTCCCCCTGCCTATTGGCAACCCTTGGTGAGTAGGTCTTCCACTTATGCACCTTGACTCCATATCCCACTCCTGTGCCACCAGATACACTCCACACCTCAACCCCCCCCCACCCATGCGCTTGTAGTCCTCCGCATACACAGCTACAAGCACATGAGTGAGTATGGAGTTAGGTGATGCCATGGTGTGCAGCACAGCTCGAGGAGGCCGCACACGTGAGTACAACTCCAGACTCCTTGACTTGGCAATCATCAGTAGATGGTACGCCCGTTGTTCCACAACCCACAGTGTTTTCCGCACCATTGTCTTCAACCTCCTTGGGTACAATCACTCCTGCTGCAGGTAAGCCATCTACTGCAGCATCTCCGCTTCCTTGGGTTGCATCAACTTCATCAGCTGCAGGTGAGCCCTGTTCTACAAGGTCCGCTCCATCGCCATTCACCGCGGACCTTTTTCCTTCTCCCCCTGAAGTCCACACCACACAGTGGGGTAAGACTTCATTATTGGTATCATCATGTGCCGGCTTGCGCACGATGCATGCTTTGTGTGCCATGCGGTACTGAAGGGATGCGTGTGCAGAGCGGGCACTCAGCTGCACTCCAGGTGTGCGGGAAAGCGTGCTCCCGTGGGTACCCAAGTGTACTCCAGGTGTGCGGAAACGTGTATGCCCTTCACAATCATGCTTCTTTGATGACGCACCATCATGGGAATGTCCAGGATCATGGGCGGATGTAAGTGCATGCGCATACTGCACCACGAGCACTCCATCCACGTTCTTGGCAAGTCCAATCCGCACGTACTCCTCTCCATCAGTCATGGTGATCTCGGTGTCTCCATTAGCAATGGTATTGATGCGCGCTCCCTTTTTCAGTAGCTGGCAATAGGAGAGCAGGTTAATCTTCAAGCCAGGTACGTAGAGGACGTCAGTGTACCGAACTGTTGTCCCATTAGGTGCCGTTGCTCTGATCGTTCCTGTCATCTTGCTGCTCAGCTCGCTCCCATTAGCAAGCTCCACATAAACAGGTTCTTCCAGCTCCCTTAACTCTTCAAACCAGCTCTTGTCCGAAGTCATGTGCTGGTTGCATCCACTATCCAGCATCCAAGATGACGCTTTAGCTGGTGGTAAGGTAGCTTGTGACGATCCCACCATTGCAATGCACGTAACAGTACGTTGTTTGTCTTCCCCGGCTGCCCCTTGCTGTTTTGATGCATTGTTGTCACGCTTGGGGCTGCAACTCCTTCGTGGGGAGGACGAACGGCTGTCGCTGGTGTGCAGTTTTGCCTTTCTGCGGGTATGCGGTTCCCACCCTGGTGGTGTCCACCCAGGGGGTGCCTTGGTACACTCGAAGAAGGGGTGGCCAGGCTCCTTGCAGTACCAACACACGAGAGATGAGCGACTTGCATCTCCATCCTTGCCATGCGTTTTCTCCCCAATTGACCCCTCCTTCCCGTTATTGCCCTTAGCAGTTGGAGAAGGTGAGCGGTCTCCACGTGCTTGTCCAACCATGCAAGGTGGACGCCTGTCACGGTTATCCTTTGTGATGAGGTCGTAATACCTCTGCTCCTGAATCATCATCCGCTGCAAGGTGAAGCTGTCCATCACGTTGTGTAGCATTGCCGAGTGCCTCATCTCCTCCCATTGCGTCGGTAGTCCGGTGAGCAGATTTAAGGTGAATGTGTCCTCATCCACCATCTTCTCCGCGAGTGCTAACTTGTCCCGGATTGCCGTTGCGCGGTTCATGTACTCCTCCACCCTTTCCGCGTTCCCCATTTTTAGGTTGTCCAGCTGCTTCATGAGAGAGACCTTCGCCACCGAATCTTTGGCCTGGTAAGTGTCCATTAAGTACTCCCATGCTTCATATGCCGGGCTATAGGATTCCTGGAACATGTCCACCTGTAGCTGAATCGTGGCGCTCACGCTGTGCAGTAGGACCCAAAAAGAGAGCGCCGCACGTTATGAGTAGTCCGCCTATAGCATTTCCAGCCGCTCCATAGCGTCGTTAATGTCACCATCTCCCATGGTAACCGGATACTGCAGGGTCACAAAGAACTCCCACAGATTCGTGACGCGAGCGTTCATACAAAACCGTAGTGCCCACTCCCGGAAGTTCGAGCCATCAAACGGAGTAGTGGTGAACGCTTTGTCCACCGTTGCTCCCACCATTTTGCGTGACAGCCGTTCCTTGTCTTCTTCCGTGTATTCACGTGGAGCGGGGTCGAAGAGAGTAGGCACGGTTGACGGTCGAGGTAGCTGAACCGTGCGCTGCATGTCCCCATTCTGTCGACCAAGTTGACGTTCCATCACTTCCACTTGATCGCATCGCATGACACCGCTTGACTGCATTCGCCCCATGCTGTCCACAGGATGTACTCCTATCGGCGGACGTGGTGCACGCGGAGGTATCTCATAGCTGCCATGAAGGTGAGACCTGGCCATGGGAGGAACTCCAATGGGATGGGAGTTAGTCGCAAGTCGTCGTAGTGGGGGAGCACCAATAGTGTAGGAGGCAAAACCCACACCTTCCACGCCCACTTGAACATTTCCGACACCCTGCTGCCCAATCTGTCCACTTCTCATTCCACCATGCACTGCACTCCCATACTCATCATTCCTCCCCTGTGCTTCCCTTTGCATGGATGATTGAGGTGTGATATTGGCGCTCTCCTCTCCTTGGACGAATGCATCCCTCCCTTGGGATGACTCTCCTCCTTGAGGTATGCCCATTTCCCTTTCACCATCAATTCCTGCATGAACATTTGCATGAGTTTGGTTAGTACGTGGAGTGCTTGAATGAGAGTGTTCACGGGTGGACGGATTGCTGAACTCATGAGAGAGTGTTGCCCTTGGCTCAATTGTCATTCCAAACTTGTCCCTTAACGAAGCTTGGACTGTTGGTGGTGCCCTTGCAATCATGTTTTCCAGGTGCTCATGCTGAACCATGATGGCTTCTTCAAAAGCCGCATATCCAGGATCCAATTCGCCATCGAAGTGCGTCATGATCTTGATCAAAACCGTCCACCAAATGTGCGGTAAACGCGCAGTTGTAACCAACAGCGAACACCAGGTGTACGAAAGCGTAGACCGAGTGTGCGGTACTCCGACTGTATGCAGGTACCTATCCAAACTGTATGTCAGTAAATTCCTGAATCAATTTTGGCAGCATGCCCCCTAGAGTAGCTCTGATACCATGCTAGAAAGGCATAGTGCCAGCGTAGCGGAAACATGTTTGTAGAAAAGAACAAGATAGAAATCTTGCATTGATCATTGAAAAGTAAAAGGATGACACAATGAGTACCCAATGATGTGACACAGCAGGGTATATATGCATCCAGCTACCCCTCCAGAATGACCCATTCACACCAATAATGGTGTACCAATAATTGTACCCTCTACCCTTTAATAATGCTTACCTCCAATAATTCTGGCCCTACAATAATTGTGACAATTCTTGTAGGAGCTGGAGGCTTATAAAGAGGACTACACTAAAACCAAACAGCACACTGGTATACAATATTCGTTATACTGTATTCGGATTTCCAACAATTCTTGTGCACAGCAGTGCACAATAACATTAGAGAGCACACTATACAGCACTACATGGAATCTACACACCAAAAAGGCAGACCGTGACCAGCTAGCACCGTCCCAAGCCCTGTACTACAATCCAGCTTCAATCTCCTACCAGACTCATGCTACCTGACCTGCTATCTGCACCACTTGCTACCTGCAATAACTTCGAACAACACCACAGCTGACCACTCTGTTCCTCTTCCCTACCATCACACAGCTGATAACCCATTCCTCCCCACTCATCCCTCATGCCTCTGAAACCCTACAACTCTCCTAACCTCACCTCCCCTCTCCTCCTCTCCTCACCCCTCCTCTTCTCACCCCTCATCTTCTTCTCGCCCCTCTTCATCTCCTTACCTCTCGTCCCCTCACCTTACCTTCTTCAGACCTCACCTTTCCTCTCACTTCCCCTTCCTCACCTCCCCTTCCCCTCTCCTCTCCTCTCCTCTCCTCACCTCCCTTCTCCTCTACTCACCTCCCTTCTCCTCTCCTTCTCCTCTCCTTCTCCTCTCCTCACCTCCCTTCTCCTCTCCTCACCTCCCTTCTCCTCTCCTCACCTCCCTTCTCCTCTCCTCACCTCCCTTCTCCTCTCCTCACCTCCCTTCTCCTCTCCTCACCTCCCTTCTCCTCTCCTCACCTCCCTTCTCTCCGTTCCTCACCACTACCGACCTTCTCACAGCCCGTCTAACTTCCTGTACCCACCTCCCTCCCCTTCCTCATGACCACCTCTTCTTCTCGCCCCTCCTCATCTCCTTACCTCTCGTCCCCTCACCTTACCTTCTTCAGACCTCACCTTTCCTCTCACTTCCCCTTCCTCACCTCCCCTTCCCCTCTCCTCTCCTCTCCTCTCCTCACCTCACCTCTCCTCTCCTCTCCTCACCTCACCTCTCCTCTCCTCTCACCTCCATAACCTCCCTTCTCCTCTCCTCTCCTCTCCTCACCTCCCTTCTCCTCTCCTCACCTCCCTTCTCCTCTCCTCACCTCTCTTCTCCTCTCCTCACCTCCCTTCTCCTCTCCTCACCTCCCTTCTCCTCTCCTCACCTCTCTTCTCCTCTCCTCACCTCCCTTCTCCTCTCCTCACCTCCCTTCTCCTCTCCTCACCTCCCTTCTCCTCTCCTCACCTCCCTTCTCTTCTCCTCACCTCCCTTCTCTTCTCCTCACCTCCCTTCTCTTCTCCTCACCTCCCTTCTCTTCTCCTCACCTCCTTTCTCCCCACCGTTCCTCACCACTACCGACCTTCGCACAGCCCGTCTAGCTTCCTGTACCCACCTCCCTCCCCTTCCTCATGACCACCCCCCCCCTTCAGTACTTCCATCTTGGCGTAACCCCACCCCGCACACCCTTACCCGCCGCCCTCTCCCCCTCGGCGCCCCTGCTGTTAACTCGCCCAGTCTCCCTCAGCGCTCGCCCCTCCACAACCTCACCTCCTCCTCCTGCCTTCCCTCCTCGTTGCACTCGCGCAGTGGAAGCATCAGGAGTGTTAGGGGGCGCATGGGGACCGGTAAAAGGGGTTCTCTCACTCCTGCTCCTCACCATCCCTCCTTCCACACGCGCCCTCAGCCCTTTTCCCCGAACTCCCTCTCCTCTCTCCTTCCCCGTACTCCCAGCACACTCCATAGACAACTTCCTACTCCCCATCCTCCCTTGCGGCTGAGATTCGGCCCGAACCAGCCTTCCGAGCCTGCTGGTTGATACCGAGCCTGGAGGTACCAGGCCTGCCTTAGGCTTGGCAGCAGTCCGAGCCTTCTCTGCAGTGGCGGTGCTGGTGGTGGTGGTTCCATGGTTGAATACCCCTCCCACTCGGAATATGCTCCCATTGCCCTCACTCGCCCTCCCTTTACCACTCTCCCTCTGCTCCTTCTGTTGCACCTCCCTCTGCTGCTGCTCCTCCTCTCCCCTTGCCTTTGCTTCCTCCCCCTCCCCCTCCCCTGCACGCATGCCCTTTGCCATCGAAACGACCCTTTCAACGGTTGAAGCCACGACAGCAGAAGCAGCATCACCAGCTGAAGCAGCAGCAGCAGCAGCAGCAGCAGCAGTGGGGGTGGAGGGCATGGAGAAGGGAGAAGCAGGGGCGGAGAAGAACTGCTGCACCTCCTCATACTCCTCTTCTCCCTCCCCCTCATCTACCTCCGCATTCTCCTTCCCTTCCTCCGCACAATCACTGCCATGCTTCCCTGCTCCAGCCGCCTCGGCACAGTCAACAGGGTCAACAGAGGCTCGGCCAAGTGGCAGGGCGAGCAGCGGCACCACTGCCGAACCTCTCCCATTCCTCCCTATTCCCAGAGACACCTTCCTTGCCCCGCCGCCCAAGGCAGCAGCACCATTCACACTGCAACTGCTGCTTCTTCCCCCAACAGCACTGTCGCCACCGGCGCCATAGCTGGCATTGATAACACTGTACGCAGTGTTACCACTGTTACCAGCACCACCACCCTTGCCACCAGCACTGCCACCACCACCGAGCGCCACTCCCCGCCCTTCCTCCTCTACCGTCCCCATCTTCTCCCCCGCGCGCGCCCCATCCGCCCCCGCGCCCCCGTACTTGGGCACTGCGCCATACACGTTCCCCCTGATCCGCGCAACCACCCTCATCTCCCCCCTGCCCGGGGGAGAGGGCGTCAATCCCACGGGCGACCCCAGTAGGGGAAGCCCCATCCGCCACAGCCCTGGCTCCGCCGGTGCGCCTGCGCCTGCGCCTCCCCCTACCCCTCCCCCTGCGGATACGGCGAGTTTTGCCGTGAGGGGGGTGTTGGGCTCGGGGGAGGCGGAAGGGGACGCGGAGGGCGAGGGGGTGCGGCGGAGGGCGGAGGTAGACGCCTGCACGGCGCGGCTGAGCGCGGAGATTTCCGCGGACTGGTGGGACAGCTGGGGGGAAGAGGGGTTGGTGGGGGGGAGAGAGTGTATGGGGAAAAAGGGGGCAGGTGAAAATAGAAAGTGAAAGGAACGTCGGAAGCAACGGTAAAGTCGAGATGAATGTGAGCACATGAGAACACCAGGCATGGTGTGAAGGCACAAGGCATGCGACTCGAGCGACTCACCATGGCCATCAGCTCCTCCATCCCCGCGCTCCTCGCATCGCCCCCCTTCGCCGCCTCCTCCGCCTTCTCCTCCGCCTTCTCCTCCGCCTTCTCCTCCGCTTTCTCATCCGCCTCATTTTCCTTCTTATCTTCGTCCTCCTCTTCCCGGACAGGCTTCCCCGCATCTGTGCCATTCACTGCCGCGCTGCCACGTGTCAGCTCCTGAATGGCTTCCGTCTGACCGAGAACGAGGGCTTTGAGCTCCGCGATGTGCGCCGCCTGCAGCGCCATGAGGTCCTGCGGGACGACGCGGGAGACGCGGATTGATCACAGACGAGCAGAGTGTGAGGCAGTGCATCTGGCAATACCGGTACGAGGAACTGCTAGTTACATTCGTTTGTCTCACCTTCAGGGCGGAGTTCGATTCAACGGCATTGTTCAGAGCCTCCTGAGTCGTGGTTCGCGACGCCTCAACCTCCGCGCACCGCCCCTCCGAGCATTTCATCTCCTCCGCCATCCGTTTCATCTCCGCCTCCATGCGTTTCATCTTCCTCGCCGCTCGCTCGCTTCCCTCTGTCCCACGTTTAATCTCCTCGCCCATGCTTCCCACACGTTCCTCCTCGCGTTTCAGCTTCTCCTCCAGCCGTTGCATCTCCTCAACAGCCCGTTTCATTTTCCCACCCATCTCATCTCGTTCCATCTCCACGCGTTTCAACTGTTCCTCCAACAGTTTCAATTCGAGGTCCTTGGCCTGCAGTAGCTGCTGCACCTGAAGATGCAAAGAGGAACACAAAGTAAGGAGGAAGGAGCAAGAATTGATGATTGAAATGGAGACGGATAACATTCTAACGAAGACATAACGAAGAGGATTTGCGTTTGATGCAAACATAACGGCTCCTTACCCTCGCCAAGATGACAACAACGAGCGTCTGCGACAGTTACAAGCGTGTGCGAACGAGTCTTCAGCACCTACCTGTGAATTATCACCGCTCGCTTTCGCGGGACTCGGACCACCTTCTGCCACGCGTGCGACACCCGACGACGGGCTGGCGACGGGCGACGAAACGACGGATTTGGGCTGCTGGGATCGCAAGGCGACGAGCTTCTTGCGCAAAGAGCGCGCATCCGCGTCCTTTGCGCGGATCAACTTGCGGATCCGCGCAAACTCGCGTTTCATCTGCGTCCTGGCCGTCGAGACCGCCTTCCACGTCATCGTGAGGATCAAGGCGCGCTGCGTAGGGAGGAGAAGAAGAAAAAAAACGAAGCAGCTTTGACACGTGTCATCCTGAGTTACCCACGAACGTTAATTCACAAAAGCAGCGCCACAGGCGAGAGCCACTGCATCACGAGTTGATGAATGCATGTTTTCGCAGATAAAAGACGGAAAGAACGAATTTGGGATAGTCAAGGAGCTCACGTAGACAGGCGGGATGCTCAGCCATGATTGTTGTTCATCTTCCGTCAACACGCCGCTAGCTCCGACGTTTTCCGTCAACGCTTCCACGTTCTTCAGCTGTCCATCAAGCGACATCCACGCCAGACTCACTCGCCTCCCTGCTCCGTTCTGCAGCTGCCGAGCCTGTGGCGGAAAGCTTTCCGCCAAAGGCGGCAAAGACTGCAGCGACGCGCGGACGGGGAGTCCATGGAACTCCGCCACGTCCGCTAGAAACTCCCTCTCGTCCGGCAGCATGGCGGAAAAATCCCCCGCGCTTTCCGCCAGGGCGGAGATCCGCCGCTGGCTGGTCCGCGACGGGGGCGGAAACACCATTGCTGCGGACGACGAAGAGACGCTGCCGTCAACACTGCCGGCGAACGACGTCCGTCGAGATGACGGAGCAGAACCGAGTCCGACGGCAGAGGAACTGGTGTAGTTTGCGAGAAACGGAGGAGCGCCGGAGTTGGACTGACGGACGGACGCGGAGAGACGGGGCGGCACGATAGGTACGGAAGGCACGAGCTCTGTTGCCTTGAGCGTGTTGGGCGGTAAAATCTCGACTAAGGATTGCGTGGTTTGCGGAGGGACCGCAGCTGCCGGCACCGACGTGTTCCGACGGCTGTTCTCGTTAACGCTCCTCATCCCAAACGCGGACATGGCGGCTGATTTTCCCGAGGGGAAGGAAAAGAAGGAATTGTCGGAAAAATCCTGTAGCGCAGATCGGACGCCGGATCTGCCGGTTGGCGGGTGGCCCGACTTGACGGAGCCATCAAACCATTGCGTGACGGCCGCGAGGCCAACCGGATGCACCTCCTCGCTGCCGGTAACGGTTTCCACGGGAAGTGGAAGCGCGGGGGTGGTGACGTCAGCGAGAAGAGTGGGGGAAGGTTTCGAGAGAGATGGGGAGTAGGGTAAGGCGTTTTCGTCGTTGAAGCGGGATGAGAAGGTGAGCTTGTTCTGCAGCCTGCCAGGTTTCCGACCACTACGCTTTAGTGATACGGTTTCCATTGGTAAAAGCTATGACGCGTAACTGAGTGACGAAAGGACTAAAGAAAGCGTGGCGAGCAATTACATGTACTCTGAAGATCGCACGGAAAAATCACTAGACAGATCTGACGTAGCGAAGGAGAATACGAACATATCATCAAACAGCGAGACTACTGAAGTGAGACGACTAAACTTGGCGACAGTGAGAATAGCAATAGAAACAGCAGACTTCGATAGCTACGGTGTGCTGTAGGTGTTGGAACGAAGACGAAGGCTTGGATCTCCAAGGGCGAGAGGGAAGTGGAGACGAGGGTGCTGTTGCCACAGACAAGTGAGGCAGGGGGGTTGAGGGTCTGGTGGTCTGCTTCATGAATTCCCTAAATTATGACTAGCGCGCCGCGGTTTGCAGCGAGGAAAACGAGTCGCAGCAGAAATTCAAAATTTCTGCGAGCGCTGCGTTTTTGAGCGGGAAACGAATTTGAAATATCTGACAGAAAGTGATTGGCGTCCAAGCCTCCCATTTGACTTGCAGGGTTCAATACATCGATAATAAGATATCATACAAGAAGAAACAAAAATTCATCCTGTAAGGGAAATTCGAGACTCCTTGTAAAGCACTCAGTTTGGCAAAGTCTGTGATCTGACACATGGTCTCTTGTATGGCAAGATCAAGGTTGCTCTGTTCAAAGAATCTACTTCATTCAGGATAACGTCGAAGTACTTCACTAGTGGCTCCTTGGCCGTATCGCTTTCCACGGTTGCAGAGAGAGGTTGCGACGTTCATTTCCCTGTATCGACGTATCGTAACGCTGTGCTTTCACTGGCTTCTTTTCGCAAATCTCCATGTGTAGTCCACGTGAATCCTCAACGATGCTACATCGCTCTGGCAGTCTGACCTGGAAGCCTTGTTCGGCCAACTCCTAAAGTTTTTTAGCCTTTCGCACAATGTGATTGGAATCCGCACCCCGCTACAGTAAGGAGTTTGCACGCTAGAGCGACGAGGCGACGCCAGGCTGGGCCCATGGATGGGGCCGTCGTCCGGCTCATGCGACAAAAGGTTCCGCGAATCGTCGCATTCCCCGTCGCACTCTTCCTGGGAGTCGCCCTGCTGCTCGTCACCCGCCAGCCAGCGGAGATCGCGAGAGTAGAGGACCTCTTCGAAGCATCCCCTCCCAGTGCTCTCTCAACTCATCCTCCATCGTCCGATGCTTCACCAGTTCTCCCTCCGCCGTCCGATGTTGCATTACGGGAAAACCTTGAAAAAACGAGCATCCAGGATGCCATTCAGGAAGACAGCAATCAGGTCGACGGAAAGACGACTGAACCGAGTCGTAGCTCACGTGACAGTAGCGAAAGTACTCGTCCCGATAGAAGCACATCCAGCGAAGCTAATATCGAGAATAAACGCAATCAAGATGGCGAGGGCGAGCAGTGCTGGGACGGGCGGGTGCGCGTGTACGTGCACGAGCTGCCACGTCGGATGAATCTGGGACTGATGGAGCCCAAGTGGAAGACGCGGCAGGAGCAGCGCACCAACGGCAGCATGGACGAGCCGCCCATCCCGGCGTGGGGGTGGCCGGCGGGCGGCGACGTGCATCCCACGGCGTGGCAACACAGCCTCGAATACTTTCTCGTTGCAGACCTGCTGCAACCACCCTCGGTGCGTTGAATGAAGACACGTGACATGCGTTGAATGAAGACACATGACATGCGTTGAATGAAGACACATGACATGTCCTCTTTGAGTCACCTTAGAAAGCGACGTGCACCCCACGGCGTGGCAGCACAGCCTCGAGTACTTTCTCGTCGCCGACCTGCTGCAACCACCCTCGGTGCGTTCGTGGGGCATGCTGCATGCCCCCCTGTGCCTCCTTATGAGACACGCTGCACACCCCCCGGATGTCCGTGTGACATGTGACATGCTGCATGCCCCCCTGTACCTCCTTATCAGACACGCTGCACCCTTCCCCCCTCCTCCCCCCTCGAATGTCCCTGTGGGAGGTGACATACTGCGAGCCCCTCCATGATTCTCGTGTGCTGTAACCCTGTGCTCTCCCCTCCCTCGCACTAACAGAAGAGAGACTCCGGGGTGGCGGCCGTGAGGGTGAGGGACCCAGCACACGCGGACGTGTTTCTCGTCTTAAACTAGTCCTGTGCATTCCCTCTCTCATGCTTTCCCCACACGCGTCAACAGAAGAGAGACGCTGGAGTGGCAGCAGTGAGGGTGAGCGACCCCGCACACGCGGACGTGTTTCTCGTGCCCTTCTTCGCGTCCACCATGGTCAACCTGCTCCGAAGAAAGAACTTCCCCACCTACAAGGCTCTCGCAGTACGTTCTTTTTTCCTCGTTATAGACGTGTCATGGTTTCCATGCCCTTATTTCCGTCCACTATAGTCAGCCAAAGTTCAACACCTGCAAGGCCCTAGCGGCACGTTCTCTTGTGATTTGCATACTGAACAACCTGTCCTCCTTATAGACTCATGTGTCTCGTGCTCTTTGTACCTTCCATTCTGGTCGACTTGCTAATCCCCCATTCCTCCACATCCCACCTCACTGCACCTCACCGCACTGCACCAGATGGAGATGGCGGAGTTGATGAGCGCGTCGCCGTGGTGGCAGCGCAGGGGAGGGAGGGACCACGTGCTGTGCGTCACCCACTCTTGAGGCGCCTACACCCTCCCACCCACCTGCCCCTGCCACACCCCACCCCACCTCACCTAACCCCACCGCAACCCACCTCACCGCATTCCACCAGATGGAGATGGCGGAGCTGATGAGCGCGTCGCCCTGGTGGCAGCGGCGGGGAGGCAGGGACCACGTGCTGTGTGTCACCCACCCCAACGCCCTGGAGTCCGTGCGGCACCACATGGCTGCTGCTGCATTTGTCGCTGTGGACCTCGCCAGGTGGGTGAAGAGGAGAGGCAGGAGCAGCTGCGTGGAAGGTGGGTGGAAGGCACAGGCAAAGGGTTAGGGCTCAGAAAGGGACCACGTGCTGTGCGTCAGTCACACACCCCAACGCCCTGGAATCCGTGCGGCACCACATGGCCGCTGCTGCCTTCGTTGCTGTTGTTGACCTCGCCAGGTGGGTGAGGAGGAGAGAGCAGCGGTAGTATGGGTGGAAGGGGGAGGGGGAGGAGTTGAAAGCGTGCACCACCACGTGGCTGCTGTTGCCTTTTGAGGCGCCTCAAAAGTTGACTGCTGTTGCCTTGGTCGCTGTTGACCTCGCCAGGTGGGTCAGGAGTGGCAGGAGGTGCTAGGTGGGTGGAAGGGCAGCAGGGGTAGCAGGGTGAAAGGGGGAGCACGTGCCTGCTGTACAGGGGTGTCGGACCTGCTGAACCGACCTCACCTCCCCCTGTACACTCCTGCACTGCACACCCTGCCCCTCACCCAGGTACGAACCGGGGAAGGCGGATCTGCACAAGAACATCATAGCACCTTACTGGGCCAAGCTCACCTCCCCACATGCTCACCCTTGTTCTCTTCCCGCCCTAATCCAGGTACGAACCAGGGGAGGCGGATCTGCACAAGGACATCATAGCACCTTACGGGGCGCTGGTGGAGACTTACACTGCAGAGGCTGAGAGGCGGGACGCCCAAGGAGGGCTTGCAGGAGGAGGCAGGGGAGGAGGTCCGGCAGCGGTAGCCGAAGCTGAAGCTGAGGCTGGGAGCCGCCTGGGGAAGGGGAGGGAGGGGGGCGGAGATAGGGAGGGAGGGGAGGAGGAGGTAGATAGAGAGGGGATCAAGGATAACAGGGAAGGAGCAGTGGAGGCGGAGGGGGGAGAGGAAGAGGAAGAGGAGGAGAAGGAGAAGGGGACGGGGAACAGGAACGGGAAGGGGACGAGTGAGAAGGAGCAGGACGAGGAGGAGGAGGAGGGTGAGGAGGGGGAAAATGAAGAGGAAAAAGGAAAGGGGGAAAAGGTGGAAAACGAGGTTGGGGAAGAGGCTGAGGAGGAGAAGAAAGAGAAGGTAAAGGGGAAGGGGAAGGGGAAGGGGGAAAAAGAGGAGATGGAGGAGGAGGATGACGATGGGGAGGGAGAGAGGAGGCGGCTGGTGGGTGAAGGGAGACGGCTGGTGGGTGGGGTGGGATCCGAGACGAGGGAGGTGGAGAGTGAGGAATTGGAAGGCGGAGACAATGAGAAGGAAGGGACAGAGAAGGAAGAGGAGGGGAAGGAAGGGGAGGAAGGCGAGGGTGGGAGTGAGGAAGGGGAGGGCGGTGGTGGTGGAAAGGACGGACAAGTAACTGGAGGGGAGGCAGGAGCAGCAGGGAGAGGAGCAGTAGCAGGTGGTGCCGCTGCTGCTGCTGCTGTGGATACAGGAGGGGCGGATGCGGGTGTGTTTGCGCGGCGCACCACACTGCTCTACTTCCAGGGCACGCTGCAACGCAAGGATGTGAGTGTGTGGGAACAACAGGGGTGCGTGGTTACAGGGCGAGGCGATTTGCTTGTGAGGGAGGCTGCCTCTCCCCCCATCTTCTCACTCTCACTCTCTGCCTGCCCTCTCTCCCCTCCTTCCCCCCCATCAGCGGCGCAAGGCCCTGTTTGACGAGCTACAGGGGGAGGCGGATGTGGATGTGAGGGAAGCCGCCTCTCTGCAACCCTTCCTTATCATTCTCTTCCTTGCTTGCTATACCCCCCTCTCCCCCTCCCTCCCCCCCCGTCAGCGGCGCAAGGCCCTATTCGACGACTACAGGGGGGGTCGGACGCGCATGTGAGGAAAGCTGCCTATCCACAATTCCCCCTTATTGTTCTCTGCCTTCTCTTCGATACCCCTCTCCCCTCCTTCCCCCCTCCTCAGCGGCGCAAGGCCCTGTTTGACGAGCTACAGGGGGAGGCGGATGTGCATGTGAGGGAGGCTTCGGGGTCCAGCCAGTCCATCCGTGATGTGAGTGCTTCTGTCACGCACACACGTTCTGCCCCGTTTCACTCACATTTGGCAACATGCAGTGCACCTTTGGCAACATGCAGTGCACCTTTGGCAACATGCAGTGCACCTTTGGCAACATGCAGTGCACCTTTGGCAACATGCAGTGCACCTTTGGCAACATGCAGTGCACCTTTGGCAACATGCAGTGCACCTTTGGCAACATGCAGTGCACCTTTGGCAACATGCAGTGCACGTTTGGCCAATTGTCGTGTACGCCTGCCCTTCCTCTTTCCACCAACTCCCCATTCCGAAATGACCATTCTATTATGTGACACCCTCCAGTCCCCAGAGGGCATGCTTCTGATCTGACTGCACGTGGAGGGCGGTGCCTCACCCTGATACCCCCCTCCTGCTTGCCATTCCAAATTCCAGCATTCTCAAGCCACTCTCTGTGCGTGTCCCTCCCCGCTCTTCACTTTTGCCTGAGTCCCAAGAGGGCAGGCGGCGGGCGTGCTTCTGCCCGCACGTGGAGGGCGACACACCCTCTTAGTTTCCATTCCAGACTCCACCATTCTTGCACCACTCACTGTCACTGTCCGTCCCCCCTCTCCCCTTCTGCCCACAGTCCCAGGAGGGCATGCGGCAGTCGCGCTTCTGTCTGCACGTGGAGGGCGACACACCATCCTCCTCCCGGTTCTTCAATGCCATCATGAGTGGGTGTGTGCCGGTGGTCGTCAGTGATAACGTGGAGCTGCCCTTCGAGTCAGCCATCGACTACTCGCGCCTCACGCTCTTCTTCTCCCAACAGGTGACCCTCTCACGCTCTCGTTTTATGCAACCAAAGCCCTGCGTTATCTGGCATGAATGGGTGTGTGCCCGTGGTCGTCACTGACCGCGTGGAGCTCCCCTTTGAGTCCTCCATCGACTGCTCCCGCCTCGCACTCTTCTTCTCCCAAGAGATGCGTGTGTGAGAGGCTTTTTGCGCTCTACCTCTTGTTGATCCAACCATACCGGAGCAGATTGTGTGTTCATTGATACAAGTGCCCACATTTTATCGTTCTTTCCACCATTTGTCGCTTGACTTTATTGTCTCCCATTGCCGTCCTTCCCCTCGTCAGGACGCCTTGGTCAAAGGCCGTCTGGTCTCCGCGCTGCGCCAGGTGTCGGAACAGGAGTGGCTGGCGATGTGGCACGAGGTGCACCAAGTGCAGAAGCACTTTGAGTTCCAGGTATGTTACCGTGCCTGTTCCCGTACCGATAACCATGCCTGATTCTGTTCCTGTAACTGCGTCTGTTACTGTGTCGGTTCCCATACCTGTATCAATGTGTGGCCCCATGCTTGTCCCCGTGCCTGTCGCCAACAGCAACCAGCGAGGGCAGGAGATGCAGTGGACATGGTGTGGTGGGAGGTGCATGTTCCGATACCTGTTCCCATACCTGTTCCCATTGCTCTCCCCATGGCTAACCTCAACAGCAACCAGCAAGGGCAGGAGATGCAGTGGACATGGTGTGGCGGGAGGTGCGCAACCGACTGCCCAGCATGCACCTCATGGCTCACCGCGACACACGCCTCACCATCCCCGACTGGAGTGCCTGATGCTGGCCTCATGGTATCTGCATGCGGTCGCCCTCCCTGGATGCATGGTAGTCCCTGAATGTGCGCAACAGACTGCGCAGCATGCAACACATGCCACACTGGGACCCTCGCCTCACCATCCCTGACTGGAGTGCCTGATGCTGGCCTGCTAGCCTGATGATCAAAGGCATCTGGTTCCTCCAGTGGTTGAGCAATGGTCCCCCATTCGTTGACAGTTATAGTGCAAATATCAGCAGGTAGGTACATACAGAAAACACAACCCGATATGTACACCCATTCTTGATGCAAATAAGCTATATAAGCAATAACATAGAATCCTATCTTGTTATTAACATCGCAGTATCAAGTCCTGTTCCCTAACTGATGTTGTGTTCTCATATCCACTCCCCCCCTACTTATACACCCATACCAGCCTTCACGCCCTTTTCATGGTCAGCATCGTCATCCTTGTCGTCTTCCTCATCATCCTTACCATCCTTGTCAAGCATTTTCTCCCCATCACCATGCTTGTCCTTGCCATGTTCATCCTCGTCGTCCTTATCCTCCTTATCCTCATCGTCCTTCTCATCTTTCTCATCATCGTCTTCATCATGCATGGAAGATTTCCTCTTGGGATTGTCGCCATGCTCATCACTATGATCGTCACCATGATCGTCGCTATGCCCATCATGGTCCTTGCCATGCTTGCCCTCGTCTGCACCCTCATGGTCATGGTCATGGTCATGGTCATGGTCATGGTCATGGTCATGGTCATGGTGGTGGTCGTGGTCCTGGTCATGGTTATGGTCATGGTCATGGTCATGGTCATGGTCATGATCATGGTCATGGTCATGGTCATGGTCGTGGTTGTGCTTATGAGCATCAGCATCATCACCATCATCATCACCACCGCTACCATCCCCATGCCCATGCTTGTCAAAAAGCGCACCAATTCCATCACCGTAACCACTATCGCCATCAGCAGCACCAGCACCAGCACCACCAGCACCACCAGCACCAGCACCACCAGCACCACCAGCACCGCCCTTCCCCTTGCGCGCCTGCCACTTGTGCCTGGCCTTGGAGTATTTCTTTCTCAGCTTAACGCAGTGCTCCAGCCCCTCTCGCACCCACCCTCTTGCAATTCGCAGCTGCTGATTCGCTCGCCTCAAGTCCGCAGCGCATGTGGCTAGGCCATCGGCTGCTGCTACTGCTGCTGCTTCTGAGGCTGAGGGAAATGGGAAAGGTGGAATTGGGAAGGGGAAAGGGAGAGGTGGAGGGTACAGGACTTCAGAGGGAGGCGATGAAATTCGAGGGTGCACAGCTCCGTGGATTGATTAAGGCAGCGTGAGAAGCTAGTCAGACGACACGCCAGGATATACAGGAGAGCAAACAACCAAGCACCACGACCACGGAGAACCGACCTGCATCCATCTTCATCTGGCTCATCCCTCCTGCCTGCATGGTTCCTAACCCCTCTGGAGGAGGTTCCGCCTGCCCTCCCTGCGACTGCGACAACCCCCCGCGCTCCGCCCATCGCTTCTCCATCTCTGCGAGCTTCGATTTCGCCTCGGCGGCTTCCTGATTCGCACGCGACGTCGCATAGTACCCCGTGGCGATTATACATGCGACAAGTGCGACGAATCCTATCAGCACGCCGACGGGAATCCCCAGTGGACCCTCTGCGGCAAGACCGGCGCCATTCGCGGCGAAGCGACGCCTTCGAGATAAGACCATTGTTAAAACTAAGATATTTACGAGCAACCCTGAAGCAGACGACTGCAAAAAGACAGAGTTAACGACTTAGGAGTGACATACTTAGGAGTTAACCAGAGCGCTGACTAGAATCGATATTGAGACAATCGCAGGAGAACTTGCGGTAATCCCAAGAAAGCCCATTTCCTCAAGAAAGTTCCGGATGCGTAACAAGCAGCTTCGACACCTCAGCATTCAGAAAACTGCGCAAGAAAAAAATCACATACCGGCAAACTGTGAGCTACAAACACCAAATTTGCCGGAGACACAATCGCCCACCCCCACCAAAATCAGCTGAAAATCATTACCTACAGCCAAGGCCGCGCGCATGCAATTATTTGACCCCACGCCAACCCACAATAGGGCCCATATGGGTGCTTGCGGCAGATTCAAGCAGCAGCCACACCTCAATCACATTGACAAACAGTGCCCTCAAATGGCTCTAGGAAATCTTTCACTAGGCCAGTCCTGTGGGTTGCGCGGCACAAAAACGGGTTTCCCCCTAGCTGCGTCCAGCAGCGGCCACAGCCCACGCGCTGCTGAAAAAAAATGCCTCAAGCACTTCTGAATGGATCTAGTCTAGGGTATTACTCCAGAGGCCAGTCCTGTGGGTTACGTGGCACAAACACAGGCTTTCCCTTAGCTGCGTCCAGCAGTGGCCACAGCCCCACGCGCTGCTGGAAAAACACTTCAAGTGCTTGCCCGTCAAATGTGACCTCTGCAGCCTCGTCCCCGTCTGCTGTCGCTCCCAGCCCGCTCTGCACTGTGAGGGTTGGCTCCCACTTCTCCTTACCGCGCTGTATCGCACTGAACACCTCTTCCTTGGCCACTCCGGGTAGCCCCAGGAACTGAGCCAGCGCGGTGGAGGCGGTCTGGGGACGAAGAGAGACGGAATGGAAGAGGGGTTGCAGGGGGCACATTGTGAAGCATGAAAATCGTGAAAATTTTGGATTTGGAAAATACAGGCAATGATATGCATGGTGCACAGCATTTGACAAGCCACCAAGATACCCTCCTCCAGCCATGCCTGCAGCCTCACACCCTTCCAATAAGCCTCCCCACATACACGCTACTGCCCATGCCGTTCCCCGTACCTTGGGTCTCTTGACCAGTGCATCGACATCAATCAGGCTGAATGTGCCGCAAGGGAGAGTCCGGAGGGACGCATCAATATAGAACATGCTGTCCTCGATCAGCCTCGCCTGCAGCTCCACACCCTGCCCATCGGACTCCCCAAATGCTCCCTACCTTGGGTCTCTTGACCAGTGCATCGACATCAATCAGGCTGAATGTGCCGCAAGGGAGAGTCCGGAGGGACGCATCAATATAGACCATGCTGTCCTCGATCAGCCTCGCCTGCAGCCCCACACCCTGCCCATCGGTCTCCCCACATGCTCCCTACCTTGGGTCTCTTGACCAGTGCATCGACATCTATCAGGCTGAAGGTGCCGCACGGGAGGGTCCTGAGCGAGGCATCGATGTAGACCATGCTGTCCTCGATCAGCCTCGCCTGCAGCCCCACGTCGTCGTTGTGGAAGCGCCGCAGCACGGACCAGAGGACGGTGTCTGTGAGGTTTCGCACCAGCACCACGAGCTGCAAGAGGGGGACGGGTGAGGGTTGATGCGAGGGAGGGCGGTGCCGTGCCAGACGAGCAAGGGGGAGATGAGAAGAGATGTGACGGTAGGCCTGTGGAAGCGATGTGACGGTAGGCCTGTGGAAGCGATGTGACGGTAGGCCTGTGGAAGCGCCACAGCACGGACCAGAGGACGGTGTCTGTCAGGTTTCGCACCAGCACCACGAGCTGCAGGGTAGAGAGGGAGGGGAGCGAGGGGAGAGGGAGGAGGGTGGTGTGCAAGAAGAGGAGGGAGGGAGGAGATGAAGTGAAGTGAAGTGAACCCCACATCGTCACGTGAAAAAAGGAGTGTCACAGACAATGTCTGTGAGGACGTCTCAAAGCACTCCTTTTTTCAAGAGGAGGGAGGAGATGAAGTGAAGTGAACCCCACATCGTCGTTGTGGAATCGCCGCAGCACGGACCAGAAGACAATGTCTGTGAGGTTTCGCACCAGTATCACGAGCTGAAAGGGGGATGTGGGAGAGGGGAGCGAGGCAGGGTGTCAGGGTTGCCATGCCATTGCTGCGGAATGGAAGCGCTGCAGCACAGACCAGAGCACTGTGAGGTTTCGCACCAGTACCACGAGCTGCGGGCCAGGGAGGTGGGGGAGGAGCAAGGGCAGAGGGAGGAGGGTGGTGTGCAAGACGGGCAAGGCAAGAGATTAAAAAGAGATGTGGCATCATCAGGCCTGCACAGCACCGTGTCTGTAGTGGGGTTGCGCATGGGCACCACGAGCTGGATTCAGGAGGGGGAGAAGGGGAGCATTCGTGAGTGTAAGGTTCCGCACAAGCACGCTAGACGAAAGGGGGGAGGAGATGCGGGGTGTCAGAGTGTCATGAAAGGGAGTGAGCAAGGGTGGTGAAATGAAGAGAGCAGTGAACAGGACACGAAAAATGCATTCATACCTTGAGGTTATACAGGATGCCGTGGAATGTCGCGAGGGAGATGAGGTCTGGACGAGCCAGCGGTGTGCGAATGCGGCCCATGGGGAAGGGGTCCCTGGCACGCAGGTAGTAGTTTGTGTCCTGCGCACAGCACAGTAAAGGGGAGTAAGCAAAAAAGAACAGCAGAAGGAGGTGAATGAGCTTGAATAAACTTCGGCATGATCGAATGCGACCCATCCCATGGGGAAGGGATCCCTGGCCCGCAGGTAGAAATTCGTGTCCTGTCATCGTTAAGGGAGGGGGTTCAAAGAGGCAACGCACAGCAGAAGAGGCAACTGAGACAGTGCATGTTTGATTGTGCCCCATGGGAAAGGGGTCCCTGGCGCGCAGGTAGTAGTTTGAGTCCTGCCGTTTGAGGGAGGGGGGTGAAAGAGGCAACACGCAGCACAAGGAGGCGATTGAGTGTGTGTTTGCACAGCGCATATCTGAATGCAAGCCATCTGAATTTTGAGTGGACTCAAAAGTCAGCTCGGTATAATGTCACAAGGAGGCGATTGAGTGGGTGTTTGGACAGCGCATCTCTGAACGCAACCCATCCGAAAGGGGTCTCTGGCCCATAGGTGTTAGTTCGTGTCCTGCTCACAGCAAATGGAGATGAGGGGCAGGCCACACTGAGACACCACAAGTACAGGCAGATAGAGTATGAGCGTACCTGGAGCTTGGACTTGAGGGCGGTGGACATGTGAACACCAAAGTCATTAAACAAGAGGGGGAGAGTAGGCCAGCTTGGGGCAGTCCACACCACACTAAGACTCATCAAGCGAGCACCTACCTTATCAACGAACTTAAGAAGGCCTTACCTGGAGCTTGGACTTGAGTGCAGTGGACATGCGAACACCAAAGTCGTAGACGTGGCGGGAGTAGGGCAGCTTGGGGCAGTCGACGGTGGCACCGGTGGGGTCCTGTGCCGATGCCACCTTCTGCCCTGACGACGAGGTGAGGTGCAGGTCGGGGTTGAAGCGGTCTATGCTGATGTTCACTGGCAGGTAGCTGGGAGGGAGGAGAGAGACGGAGGGACGGAGAGGGGGAGACGGAGGGAGGGGCAGGACGGCAGCGGTATGGGGGAATACACGGTCGGGTCAGGGTTGATGTCGTTTGTTCCTGATGTTCACTGGCAAATAGCTGTTGGGGCGGGCAAATAAGGGAAAAGCTGAGGCGGTAGGGCAGGTGGGAGGATGGGGGAGGGTGTAAGGATCACCAAGCGCATGTGCAAAGAGGGGCAGGGGGCGCCTGAATATGTACTCACAGAGGGGCAGGTCATGCTTTGTCGTGCGCCCCTCAGGGGGCTCCCCTCAGTGCCTATGAACATGAACAGGCGGGGCAGCTGATCCGCCTGCACACTGCAGTGTGCGTGCGCTACAGTTTCCCTGTGGTTTGAATGACAGACTGGCGGGCACAGAAAGGCTGGAAACCCTACCTGAAGATGTACTCAAACAGGTCGTGCCCGCTCCCTTCAGTGCCTATGAACATGAACAAGCGGGGCAGCTGATCCGCCTGCGCGTGCTTGCGTGTATATAGTTGACCTGTGGGGCGTGCGTACCTAAAAATATACTCAAAAAGATCGTGCCCGCTCCCCTCAGTGCCAACGAACATGAACAGGCGGGGCAGCTGATCCGCCTGCGCGTGCACGTGAGTGGGCAGGCGGCACACTGGCGGGAAGAGGTGCGGGCGCCAGGGCTTGGTGCTGAGGCGCCAGGAGAGGGGCGCGCACGCCAGCAGCACCACCACTGCGAGTGCTGCTAGCAGGGTTCCCCATGCCGACCCCCCCCTGGGGATTTTCAGCGGCTCAAAGGTGTCCGTTGCACGCCTGGCGTGTTTTTTTTGGGGGGGGGGTGGGGTGGGGATAAGGAGTGGATGCGGGGTTTTGAAGGGCTTTTTAGGAAGGTTTGGTGCTGAGGTGCCAGGAGAGGGGCGCGCACGCGAGCAGCACCACCACTGCGAGTGCTGCCAGCAGGGTTCCCCATGCCGAGCACCCCCTGGAGACTTTCAGCGGCTCAAAGGTGTCCGTTGCACGCCTGGATTGTGGGGAGAGGAGGGAATGGGGTTAGGAGGGAATGGGGAGAGGGGAGAAGTGGGGATGAGGAGAAGGGAGAGGTGGGGGGGGGTGTGGAGGAGAGGAGGTAGGGGTTAGAAGGGTGTCTCAGGAAGGTTGGGTGCTGCTGAGTCGCCAGGAGAGGGGCGCTCACGCCAGCACCACCACCACCGCCAGCGCCAGCGCCGCAAGGGTTCTCCATGCGACCAGCGGATTTTAGCAGGGAAACAGATGAATCCGCGGGGTGTTTGTTAGGAGGTGTGCGCGAGGAGTTCGCTGGTGCCATGCCAATGCGTCTACGTGGCTCATGACATGAAGCGTGCGAAAGAGAATCCGCGCAGCAAGAGGATTCGTGCAGGGGGGCTACAATTTGCAGGGAGGGGAATGTCGCTGAGAGCAAGGCAGGAAGGGGCACGCCCTTTACGGTCACATTGAGAGGGATATTGCAACGTGACATAAATAAACTAATGATACAGGGGACTGGAGTGCAGAGACTCACTTGGGGAGCGGCGAGGAGGCGACCGGCGTGGGTGAGTAAGGCGCTGAGGTCGGCATATTGTCGCTCCCCACTCGCGCAGCGCGGCGGCGTGATGTGGGGGTTTGTCACTCCCTACTCGAGCACGGAAGGAGTGTACGCGCCGGGTTTATCACTCGTCACTCGAGGACGGCAGTGCCGAACGTGTTTTGTCACTTCCTACTCGCGGACCACTGCACGGAAGGAAGCGGGTCAGACGACAGGGTGCGCTGGTGGCAACTCTACGCGCGGGGATGACGGGGTTGCAAGGGGGGAGAAGAGGGAAGGAGCCGACGAGACGTGCGTGAGCAAGAGACATGGGAAGATGGTAATCGGGACAAGGGTAAGGAAACGACGGGTATGGGAAGTGCCGACCCGGAGCGAAGAGACTGATAAGCGAGCGACGGACTAGTAGCATTGTTGAAGCGGCACCACTGTTCGGTAGTAGGATTCTAACGTGGTACCGACTTACATACATTTCAGTGCTTCACCGAGGAACAGACAAGCAACAATCTGTCCGTAATGCGTGGCTTGCGAGGCCGTCGTCGGGTTATACCGTATTGATTACATAAAGTGTGTTGAAGAAGTGAGAACGTTCCGTACAGTCAACCTGAGGTAGTAGGTACGGTAAGAGTAGAGCCCCAGGTTAGGTATGTGATATGATAGGTTATCAGTTGAAGGAGTGGACGGCATTGCGCCAGAGTTTAGAGAAATTGGGGGGCAAGCAACGCAAGGCATGAGGCCAAGGCATCAGGCAGGGCAAGGCCTCTTGGAACGCAAAGCACCACCGCCCACCCCTTGCCCAAACCAACCTCGCCGCGTGGAGCTGGTGTTACAAACCACCACAAACATTTATAGATAGAACGACGCAACACAGAACCAGTCACCTAACTCACATCCATGTATTTAGAACTAATTATTGGGGAACAACAAATATTATCAGGCAGCCCCATCTCTAAGCAGCCGTTGTATTATTATGAGGATTACAATCACCTTAGCATAAGCCGCGGTTAGTTTTCTATTCGTTTCCACCAGTTTGGTGGCCAGTCACACCACGAGCCGGTAGTTAATATATCTGCCAGCAGTTTCACTGTTTCTGAGAACCTTCACCACCTGCCCTCTGTTGAGCCCAAAGTACCGAGCCACTGGGTCACTCCTCTGCATGCGGGGCAGCTGGTGTGAGGGAGAGAGAATAAAAAAAAACGTGCAAATATAATATGATCACAAGGATAAGATTGGTAACCATCCCAAAGAATCCGTGCACAACTCCTCTGCATGCAGGTAAGCTGGTGTAAGGCAAACGAGGGGATAGGGGTCGGAGGGGGATAAGACGGGAATCCATGGAAGGGCTAGTATGGGGGCATGGGTTAACAGCACGGGACATATGCACAGAACACTTGGTAGCCGAGTAGGTGAAAGAAGGGGAGCAGTGGTGGGCGGGGATGAGGTTGGGGATTGGCGAGAGGATGACGAGTGTGAAGAGCGCGAGAGAGATGTGGGCAGTCGACGGGATTCAGTGCCAAGAAACATACTAAATCCCATACCCATGAGACACACCTGGTGCTCTTTGACCGTGTATCTCTCCAGCAGAATGTGCTTCTCCTCGTCTGTCAACACCACGTGCTGCGGTACCAACTCGTGCTTTGTCACATTCACCAACAGCTCGCCCTCCTGCCATTGTGCGTTGATCATGACAGGATTGAAATGGAAGGCCGGAAAATTGATGATCATGAAGGGATAACAATACACGGCGGGCCACAGAAGCAGAGAAACCAAGGAACTATTATATTACGATTCGACAAAGGTTGATTGGCGAAAGCGCCTCCGTATTTTGTCACATGAAACACCCACTTTTAACACCTCTCATACCTGGAAGACTTCGATAATGTACTTTGGAGCCATGTCAGCGAGAATCTTCTTGGAGAAGGGCGTGAGGTTCTGCTGCACCACCATGATGGCACGCGACAGCCCCGACCCCTTCATCTTCTCATAGTACCCCTTGAGCGTCTTGATGCCCACCTTTGCCTCCACCGGGAAGAACACGTAGATCTGTGCATGTGCGTGCAAGGGGAGGGGACGCGTGCGGCGTGGGGGGTTTGGTGTGAAGGGATGAAAAGAGGGGAGCGGGGTGGGAGGAGGGGAGAGTGGTGTGTGTGATTTTTCCAAAGCGCCTCAGAAGTAAAATTGATGCCCACCTTCGCCCCCAGACGAACGCGTAGATATGTTAGGGTGGGTTCAGGAAGGTGCGGTTTCAGGGAGGTGCGGTTTCAGGGAGGTGCGGTTTCAGGGAGGTGCGGTTTCAGGGAGGTGCGGGTTCAGGGGGGTGCGGGTTCAGGAGGCGTGTGGGTTCATGCAGGTAGGGTGTGAGATGAGACAAGGATGTGAGAGGAGGAAAGGGGGGAGTGGGGCAAGGAAGACGGGGAAGTACAATGAGGGGAGGAGAGGGGGGAGCAGGGGGAGAGGACAGGGGGGAGCAGGATGAGAGGTCGGTTATGTGCGAAGAGTAGTGTGTGCAAGGAGGAACGGGGGAGTAGGGTGAGAGGAGGGGAGACAATAGCAACAGGAGGAAATAAGGAAAGAATCGGAAGAAGACCTTATAACGAGCCAAACGACATTCAAATTCCCACCCTGAGCCTCGTACACACGTGCTTCAAACACACTTGGGTTTCCCACCTCGTCGTTAGGGTTGTCCCTCTTCTGCTTTAGTAGCGTGAGATCGTCTCGTTGAGGGTCGTCCCCGAATTGGTCTCTGAAATCGTCCTTGGTCGATCGAAGCTCGCGATCAGCTACTAGGTACCCGCGATCGTGTAGCATCTGACCAGCCAGCAAAACAATAACACACCCGAGGAGTACGCTGTTCACTAGAAATACCAGAATTGATATATAAGCGTGTGACGTGTATTGGGATTATGCAGCATCAGAACGCAAGGTGCAGAAGATAAGGGGTTGGGGGAAAGGGCAGAGGATTTAACGTTTTTTTATTTACGACGGAAAGTGACGGGAACAGCGGAATAAACTGCGCTACGTGCCCTCCCGATACGTATTGGAGCATGCTGCAGAACGTAACGGACCTCGAATATTGTCCTTCTCACGCGGAACAGTCTGGACACCGTCTCGTCCCCCATGGCTGGGTGACTTTATGCTGATTAGAACGCCGAAAAATACAGTGGAGACGTTCGACTAGACTGGCGAGCGGAGAGTGCGCGTACTGACGTGGAGACGGAATAGGTGTCAAACTAAGGTCGAAACGGAGGGCCTGTATTATAATATGAACTATGAATCTAGTCACACTTAACGAGCATTCGTAGTTTGGTGGAACTACTTATGGGGCAAATCTGAGGCACGCTTCGAGGATTTCCCTCCTCCTTTCGGCATTACGGTTATCTTATCTATCAACTCTTTCTGGTGTACTTCTTATCACGAGTTGCCTCATAGCGAGCGGCCGTACTGAACCCACAAAGCCGTAACAAACCAGCGTAACAAATTTCGGCACTAGCGCTCGCGATCATGATGAATATTCCACGTGTGTTTCTCCCCTCTCGAGCATCTGGGGGCAAAAATGGAGATTTTGCCACCTAGACCAAACTCCAACCACAGACCTCATTCACGTGGCATCGTTCCACGTCAGCAATTTACTTCTGCATTACAGAACACCATTTCTCTGGTGGGATGATGCAACCAGCCTTGGGATAATCAAAATGTGTCCCAGCCGTGCAATTCGCATCAGAATCTGCGTGGCCTCTCTCCTAAGGCAGATTCAAGGCTGCCTTGAATTCCCTCAAATATAAAAAGCTGTTCTTTCTTTGTACATTTTTCAAAATTCACACTTCACTTCGCCCTCTCCTCGTCTCATCCTAGCTCAGACTAACCATGGCTCGCGCCGTCGCCGCCCATTCCGCGCTCCTGTCTCAACTGGCGGCCCGCAGCCCCGTCGCAGCGAGCCACGCGTCAGCCGCTGACAGGCTCCATGCCGCTATTCTTCCCGTGAATCCTCTGCGCGCAGCGGTCGCACGAGGAGCCAGCAGCGGAAGGAGCCACGTGTCGCGCGTCAACGTGTCGGCTTCTGCCGCGTAGGTCACAGGTGTTTGGCTGGACCTCCGATGGTTGAACCCATGCCACATTCTGGCAGCACGAGAACCAACCCCGGAAATGTGACATTCGAAACTCGATACATCTGTTCCAAACTGTACCTTTTCCCGTTCTCTCTTCCCCCGTGCCTCCGTGTCGCTCCGTACCAGAACCGAGCCTAGCTCCAAGGACCTCCAGGCGAAGTTCGGCAAGGACGGAGTGAGCTTCGACGACGGGCTGGGCGGCCTGCCACGTGTCATTCTCGCAGACGCCTCCGGCAGGTGCGCACATGCCACCCCTCCCGTGTTTCCCTTCTCCGAAACCTGCCCATTTCTGCTTTCATAGTCTTACCCAAATAGTGCTTTGACGCGCCCATCCTGTCTCTTTGCCTTTCCGTCGTCCCCTCTCCCTCTCTTCCTCCCTCAAGCTCCTTCCCTCGTCACTCCCCCGTCTGCTCTATCCTTATCCACCTAATCTCTCCACGCGATCCCTTCCGAATTCCTCCTCCATCTCGGCCACATCCCTGTCAGCACGGCCGAGGTGTACCTCTACGGCGCCTGCACGACTTCCTGGAAGCTTCCGTCCGGCGAGGACCTGCTGTTCGTGCGCCCCGACGCGGTGTTCACGGGCGCCAAGCCCATCAGCGGCGGCATTCCGCACTGCTTCCCGCAATTTGGGCCAGGCGCCATGCAGCAGGTAAGATGTGCTGCGCTGTTCACAGACGCGCCGTTCACAGACGCGGTGTTCACGGGCGCCAAGCCCATCAGCGGCGGCATCCCGCACTGCTTCCCGCAGTTCGGCCCGGGAGCGATGCAGCAGGTAGGGGATGCATGAGAGCACAGTCAGTGCATTATAGTCCAACACAAGGTGACTCACTTCTGCAGTGACTCATTCTCATTCTCTCGCTGCGGTATTCCCGGAGCCAAGCCCATCAGCGGCGGCATTCCGCACTGCTTCCCCCAATTTGGGTCAGGCGCCATGCAGCAGGTGTGATGACGTCATGTGGTCGGTGTGATGATGGCATGCTACATTTTCAGGAATAGCGTTCGCACACGAACACATCCAGTGCACTCGCCCTTCCCAAACACCCCGCCTCTCCCCCTCCCCCTCCCCCCCCGCCCCGCCCTGCTCTGCGCAGCACGGCTTTGCGCGCAACCTGACGTGGGAAGTGGAGGCAGCTGAGGGGGGCGCGTCCCCCTCGCTCACCCTCGCCCTCTCCGACAACGAGTACTCGCGCGCCATGTGGGACTTCGCCTTCAAAGCCACCTTTAAGGTACCATCGCCCGCTCCCTCGCCCTCGCTGATTCTGTTCCTCTCTCACTCTCTTCCCCACCGTCCTCGCCCTCTCTGATAACGAGTACTCGCGCGCCATGTGGGACTTCGCCTTCAAGGCCACCTTCAAGGTACCTCTCCCCCTCTCTCTCACTCCCTCACTCACTCCCTTACTCCCTTTCTCACACTCCCCCTTACTCCCTCCCTCGCCCAATCATTGCCTCCACCCCTTGCGCTCTCTGACAATGAATACCCGCGCGCCATGTGGGAGTGTTTTGAGACGTCTCAAAATACCCGCGCGCCATGTGGGACTTCGCACTCTCAATGCACTTGTCCCCTTCCCCTTCACTCCCTCCCTCACTTTCTCACTGTCTCCCCACCCTCTCACTCATTCACTTCCTCAGCACCCTTTCTCTCTCCCATGACGACATTTCACTACTCCCACCTTCTCTCCCAAACCCCCCCTTTCACAGATCTCCCTGTCGGACGGCAAGCTGGAGACGGTCTTCACAGTGACCAACACGGACAGCAAACCCTTCTCCTTCACCACCGCTCTGCACTCCTACTTCCGCGTATGTCACCTACCATGCCCGCCTGCATGTCTCGGCACAGCACCCTGCCATGCCATGGCCGCATGCCTTTCGGCAGCGCAACACTGAGTTACTCTGCGGTCTGCCCAGTTGTTTCTAGGTCAGGCTGGACCCTCCATGGCCGCTCATTGCTTTGCTGCCCACGCTTTTCTTACATCCACCCAACTCCAACGGTCCAACCTAATCCAATCCGTTCCAAGCAAAACAAATCGAATCTAATTCAACCCAAATCATTTCAATCCAGCCCAATCCAACCCAACCCAACCCAATCCGATCCAATTCAATGCAAAGCAATCCTATCCAATGTGTGAGTCATATGGACGCTCTCTTCTCCTCCCATCCCCTCCTCCCCTCCCACGTGGCAGGCTGCTATTGGCGGAGTGAAGGTGACTGGGCTGAAGGGCGCCAAGTCCCTCAACAAGGACCCCGACCCAACCAACCCCATTGCGGGTGTGGAGGAGAGGTGAGGAGGGGGTGAGTTAGGATGGTGCATAGCAGAAGGGATGGGGAACGGAGTGAGACCAGGGATAGAATTGGAGTGATCGCCTGTCAACAAGAACCCCTGACCACCCCATCGCAGTTGTGGAGGAGAGGTGAGGGGGGAAGGCAGGATGGGGCACGGAGGTGGGGAATGAAAGAGAGTCACCATATGAAATGTTTGCCCCGAGCTTTGTGGACTGCATGTATCTCAACACACCGGAGGAGCTCGTGCTGGACCACGGGCTGGGTAGTTGAGGCAACAGCTTGACCCTGCTTTCCTGGTTCTCCCTTCCTGATCCTTCCATTCCCCCCGGTGCAGGGATGAAGTCACCTTCCCCGGCTTCGTGGACTGCATGTATCTCAACACGCCACAGGAGCTCGTGTTGGACAACGGGCTGGGCAGGAAGCTAGCCATCCGTAATAAGGGGTGGACTGACGCCGTCGTGTGGAGCCCCCACCTCACTATGCCCGCCTGCTACCTCGACTTTGTCTGCGTTGAAAACGCCAAGGTATGCCGCCTGGCTGCATGCTTGGAACTTCTCTTGTCACTTGCTCGCTCACTCACTTCCCCTTCCCTGCATTGGCCCATCCACTCCAATCCGTTTCCTGTTCTCTCTGCATGTGCTGCCTGCTCGTTCCCCGCTCTGCTTGTTCCATTCCCTCTCCCCTTGCTCCTCGTCACCCCTCCAGGAAATGCATTTGCAGGCAGACCTCTCCACTTCTCTTCCCCTCCCTTTTGCCCTTTACCTCCTCATATCATCTCCTCCCCCCCCTTGTTTAGCTATCGGAGGTGGAGCTCCAGGCAGGCCAGACATGGACTGCAGAGCAGGAATTGGTGGCGCTGTAGGTGTATGGCTCATTAATTGGTGCTGTCATGTGTTGACTGTATGGTGCTGATTTGCTTGCGTAGTGCCTTAATTTGTTGCTATTATATCAATTTTCTCAATCCAACAAACAATGCCTGCATGTATTGACATATACTACCACCTCACACGACTCTACCAGCACTCGTTGGGTTGTCCCTTTGCCATGACATTGCCAACTACCGTCACCCCCCGGATATACCCCCATGGGGGGCTATAATATAACATGTTTTTTTGAGGGGGTGGACTTATAATATAGTAAATTTATAAGCGCCGGCGTTTATAATTTGTCAAATTTGAAATTTGTTTTTAAATATACCAAATCGAAGCATTCTCAAAGGCGGATTCACCTGGGTCGAGAACGTTCGAAACTGTGCATGCATTGCGCGTGAAACGGCCAACAAGGCGTGGCTTCACGCCTTCCACGCCTTGTTGGCCAGGCCAGGTTCATCGAACGTGAACCTGGCCCATGCCAGTGCACACGTACCTCGCATCACAGCGGCCCAATCAGGGTTGCATGCGATCGTGGGCACGTCGTGGTTCAGCCACGGTGTGCCTATCAACAGCAAAATTCCCCGCCACCGAGGCAAGGAGCTGCCCAGCTCAGCTCCTCTGCGGGGAATCTTGACTGGGGCCACCCTTTTCCCGCAGAGGAGGCCGGGCCGCGAAAATGAAGGGGTCTCGGGCGAGGGCTTCATACAGCCCTCATTCTCGACTTTTGCCTTCAGTTTCTTTGTTCGTTTGGCCTGCCGTGGCCATGGCGGGCCTTCGAGGCACGCATTTCTTGTTCCGCCGCCATCCTGCTGCCAAAGAAAACACCCGCCGAGACACCTGTGACTACTCTCAATGGCAGTCGCGCCCTGCGCCCGTCCCTCCGTGTCAACCAGTAGCTCCTCCCGTTCCTCCCACTCCTCCAACTCCTCCTGCACCTCCCGCTCCCCCGGCGCCTCCGGTTCCTCCAGCTCCTCCGTCCCCTCCTGACCCGCCTATGTTTGGTGCTCCACGTCAAGGGGTCCTGCAGCTTCTCCTCCCTCCTGGCTACTCGGCGTTTGACGCGTACCTGTCCGAGCCCGACCGCGCCGGTGGCGCATCGTCTTCCTCCGCACCGTCGCCACGCTTGGGAGCCCCGGCTGATTGCCCGTTGGACGAATCCGCGACTGGTGCGGAGGATGACGTGTAGTTTTGGGCTGCCGACGGTCTTCCAGAGCACCTGCCTATTCCCACCTTCCCCCCCCCCAATAAGAAACGGCCCCACCCTTCTCGCGAGAATCGCGATGCCCGTCCTCCCTCCCCCAGGCACAAGCCTTCAAGTCACAAGCGGCACTCTTACACATCGCAGGAGAAACTGCAGTGGATTCTCAAGCTTGAGTCCGGGCAGATGAGCGTGCGGCAGATGTCTCGCCAAACCGGCATCTCCCGAAGGTCACTCGCAGAATGGAAGACCCGGAAGGCTGACCTGGAGGGCGCGCATGCTGCTCGCAAGCGTCTTCATGGGCGCGGAAGGAGCTCGTGGTATCGCGACATGGAAGCTGAAGTCTACAGGAGGTTTCTTGCCCACCGTAAAAAATGTCTCGCGGTCTCGATCGCTCGCCTACAGAAGTGGTCGCATGAGGTGATGAAAGAATTGCACCCACAGGTAAAGTGGTCCGGCTCGCAGCGGTGGACTGAGCGGTTTCGCCGCCGTTGGAATCTGACAACCCGAGCGAAGACCAGGGTCGGCCAGAAGCTTGCTGCCAGTGAGTTTTGTGGGAAATGGTTGCAGTTTAATGTGTACCGCTTTGTGTTGTTTGTCTCTTTATGTTTCACGGTTGAATTTTAACGCGTCATTAATACTGTCTTCTCTCTTTCCCTCCCACCCGTACTCCCAGACTGCGAGACTGACGTCAGGAATTTCTGGAAGTTCGTGCGTCACACCCGCCGCCAATACAAGATTGACCCGCAGTGGATAATAAACGCGGACCAGACACCACTGTGGCTCGAGATGCCTGCCGAACGCACAGTCGAGGAGGTGGGTCTGCGCTCTGTGCCTATCCGCAGCGGCGGCTATCAGAAGGAGGGAGTTACGGTGATGCTCGCCTGCACTGCCAGCGGTGAGAAGCTGAAGCCGTGGGTCTTCTTCAAACGGAAGACCCTGCCTAAAGGGGATTTCCCTTCAGGTGAGGATTAACACCCACTGCTGCATGTTTTTTTTTTTCAATGTCTACTGATGTTGTATGTGCGTTTGTGGCTGTGCAGATGTTACGGTGTCCGTCCATCCCAACGGTTGGATGGACGCGGACGGAGTCATCGAGTGGCTCGACGGGGCAGTGAAGCCGTTCGTCCACCCCAAGTTCGGAGTGAGGCCCCGCAAAGCGGTGCTCGTCTTGGATTCGTACCGCGGGCACCTGACTGCGGAGGTGAAGAAGAAGTTCGGGGAGCTGAACATCGTCCCTGCCGTTATCCCAGCTGGCTGCACCTCGGAGATTCAACCTCTGGACGTCGCGGTGAATCGCTCCTTCAAGGCATCCGTTCGCCAGCTCTACCAGGAGTGGTTCGAGAGCGAGGGGGTCGACACCTTGACAAAGAAAGGTGAGAGAGGCAGGCCATGCGTGTGCTGCTTTATCAGTTTGTAGCGGTGGCAGACTTTTGATTGTTTAAATTTTATGGCTGGCAACATCAAGAAGCCACCACCCGAGCTAACGCTCAAGTGGATATCAGCGGCTTGGAAGGCCGTGCCCAGGGACTTGATTCAACGGGCTTTCCTCACCTGTGGCATTAGTAACGCCCTGGATGGGTCCCAGGACAAGATCTGCCTGAAACACAGGCGCGACGAGCTTGAGGGCGACGAAATAGACATCGACGACGACATTGCAGCAGATGGCTTTTTCTGCAACAACGTAGAAGAACCAGAGTCGGACTCTGAGGCCGACTCGGATGATCCTACCGCAGCTGATGACTAGATTACGTAGATCTAGAAATTGCTGTAGCCTGTGAGACTCGTAGGTAGATTTAGAACTGTAATTAGAAAAAAACTGTAGATAAACTGACTTTGTAGTTAATTAGATGAAAATATAAGTTGTTAATGTGGTTAGTGAAGCTTGTAGCAATTTTTTTTTTAAAAAAAGTGGCGGTTATAATGTGTAAGGTACAGGTATGCGGCTATAATCCTTACGACTCTAGGGTATGCGCTTATAATCGAGGAGGGGATATAAGCGCCATATGCCGATTAGAAGCGCCAGGCGCTTATCCTAGGGTGGCGCTTATATCCGGGGGGTGACGGTAGGTACGTGAAGTGCACAATACACTGACATGGAAAAGACTTGGTGACTTGTGAGCCATGCAGCTACAGCTAGGCTTCCAAACACAATCTCACACTCAAGCATTTCAAGCTGGGCATGCACAAGCTACATATATACACTTCCATATAATTCTACGGTAAAATATCCGTACAGAAACAATGTAAACAAGCACCCATATTCTAAAAAAAAATCAGTAGGTAGCGCACCGGAGCTGGTGTGGAGACTCATTGAGCTGCTGGTCTGAGCACCCTAGCCAGCAGCGCCGGTTGCACACCTTCATCTGCAAACCGAACAACTCGCCTTCTCCGATTCACCTTGCTTTCTGCTCCTCCCACTGCACGTGCCTCAATGGTGGACCTGCTGAGCTGTGTGACAGCACTGCATCTCATTTCTTCTGTTTCACAACCATCCCTTTCCGTTCCATTTCCTGAATGCCCCTCCTTCTCTGAATGCCCCTCTTTCTCTGAATGCCCCTCTTTCTCTGAATGCCCCTCCTTCTCTGAATGCCCCTCTTTCTCTGAATGCTCCTCTGAATGCCCCTCTTTCTCTGCACGCCCTTCCTCCCTTGCGCCTCCATTCTCCATTGCAAAAGAGCCCTCCCCTGCCTGCCCTGCAAATGCACCATTCTCCCCTTCCCCTCTGTCGCAAACAACAGAAGAATCCAAAGTGTGAGCAGCAACTGTCCCTGCCACACCCCCTGCCCCTGCCTCCGCTGCCCTTGCTGCACTGCCTGCTGTGGCATCCCCACCAAGCAGGGGAACCATGCTGTTCCCTGCAGCCTCACTGCTTGCACTAGGTCTACCTTCCTCACATACGCCCTCTCTGGCAACATATGTACCTCCCTCCCATGCGCCTGCCACAAAGGTTGACCCATGTTGGCCATCCCCTGATGGGCCTTGGGCGAGAAGCAGGCTGCACTTATTGACTGCTGACCCGGCAGCAGGGGGGAGGGGTGTATTGAGAGGGCTAGCAGGGACCGGAGGCTGCAGGGGAGTTGCTGGCTGGGAGAGGGAAGGGGAGAGTGAGAGGTTGGAGGAAAGGAAGGACTGGCGGGACGACAGGAGGGTAGGGGAACCGAGGGGGTGGGCGGAGGAGAAGGGGTTGGTGGGGGAGAAGGCTTGGGAGAAGGAGGTGTGGGGTTGGGCACGGGAAAGGGGATGGGAGGAGAGGGGTTTTGCGGGGGAGGTGGATGTGGAGGGCGAGAGCGGCAGGGAGGAGTCGGCGGTGCGGACGAGCTTCAGTGCGAGCAGAATGGCGTTGCGCGCCACTGCCTCCCTTGCCTGCCTCTGCTTCGCCTGCGCTCCACTGTCAGGCAGGTGCTGAGGAGCGGGAGACGAGTCAGGATAGTGGAAACGGGATGAAAGAAGGACAAGAGGATTAGACGGGTTGGAGAGGAGTCGGCACGAGCTTCAGCGCCATCAGAATGGCATTGCGCGCCATCAGAATGGCATTGCGCGCCACGGCCTCCCTTGCTTGCCTCTGCTTTGCCTGCGCTCCAATGTCGGGGAGGAGCTGCAACGAAGAGCGGAAGCGAGGGGAGGAGGGGAAGAAAGGGGGGTTAGAAAGGCAAGCGGGATGGCGTTGCGCGCCACGGCCTCCCGCGCCTGCCTCTGCTTCGCCTGCGCTTCCTGGAATGCCGCTGCCCTGCTGCCGCGCGTGCTGCGCTGTTTTGCCTGCGCTTCACCAACCGTACGAACTGCCCGTTTTTCCAGCTGCTGCTTCGCCTGCGCTTCCTGGAATGTTGCTGCTTCACCTGCGCTTCCTGGAATGCCCCTGCTTCGCCTGCGCTTCCTGGAATGCCGCTTCTTTGCCTGCGCTTCCTGGAATGCCGCTGCTTTGCCTGCGCTTCCTGGAATGCCGCTGCTTTGCCTGCGCTTCCTGGAATGCCGCTGCTTTGCCTGCGCTTCCTGGAATGCCGCTGCTTTGCCTGCGCTTCCTGGAATGCCGCTGCTTTGCCTGCGCCCCACTGTCAGGGAGGCGCTGAGGGGAGCAGGAAATGCGGGAGAATGTATGCCGTACAGAAGGGGAGGAGGGGATGATAAAAAGGGCAAGGAGGATGAGCGAGCGGGACTGGAGTTATTTACACCAGACCTACCTCCACCAGACCTACACTGGGCCTACATCGGACCTACCTGCAGAATGTGTAGCATGTGCTCTTCCAGCGTGCCTGCCATGGCCAGTGTCTCCACCGTGATTGGCCGAGAGGCGCCCATGCGATGCGCCCGAGACACCATCTGCTCCTCCACACTGCCGGGGGGAGAGGGGGGGTGGATCAAGGGAGGAGGGGTACGGAAGGGGCATGGGGTGAGGCATTGGTAGGGGCATGAGGGACATGGGCGGCATGAGGGGAACCTGAGGGGTATAGAGGCCACGAAAGGCATGGGGGATATGGAGGGCACGTGGGACACAGGAATGGGGTCGAGTATCGGTCATGGAGAATAGGGTCGATACTAGGTGAACGGCCAGGGTACCATGCATGCACTTCAGTGTGGCTCATTGCACGCCTGCCTGAGGTTGTGACTCACTGCACGCTCGCGTGAGATCATGATTACAAGATGGAATAACAATGGTACCTGGGGTCCCGCAAGGGTTCCACGAGGAATACACGTGACACGTGCCATGCAACATGTGTACACGTAGCATAGCGTGACGCATCACATACACGTAGCATATCATGTACGTACCTGGGGTCCCACACGGGCTCCATGAGGAAGACGCGTGACACAAAGGAAAGGTCGAGACCGAGCGAGCCCGTGCCATCCATTAGAAGCACGCGGCACGCGGGGTCGTGCTGAAAGCGCATCAGTTCCTGCATCTGCTCTCGTTATAGGCAAACATGCAGTATTGGCACATGGAAATGTACATGCATGCACGCATTAAACATCATATAGCATCAGCACCACATGACGTTGCATCACACCACATCACATCACAAATACAGACACAATCCAATGAATGCATCAATGGATCAAAAGGGCCCCGGGCAGGGCACAAGTCGCGGATGGGTGAATATGCTTTAGGTAGAGGAGAAAAGAATATGCTCATCTGCGGGCAAGTAGGCGAACATGGTGGGAAACTGAGATTGCAGACATGGCAGAGCAATCAGATAAGCTTCCCATGACAACTCTGGCCTTCGCGGACATGACAAAGGCGCGCGCGCGGGGACCGGACCAAGGCGCGCGCGCGGACCGGACCAAGGAGCGCGAGCGCGGAGCGGACCCAGGCGCGCGCGCGGACCGGACCAAGGCGCGCGCGCGCGGACCGGACCAAGGCGCGCGCGCGCGCGGACCGGACCAAGGCGCGCGTGCGCGGACCAGACCAAGGCGCGCGCGCGGGCCGGACCAAGGCGCGCGCGCGGGCCGGACCAAGACGCGCGCGCGCAGACCGGACCAAGGCGCGCGTGCGGGCCGGACCAAGGCGCGCGCGGGCCGGACAAAGGCGCGCGCGCAGACCGGACCAAGGCGCGCGCGCGGGGGCGGACCAAGGCGCGCGCGCGGGCCAGACTAAGGCGCGCGCGTGGACCGGACCAAGGCGCGCGCGCGCAGACCGGACCAAGGCGCGCGCGCGCGGACCAGACCAAGCGCGCCCGCGCGGACCGGACCAAGGCGAGCGCGTGCGGACCGGACCAAAGCGAGCGTGCGCGGACCGGACAAAGGCGCGCGCACGCAGACCGGACCAAGGCGCGCGCGCGGACCGGACCAAGGCGCGCGCGTGGGGGCCGGACCAAAACGCGCGCGCGCGGACCGAACCAAGGCGCGCGCGCGCGGACCGGACCAAGGCGCGCGCGCAGGCTGGACCAAGGCGCGCAAGCGCGAACCGGACCAAGGCGCGCGCCCGGACCGGACCAAGGCGCGCTCGCGGACCGGACCAAGGCGCGCGCCCGGACCGGACCAAGGCGCGCTCGCGGACCGGACCAAGGCGCGAGTGCGGGGACCGGACCAAGACGCCCGCGCGGACCGGACCAAGGCGCACGCGCGGGCCGGACCAAGGCGCGCGCGCGGGCCGGACCAAGGCGCACGCGCGGGCCGGACCAAGGCGCGCGCGCGGGCCGGACCAAGGCGCGCGCGCGCGGAGCTTAGTTGGATCTTACGTTTTCGGTTCTTTACGTTTTCGGACGATTACGACAATTTTTACGTTAACAAACGGTCACCCTGATTCGGCCTTACGTTTACGGTCACCTAAAAACTTTTCTGAGCTGCCCGAGGAAAAAAAACGACCAGAGCATCAGGAAGATTTCCTCCAACCTAGTTCTGTAACGCGTAATATTACGTTTCCGTTTACGTTTACACTAAATTACACAAAATTTACATTTACGAGACCTCAAAAAACGTAAGAGACCAACTTAGGCGCGGACCGGACCAAGGCGCGCGCGTGCGGACCGGACCAAGGCGCGCGCGCGCAGACCGGACCAAGGCGCGCGCGCGCGGACCGGAACAAGGCGCGCGCGCGGACCGAACCAAGGCGCGCGCGCGCGGACCGGACCAAGGCGCGCGGGCGCGGACCGGACCAAGGCGCGCGCGCGGACTGGACCAAGGCGCGAGCGCGGACCGGAGCAAGGCGCGCGCGCACGGGCCGGAGCAAGGTGCGCGCGCGCGGACCGGACCAAGGCGCGCGCGCGGGGGCTGGACCAAGGAACGCGCGCGGGCCGGACCAAGGCGCGCGCGCGGGGGCGGACCAAGGCGCGCGCGCGGGCCGGACCAAGGTGCGCGCGCAGACCGGACCAAGGCGCGCGCGCGTGGACCGGACCAAGGCGCGCGCGCGCGGACCAGACCAAGCGCGCCCGCGCGGACCGGACCAAGGCGCGCGCGCGCGGACCGGACCAAGGCGCGCGCGCGAGCCGGACCAAGTCGCGCGCGCGGACCGGACCAAGGCGCGCGCGCGGACCGGACCAAGGCGCGCGCGCGGACCGGACCAAGGCGCGCGCGCCGACCGGACCAAGGCGCACGCGCGCGGACCGGACCAAGGCGCGCGCGCGTGGACCGGACCAAGGCGCGCACGCGGGCCGGACCAAGGCGCGCGCGCGGATCAGACCGCGCGCGCGGACCGGACCAAGGCGCGCGCGCGCGTACCGGACCAAGGCGCGTGCGCGGACCGGACCAAGGCGCGTGCGCGGGGGCCGGACCATGGCGCGCGCGCGGACCGAACCAAGGCGCGCGCGCGCGGACCGGACCAATGCGCGCGCGCGCGGACCGAACCAAAGCACGCGCGCGCGGACTGGACCAAGGCGAGCGCGCGCGGACCGGACCAAGGCGCGCGCGCGGACTGACTAAGGCGCGCGCGCGCGGACTGGACCAAGGCGCGCGCGCGGACCAGACCAAGGCGCGCGCGCGCGGACCAGACCAAGGCGCGCGCGCGCGGGACCGGACCAAAGGGCGCGCGCGGACCGGACAAAGACGCGCGCGCGCGGACCGGACCAAAGCGTGCGCGCGCAAACCGGACAAAGGCGCGCGCGCGGATCGGACCAAGGCGCGCGCGCGGGCCGGACCAAGGCGCGCAAGCGCGGACCGGACCAAGGCGCGCGCCCGGACCGGACCAAGGCGCGCTCGCGGACCGGACCAAGGCGCGCGCGCGGGGACTGGACCAAGGCGCGCGCGCGGACCGGACCAAGGTGCGCGCGCGGGCCGGATTAAGGCGCGCGCACGGGCTGGACCAAGGCGCGCACGCGCGGACCGGACCAAGGTGCGCGCGCGGACCGGACCAAGGCGCGCGCGCGGGGGCCGGACCAAGACGCGCCCGGGGACCGGACCAAGGCGCGCGCGCGCGGACCGGACCAAAGCGTGTGCGCGCAGACCGGACCAAGGCGCGTGCGCGCGGACCGGACCAAAGCGCGCGCGCGCGGAGCGGACCAAGGCGCGCGCGCAGAAACCAAGGCGTGCGCGCGGGCTGGACCAAGGCGCGCAAGCGCGGACCGGACCAAGGCGCGCGCTCGGACCAGACCAAGGCGCGCTCGCGGGCCGGACCAAGGCGCGCGCGCGGGCTGGACCTAGGCGCGCGCGCGCGGACCGGACCAGGCGCGCGCGCGCGGACTGGACCAAGGCGCGCGCGCGGACCGGACCAAGGCGCGCGCGCGTGGACCGGAACAAGGCGCGCGCGGACCGGAACAAGGCGCGCGCGCGCGGACTGGACCAAGGCGCGCGCCCGCGGACCGGACCAAGGCGCGCGGGTGCGGACCGGACCAAGGCGCGCGCGCGCGGACCGAACAAGGGCGCGCGCGCGGACCGGACCAAGGCGCGCACGCGCGGACCGGACCAACGCGCGCGTGCGGGCCGGACGAAGGCGCGCGCGCGGACCGGATTAAGGCGCGCGCCCGGACCGGACCAAGGCGCGCTCGCGGACCGGACCAAGGCGCGCACGTGCAGACCGGACAAAGGCGCGCGCGGACCGGACCAAGGCGAGCCGCGCGCGGACCGAACCAAGGCGCGCGCGCGCGCGGACCGGACCAAGGCGCGCGCGCGCGGACCAGACAAAGGCGCGCGCGCGGACCGGACCAAGGCGCGCGCGCGGGGGCCGGACCATGGCGCGCGCGCGGACCGGACCAAGGCGCGCGTGCACGGACCGGACCAAGGCGCGCGCGCGCGCGGACCGGACCAAAGCACGCGCGCGCGGACCGGACCAAGGCGAGCACGCGCGGACCGGACCAAGGCGCGCGCGCGCGGACCGGACCAAGGCGCGCGCGCGCGGACCGGACCAAGGCGCGCGCAGAGGGGCGGGACCAAAGCGCGCGCGCGCGGACAGGACCAAGGCGCGCGCGTGCGGATCGGACCAAGGTGCGCGCGCAGACCGGACCAAGGCGCGCGCGCGCGGGCCGGACCAAGGCGCGCAAGCGCGGACCGGACCAAGGCGCGCGCCCGGACCGGACCAAGGCGCGCTCGCGGACCGGACCAAGGCGCGCGCGCGGGGACTGGACCAAGGCGCGCGCGCGGACCGGACCAAGGCGCGCGCGCGGGCCGGATTAAGGCGCGCGCACGGGCTGGACCAAGGCGCGCACGCGCGGACCGGACCAAGGCGCGCGCGCGGACCGGACCAAGGCGCGCGCGCGGGGGCCGGACCAAGATGTGCGCGGGGACCGGACCAAGGCGCGCGCGCGCGGACTGGACCAAAGCGCGTGCGCGCGGACCGGACCAAGGCGCGCGCGCGCGGACCGGACCAAAGCGCGCGCGCGCGGAGCAGACCAAGGCGCGCGCGCAGAAACCAAGGCGTGCCCGCGGGCTGGACCAAGGCGCGCAAGCGCGGACCGGACCAAGGCGCGCGCTCGGACCGGACCAAGGCGCGCTCGCGGACCGGACCAAGGCGCGCGCGCGGGCTGGACCTAGGCGCGCGCGCGCGGACCGGACCAGGCGTGCGCGCGCGGACCGGACCAAGGCGCGCGCGCGCGGACCGGAACAAGGCGCGCGCGCGCGGACTGGACCCAGGCGCGCGCCCGCGGACCGGACCAAGGCGCGCGGGTGCGGACCGGACCAAGGCGCGCGCGCGCGGACCGGACAAGGGCGCGCGCGCGGACCGGACCAAGGCGCGCACGCGCGGACCGGACCAACGCGCGCGTGAGGGCCGGACGAAGGCGCGCGCACGGACCGGATTAAGGTGCGCGCCCAGACCGGACCAAGGCGCGCTCGCGGACCGGACCAAGGCGCGCGCGTGCGGACCGGACAAAGGCGCGCGCGGACCGGACCAAGGCGAGCGCGCGCGGACCGGACCAAGGCGCGCGCGCGCGGACCGGACCAAGGCGCGCGCGCGCGGACCAGACAAAGGCGTGCGCGCGGACCGGACCAAGGCGCGCGCGTGGGGGCCGGACCATGGCGCGCGCGCGGACCGGACCAAGGCGCGCGTGCACGGACCGGACAAAGGCGCGCGCGCGCGGACCGGACCAAAGCATGCGCGCGCGGACCGGACCAAGGCGAGAACGCGCGGACCGGACCAAGGCGCGCGCGCGCGGACCGGACCAAGGCGCGCGCGCGCGGACCGGACAAAGGCGCGCGCGCAGGGGCGGGACATAGGCGCGCGCGCGCGCGCGGACAGGACCAAGGCGCGCGCGCGCGGATCGGACCAAGGTGCGCGCGCAGACCGTACCAAGGCGCGCACGCGGGCCGGACAAAGGCGCGCAAGCGCGGACCGGACCAAGGCGCGCGCCCGGACCGGACCAAGGCGCGCTCGCGGACCGGACCAAGGCGTGCGCGCGGGGACTGGACCAAGGCGCGCGCGCGGACTGGACCAAGGCGCGTGCGCGGGCCGGACCAAGGCGCGCGCGCGGGCTGGACCAAGGCGCGCACGAGCGGACCGGACCAAGTCGCGTGCGCGCGGACTGAACCAAGGCGCGCGCACGCGGACCGGGCCAAGGCGCGCGCGCGCAGACCGGACCAAGGCGCGAGCGCGCAGACCGGACCAAGGCGCGCGCGCCCGGACCGGACCAAGGCGCGCGCGCGGGGGCCGGACCAAGGCGCGCGCGCGGACCGGACCAAGGCGCGCGCGCGCGGACTAGACCAAAGCGCGCGCGCGGGCCGGACCAAGGCGCGCGCGCGCGGACCGGACCAAGGCGCGCGCGCGCGGACCGGACCAAGGCGCGCGTGCGGGGACCGGACCAAGACGCCCGCGCGGACCGGACCAAGGCGCACGCGCGGGCCGGACCAAGGCGCGCGCGCGGGCCGGACCAAGGCGCACGCGCAGGCCGGACCAAGGCGCGCGCGCGGGTCGGACCAAGGCGCGCGCGCGCGGAGCTTAGTTGGATCTTACGTTTTCGGTTCTTTACGTTTTCGGACGATTACGACAATTTTTACGTTAACAAACGGTCACCCTGATTCGGCCTTACGTTTACGGTCACCTAAAAACTTTTCTGAGCTGCCCGAGGAAAAAAAACGACCAGAGCATCAGGAAGATTTCCTCCAACCTAGTTCTGTAACGCGTAATATTACGTTTCCGTTTACGTTTACACTAAATTACACAAAATTTACGTTTACGAGACCTCAAAAAACGTAAGAGACCAACTTAGGCGCGGACCGGACCAAGGCGCGCGCGTGCGGACCGGACCAAGGCGCGCGCGCGCAGACCGGACCAAGGCACGCGCGCGCGGACCGGAACAAGGCGCGCGCGCGGACCGAACCAAGGCGCGCGCGCGCGGACCGGACCAAGGCGCGCGGGCGCGGACCGGACCAAGGCGCGCGCGCGGACTGGACCAAGGCGCGAGCGCGGACCGGAGCAAGGCGCGCGCGCGCGGGCCGGAGCAAAGTGCGCGCGCGCGGACTGGAGCAAGGCGCGCGCGCGCGCTGTCCGGACCAAGGCGCGCGCGCGGGGACCGGACCAAGGCGCGCGCGCGCGGACCGGACCAAGGCGCGCGCGCGGGGAATGGACCAAGGAACGCGCGCGGGCCGGACCAAGGCGCGCGCGCGGGGGCGGACCAAGGCGCGCGCGCGGGCCGGACCAAGGTGCGCGCGCAGACCGGTCCAAGGCGCGCGCGCGTGGACCGGACCAAGGCGCGCGCGCGCGCGGACCAGACCAAGCGCGCCCGCGCGGACCGGACCAAGGCGCGAGCGCGCGGACCGGACCAAGGCGCGCGCGCGAGCCGGACCAAGGCGCGCGCGCGGACCGGACCAAGGCGCGCGCGCGGACCGGACCAAGGCGCGCGCGCGGACCGGACCAGGGCGCGCGCGCCGACCGGACCAAGGCGCACGCGCGCGGACCGGACCAAGGCGCGCGCGCGCGCGGACCGGACCAAGGCGCGCACGCGGGCCGGACCAAGGCGCGCGCGCAAATCAGACCGCGCGCGCGGACCGGACCAAGGCGCGCGCGCGCGTACCGGACCAAGGCGCGTGCGCTTTGACCAAGGCGCATGCGCGGGGGCCGGACCATGGCGCGCGCGCGGACCGAACCAAGGCGCGCGCGCGCCGACCGGACCAAGGCGCGCGCGCGCGGACCGAACCAAAGCACGCGCGCGCGGACCGGACCAAGGCGAGCGCGCGCGGACCGGACCAAGGCGCGCGCGCGGACTGACTAAGGCGCGCGCGCGCGGACTGGACCAAGGCGCGCGCGCGGACCAGACCAAGGCGCGCGCGCGCGGACCGGACCAAAGGGCGCGCGCGCGGACCGGACAAAGACGCGCGCGCGCGGATCGGACCAAAGCGTGCGCGCGCAAACCGGACAAAGGCGCGCGCGCGGATCGGACCAAGGCGCGCGCGCGGGCCGGACCAAGGCGCGCAAGCGCGGACCGGACCAAGGCGCGCGCCCGGACCGGACCAAGGCGCGCTCGCGGACCGGACCAAGGCGCGCGCGCGGGGACTGGACCAAGGCGCGCGCGCGGACCGGACCAAGGTGCGCGCGCGGGCCGGATTAAGGCGCCCGCACGGGCTGGACCAAGGCGCGCACGCGCGGACCGGACCAAGGTGCGCGCGCGGACCGGACCAAGGCGCGCGCGCGGGGGCCGGACCAAGACGCGCCCGGGGACCGGACCAAGGCGCGCGCGCGCGCGGACCGGACCAAAGCGTGTGCGCGCAGACCGGACCAAGGCGGGCGCGCGCGGACCGGACCAAAGCGCGCGCGCGCGGAGCGGACCAAGGCGCGCGCGCAGAAACCAAGGCGTGCGCGCGGGCTGGACCAAGGCGCGCAAGCGCGGACCGGACCAAGGCGCGCGCTCGGACCGGACCAAGGCGCGCTCGCGGACCGGACCAAGGCGCGCGCGCGGGCTGGACCTAGGCGCGCGCGCGCGGACCGGACCAGGCGCGCGCGCGCGGACTGGACCAAGGCGCGCGCGCGGACCGGACCAAGGCGCGCGCGCGTGGACCGGAACAAGGCGCGCGCGGACCGGAACAAGGCGCGCGCGCGCGCGGACTGGACCAAGGCGCGCGCCCGCGGACCGGACCAAGGCGCGCGGGTGCGGACCGGACCAAGGCGCGCGCGCGCGCGGACCGGACAAGGGCGCGCGCGCGGACCGGACCAAGGCGCGCACGCGCGGACCGGACCAACGTGCGCGTGCGGGCCGGACGAAGGCGCGCGCGCGGACCGGATTAAGGCGCGCGCCCGGACCGGACCAAGGCGCGCTCGCGGACCGGACCAAGGCGCGCACGTGCAGACCGGACAAAGGCGCGCGCGGACCGGACCAAGGCGAGCGCGCGCGGACCGAACCAAGGCGCGCGCGCGCGGACCGGACCAAGGCGCGCGCGCGCGGACCAGACAAAGGCGCGCGCGCGGACCGGACCAAGGCGCGCGCGCGGGGGCCGGACCATGGCGCGCGCGCGGACCGGACCAAGGCGCGCGTGCACGGACCGGACCAAGGCGCGCGCGCGCGGACCGGACCAAAGCACGCGCGCGCGGACCGGACCAAGGCGAGCACGCGCGGACCGGACCAAGGCGCGCGCGCGCGGACCGGACCAAGGCGCGCGCGCGCGGACCGGACCAAGGCGCGCGCAGAGGGGCGGGACCAAAACGCGCGCGCGCGGACAGGACCAAGGCGCGCGCGCGCGGATCGGACCAAGGTGCGCGCGCAGACCGTACCAAGGCGCGCGCGCGGGCCGGACCAAGGCGCGCAAGCGCGGACCGGACCAAGGCGCGCGCGCGCGGACCGGACCAAGGCGCGCCCGCGGACCGGACCAAGGCGTGCGCGTGCGGACTGGACCAAGGCGCGCGCGCGGACCGGACCAAGGCGAGCGCGCGCGGACCGGACCAAAGCGCGCGCGCGCGCGGACCGGACCAAGGCGCGCGCGCTCGGACCGGACCAAGGCGCGCGCGCGGACCGGACCAAGGCGCGCGCGCGGGGGCCGGACCATGGCGCGCGCGCGGACCGAACCAAGGCGCGCGCGCGCGGACCGGACCAAGGCGCGCGCGCGCGGACCGGACCAAAGCACGCGATACGCTAGCGAATACGCGATACGCAGCCATTGATTTTTTCGAGCAGCCCGATAAAAAAAAATCGCAAAAAAGATGCGGATTTTCGTGGTGAGCATTTCGCCGAAGTCGAAATGCAAATCCGCGGTCTACGCAAGCTGGGATCTGACTTCGAAGTTTGTAGGCTGTTGGATTTCAGATCTCATCTAGGCATTGTAACCCAACCCTTTCACCCATTGAAAACCATCGACGAACTCAAACCTACTCAAAATTGACCCCCCAACAAACCTCACGCTACTTACCACCAGCCAGCCCAACTCACGTATAATTCCCGCTTCCAGCGGAGTTCCCGCCCACTCCTCTCTCTCCACACGTCCCATCCCAACCGCCGATTGGACTAAGGAGAATTTTAGGGCACGTCTTAGTGAGAATAAAGAGTACATTGTTTTCCACCCTGCCCGGGAATTTTTTTTCCTGCCTGGAAAAGCGTATCCTCAATCAGACCCCTCCAGCGTATCGCGTGCAAACGCTAGCGTATATACGATACGCGTACATACGCTAAACGCGTTTATTCCAACCTAGGCGCGCGCGGACCGGACCAAGGCGCGCGCGCGCGGACCGCACCAAGGCGCGCGCGGGGACCAGAAACTGCGTGAACACTATCGCCTTCTCCACCCCCTACCCTACCTGCTCCATAACAAGACTTACTTTGAACAACATGGGACTGAACTTGAACGGAATGGGACTCACCTTGACGGATTGAGGCCGTGGGCTGTAGAGCCCAGCGAAGTTGACACCGGCGAGTGTGAGCTGCGCCTCCAGCAGCGCTATGTGCTCCAGAAACTGCGTGAACACTATCGCCTTCTCCCCTCCGTACCCCCCCTTTCCTCCACCATATGCCCCTTTCTCCCCGCCGTATCTCCCCGTCTCCCCGCCATAGCCCCCAGCAGCAGCCACAGGACCATGTGCTTCCATGGCCTGGGCTGCACAGCCATCCGCCACCCCGTCCCCATGCTCTGCCGTATCAGACCCCCTTTCTGGGCTTCTTGAGAGTGATTTTGTGCAACCAGCCAGTGGCTCGTCTGACGCTTGCGGTACTATGCATGGCTGTGCTGCCGCTGGTGACTGTGCTGAATGTGACAGCAGCTGCTCGTCCGAATCCCGCAATGGTGGTGGGGGAGCGAGCAGGCGCAGTTGGGAGAGGAGGTAGTCCACCTTGGTGCTGGCTGTGGCCTGCCACTCCAGATGCCACTCCCTCTGCACACGAGGAGTGGTAAGGAGAACGAGGAAAGGTGGGAGAAAAGGGGAGAATGAGGGTGAGACGAGGTGCTCGCTGTGTCCAGCCACTACACACAGCACTCCCTCATTGCATAACGAGTGGGAGAAATAAGCACATTCAACTTGGGATTCGCGTTCTGAGGGCGCTTCATATCCTTGGGCTCCTGCATGCGACTTTTGAGACGTCTCAAAAGTCGTTCTGAGGGCGCTTCATATCCTTGGGCTCCTGCATGCGACTTTTGAGACGTCTCAAAAGTCGTTCTGAGGGCGCTTCATATCCTTGGGCTCCTGCATGCGACTTTTGAGACGTCTCAAAAGTCGTTCTGAGGGCGCTTCATATCCTTGGGCTCCTGCATGCGACTTTTGAGACGTCTCAAAAGTCGTTCTGAGGGCGCTTCATATCCTTGGGCTCCTGCATGTGACTTTTGAGACGTCTCAAAAGTCGTTCTGAGGGCGCTTCATATCCTTGGGCTCCTGCATGCGACTTTTGAGACGTCTCAAAAGTCGTTCTGAGGGCGCTTCATATCCTTGGGCTCCTGCATGCGGTACTGTCGGGCACATCCCCGTCCCTCAATCCTAGAATGTACAGCCCCAAAAGGACCCCGCCTGCTCATACGATGGCTGCAGCTCGATCAAATCCTGAGGCACGCTCCACTTGGGGTTGGCATTCTCTGGTCGCTTCAGGTCCTTGGGCTCCTGCATGCGGTACCATCGGGCACACCCCCACCCCCAGTCCTAGTAGCAACAACTGCGTTACTGCTCCCCACCTGCTCATACGATGGTTGCAGCTCGATCAGGTCCTGCGGCACGCTCCACTTAGGGTTGGCATTCTCTGGGCGTTTCATGTCCTTGGGCTCCTGCATGCGGTACGGCCGTGCACAGCCCGGCATGGCGCATGCGTGCTTGTCTGCTGCCACACACGTGATGCACAGGAGGTGCGGGCAGGGGGTGATTATGGGAAGACGCACCCACTCCCCACACCTGAGGAAGGGAAAGGGCAGGGGAGGGAGTGTGAGGGAAAGAGAGGGCAACAGCCTTGCATGACGCATGCGTGCTTGTCTGTTGCCACACACGTGATGCACAAGAGGTGTGGGCAGGGGGGGGAGGCGAACCCACTTGCCACACCGGAGGGAGGGAGGGAGTGAGGGTGAGTGAGAAAGTGAGTGAGAGTGAGTAGACAAAATGTTATCAGAGAAGGTGCAAGATGGTTTGAACGAGGTTGAGTGGTAAGGAGAATGAATAAGCCAAGAAGAACCCATCCTTCCTCCACCCACCTTTCACAGCAGCATCCTCCTTTCAAAGCTGCCCGAATCTCCTCAAACCTGCCCGAGCCGGGCTCCAGCCCACCCTGCACCAGCTGCTGCATGGTCTCGTCAATATCCCCGGGCAGGTCGTAACTTTCCATGTGCCCAGCGACGCAGCACGAGAGGCGCACGTTATTGAGCGTCTGCTTGGCCTGCTTCAAGTTCCGGGGGTTTAAGAGCGACTCCTCGTGGGATGGATCCATCCAATCAGCGAGCAGCAGGTTTCGCTGAACTGTCTCGACAAACTCGTTGTAGGATGCAGCGTGCTGGGGGGAGAAGGAGAGAAGCTTCACCTGTGGAATAAAGAGGGAGGGAAAGAGGTAGAGGACAGAGGAGAGAGTGGGAGAAGCTGTGTGTGAATGGAGAGACATGTTGCGCTGAACGGTTTCGACAAACTCGTTGTAGGACGCAGCGTGCTGGGGGGAGAAGGAGAGAAGCTTCACCTGTGGAATAAAGAGGGAGGGAAAGAGGTAGAGGACAGAGGAGAGAGTGGGAGAAGCTGTGTGTGAATGGAGAGACACGTTGCGCTGAACGGTTTTGACAAACTCGTTGTAGGACGCAGCGTGCTGGGGGGAGAAGGAGAGAAGCTTCACCTGTGGAATAAAGAGGGAGGGAAAGAGGTAGAGGACAGAGGAGAGAGTGGGAGAAGCTGTGTGTGAATGGAGAGACACGTTGCGCTGAACGGTTTCGACAAACTCGTTGTAGGACGCAGCGTGCTGGGGGGAGAAAGAGAGAAGCTTCACCTGTGGAATGGGAAGAAGCGGAGAGGCGGAGATAAGCACATCGCCCTTCTGCTTCAGTGCTTCTAATCAATGAAATAACATTCCAGGAACATGCTCGGAGTCAGTCAGCATCACCTGCACCACGCGCTGCCTGCCCACTGCTGGCCTATCAACCCCTCACCACTCTTTGAACCACCTTCCCTTGTGAGAATTGAACCGATAGGTTGATTAGGAATGATGAGGGCTTACATAGTCGGAGCTAAGGAAAAGGGGGGGGTGGTTGGTACCTAGCCAACATTATTGGCCCCCACCAATAAGTTGGGTTGGAGAATTATTGGGGGGTCCCAATAATGTTGGTCAAAAGTGGGCCAACATTATTGGGGGGGCCAATAATCCTCCAACCCAACCTTGGGGTCCAATAATTGGGCCAAGGTTGGGTTCCAACCCCCATCTAGGGTTGACCCTAGTTGTGCACCCAAACATTGTTTCGGTGCCTATCTCTATCCTAGGGTTTATAGGATCAATGCAGGATACAGAAGAGTAGTATAATCTAACACAACCCCTTAGTCTGCAGAGATCCTTAAACCTGGATGAGATAAGACAACAACCCCTGAATCAGTCACCATGGGGGTCAAGGCCCAGGAGGGGCAAGATTGCCGAATGAGTAGCGCGGTCGAGGGCCTTGGTGAAAATGTCGGCGGGGTTGGAGGAGGAGTCGATCTTGCGCACGGTGATGTGGCCATCCTGGACAAGGTTGCGGACGAAGTAGTGGCGGAGCTCGATATGCTTGGAGCGACCATGGAAGACAGCTTCTTTGGTGAGGTGGATGGTGCTAGCGTTGTCACACCAGAGGGTGGGACATGGTTGTGGTGAGCCAAGGTCTGTGAGGAGATAGCTGAGCCAGCGTGCTTCCTGTGCCGCCATCGTGACCGCGTATAGTTCGGCTTCGCAGGAGGAGAAGGCGATGGAGGAGGAGCGGGTGGAGCGCCAGCTGATGAGGCCGCTCCCAAGGGAGAAACCATATCCCTGTGAGCTGCGACGGTAAGGTTGTGAATCTGCCCAGGACGAGTCGCTAAAGCCAGTGAGGACCGGCGGGTCCGCTCCACCGAGGGTGAGAGAGTAATTCTTCGTATGCTGAAGGTAGCGTAGGACACGGCGAGCCGCCGTCATGTGTTCCTCCGTGTGCTTGCCGACACCAACGAACCGCGCTAGAACACTGACTGGGTAGGCAAGGTCGGGGCGGGTGCAGACCATGGCATACATCAGGGCCCCGACAAGTTTTGCATAGGGGTTCGAGGAGTCGGAGGGGGTGGCAGGGGGCGAAAGCTGATGCCCAACTGCAAGCGGAGTGGCGATGGGCTTGGCTTTGGACATTTCAAACCTCTCAAGGACCTTCTCAATGTAGAAGGACTGAGAGAGGGAGATAGTTTTAGCCTTGAGGTCGCGGGTGATCTCCATGCCAAGGTAGTTGCGGACCTCCCCCAGGTTTTTGCAGGCGAGTCGACGCTGTAGTTCGTCCTTGACCTCCTGCATCTCAGCATCTGTGTCGGCAGCTAGTAGCATGTCGTCGACGTAAACAAGAATGTAGAAAGGGGACGGAGCCGTCCGAAGGAAGAGACTGGAGGCAGCTCGGGAGGGGCGGAAACCAAGCTCGCGAAGGGTGGAAGAGAGCTTGGCATGCCACTCCCGTGGTGCCTGCTTGAGGCCGTAGACGGGCCGCAGCAGCTTCCAAACGGTGGACGGGTCATGTGGAGCGTGAAAGCCTTTGTGGCGTTCCATGAAGATGAGTTCGTGTAGGTCGCCTTGGAGGAAGGCGGTAGTGACATCCATGGAGTGTAGCAGCATGCCGCGTCTGCCGACGAAGTCAAGGAACACCCGAACGACCGGTGGGGTAGCAGTGGGTGAGTATGTTTCGAAGAAGTCAAAGCCGTGCTTTTGCGTGAAGCCCTTCGCCACATAGCGAGCTTTGTAGACAGGGTCTTCGTCAGGGAGAAGCTTGACACGAAAGAGCCATTTGCCCTTGACGACATTGGTCTTGGCAGGTCGAGGGACGTCGATGAAGGAGCGGTTGTGGATGAAGGCGTTGCTCTCCTTGACCATGGCTTCAATCCAGAGCGGTGCGTCGAGGCAGGCAATAGCTTCCTCATACGTGGTGGGTTCGAAGATGGTGGGGGTGCCCGAGAAAAGAAGAGCTGGAGTGCCCGCCATGGTGCGGACGATGGGGGCGATGGAGGGCGCGAGGAGGTGGAGGAAGAGGAGTTCGTCGTGGGTGTCTTCATAGAAGAGAGGAGAGAGAGGAGGAGGTAGAGGGGGTGGTGAAGATGCAAGACAGCTGCGCTGGAGGTCGAATCTGAGGCATGGAAGTGCTGCTGCTCGGCTGCGTGGTGGTGCAGTCAGGAGCGCGGAGCGGTTGCGCAGTGGATCTGGAGTGAGGGGGCTGAAGCGGGGGGGGAGGGGAGTACCGGTGAGGGCGAGGAGGGAGGGGGGGGAAGTCTGTGGGGAACCAAGGATGGGGTCCAGGGAGCGGGTGTGGGGATAGCGGGGAAGGACAAGGGTAGGGGAGGGGCGCCGGGGAAGGGGGGGGGGGAGGTGGAGGGGGGGGGCGGGTTAGAGGAGGGGAGGGGGGAGGGAGGGGAAGGGGGCGGGGGAGGTGGAGTAGGGGGCGGAGGAGGAGGAAGGTGAGTTGCAGCAGAAGGTGAGGTAGTGGAGTGGGAGGGGGAGGGGGGGGTGGGTTAAGGATGTCGCCGGAGGAGCTGGAGGAGAGGGGAGCGGGGGGGAGGGGTGGAGGAGGGGGGGGAGGGGTCATGGCAGGGGACGGGAGGAGGGGCAGTGTGTCAGTCCAGAGAAGGGGCCGGGGAAATGGGGGAAGGGGGTTAGGGGCGGAGGAAGAGGTGTAGTACGAGGTGGCCTCGTCAAAGACCACGTCTCGACTACGGATGAGGCGGCCTGACGGGGGGTGGAGGAAAAGGTAGTCAGGTGAGGTGGTGTTGTGTCCAAGGTAGACACAGGGGAGAGTGCGAGACGCAAGCTTTCCACGTGCGCGTGGGCGGTCGGCAGGGTGTATGAGGACATACGCCTTGCAACCCCACACGCGCAGAGGGGATATGTCAGGCTTGCTGGAGGTCCATAGTTCGGTGGGGGTGGAGGTGGGACGAGAGGGGTGGGGGTAGAGGTTAGTGAGGATGGCAGCGTGAAGGATGGCATAGCCCCAAAGAGAAGGTGGGCAGGAGGCGTGAACGAGAAGGCACCGAGCAGTTTTGGTGATCTCCCGAACGCGGCTCTCCGCCACACCATTCTGCTGAGGGGAGTGAGGGAGAGTGTAGGTGTGGAGGATGCCGTGAGAGGTGAAGTAGGAGGACAGGGTGCGGTTGAGGAACTCACCGCCTCCATCGGAATGGAAGCGGCGAACAGGGCGACCGAAGTGGTTGCGTGCTTGTTCAGCCCAGGCTGTGATGGCAGCCGGGGCCTCCGCCTTCGTACGAAGGAGGGTGACGGAGGAGTATCGACTGTGATCATCCACCAGGATGAGGAGGTAGCGATGTCCTTGTCTGGTGGGGGAGGGGTTGGGGCCCCAAAGGTCCATGTGGACGAGGTCAAGGGGTTGGAGGGAAAAGGAAGGGGTTACTCGTATGTGGTTGTTGCTTCAGCTTGCTTTCAACACAAACTGAGCAAGGAGGGGAGGGGGAAGGAGGGAGGGGGGGAAGGGTAAGGGGGAGGCCGTCAAGGAGTTTAGTGAGGATGGATCGGCGAAGGGTGGCAAAGTTGGGATGGCCAAGGCGATGGTGGAGGAGAATGGTGGGGTGTGTGAGATCACGACAGTGACAGGGGGAGGGTGGGTTAGATGCGGGGGGAGGGGAAGGGGCGGGGGAAGGAAGAGGTTGAGGGGAAGGGGGAGGGGGAGAGGTAGGGGGAGGGGGAGGGGGGGGGGGGAGGGGGAGGGGGAGGGGTAGGGGGGAGTTCGAGAGGAGGGGAAGGGGCGGGGGGATGGGGTGTGGAGAGTTGGTGAAGGGTGGGACAGGGGATGCGGAAGGTGTACATGTGGGTGGAGGGGCACCCATGGACACGGCAGAGGAAGCGACCGGAGGAGGTGTGAAATAAGTCGCAATATGCTTTGTGACCAGGGAATATGGCGGTGACACCTGAGTCGGAGAGGGCACCAAGGGATACCAAGTTGTTCCGAAGGGAGGGGATATAGAGACCTGTGACAGTACCTGAGGGAAAGAGGGGACAGGGGAGTGTGGAGGTGTAACGGCTTTGTATCGCAAAGCTGGAGTCAGCCCCAAGTATTGTGGAGGGGGTGGAGAGGGGGAGGAGCGTGCCTGCGTCACGAAGGACCGTGTGCGTGGCTCCGCTATCAAGGATGAACTCAAGGGGCTTTGAGGAGGAGGGGGACTCGGAGTACTGGAATGAGGACTCATTAATAGCATTGGCATACAGACGATCATTGCAAGAGCTAGCAGTGGTGACATGACCTATGAAACCCGTGGAAGGAAACGGTGTAAAGCCGGGGGGGTGAGAGGGGGAGGTGGGTAGTTCAGCAGGTGCAGCAGTTGCAGCAGTTGCAGCTGTCCCATGGCCATACAGAGATGGGGGGTAGGGAGGGTAGGGCCAGCCAGCATAAGGAGGAGGATAAGGGGAGAGAGGAGGATAGGGGGAGGGAGGGGTTTGAGGTGCGAGGGTGGGTGTGGTGAGGGTGGGAGGTGTTGGGGTGGTGGTGGGTGTGGGGAGGAGGTGTTGGACTTGCTGGAGGACGTGAGGGGAGAGGTGTTGGGCGAGGACATTATGGAGGTTGGGGGGAGATGGTGCATAGGCGGGAAGGGTGCGAATGTCATGAGGGGTGGGGCGAGGGGTGATGGTGCTCCAGCGTGGAGGAGGGCCCGTGTTGCCGCGTGCAAGCCATTCGTCGGTGAGAGCTTTGAAACACGTATCAGTGGGATGGGTGGTCTGGTTGCAGGTCTGACCTTTGTTAGGGCCTTGGCGAATGACATACTGGCACGGAGGGAGCCCACCCGTGGTTGAAGTGGTTGCCCCACGCCCGCCACGTTCCCTAGTGCGCCCTCCTCGTCCACCTCCGCGACCGCCTCCTCTTCCACCACCGCCCGAGCCACGTCCTGGTCCGCCCCCGCTGCTTCCGCCGGTGTTTGTTCCTTTGCGCGCGTGAACGGCATTGATGGAGGCAGATTCACGTAGAAGGTCAGCCTCACTGTCAATGAGCCAGTCGATGGTAACAGCCACAGGAGGAGGACGGATGTGCTGGGAGGTGAAATTGATGCGATAAGTGTCGTAGGTGGGTGGGAGGCAGTCAAGGATGCGCGCTGTGAGGAGGGTGTCGGAGATCAAGATGCCACGATCATTGAGACGTTGTGCAGTGTCTGTGAGGCGCCGAGCGAAGGAAGCAGCGTTGAGGGAGGAGTCCAGTGTGATGTCTTGGAAGGTGCGAAAGAGGGAGAGGAGGGAACGTAAGTCCTGGCGATCATATTGGGAGGAGAGAGACTTCCAGAGGGAGGGGGAGGATGGGGGGCGAAGGTCACGCTTGAGAGAGGAGGGAACGCATGAGAAGATAGTAAGTGCACGGCGGTCAGCAATGCGCCATGCAGCTGTATCGGAGTGGTGCTTACGGAGCTTAGCAGAGTACTCTTCGGAGGCGGCTTTGAATTCTGCAAGTTTTGCAGCGGCAGCTTCGTGATCGGCGATGGCAGCTGCGTGTGCTCTGCTTTTGATGACATAGTCGTCCCGCTCCTTGTTGTATTTGTTGAGCGTGCGAGCCCACCTGTCCGGATCATCCTCCCAAGCCCCTAGGATAGGGGCTTGGCGGGCAGGTTCGGTCGGGAGTGGTGGGGCGTCGGGGGGGGAGGAGCCTGGGAGTGGGGGCGGAGTGGGGGGGAGGCCATTAGGTGTTTCGAGGACAACATCTAGGAGACAGTAATCTCCCACTCGAACGGAGCCCAGGTACGTGAAGAGGCTCTCCTCAAACGACACCCAATTGACGGCGGTGGTGCCGTTGAGGAGCTCGAGCTTGTCGATGGAGGCAAGCTCAAGCGAGGTTGATTCGTCGGCCATGAGAGGAGGAGGGAGGGAGGGGAGGTGGACGACACCATCTTGAGGGACAGGGCGGTCCGGCTGTTCCACGGGCGGTAGCAGTAAACCCTAATTCAGGGTCCGTCGCGGCTGGTGGGCGTCTCCGCGGCGTCCACGGCATCCGCAGCTGGTGGGCGTCTCCGCGGCGTCCGCGGCTGACGGCCGCGTTCGTCGGGCCCGCGGCTGACGGCCGCGTTCGTCGCGTCCGCGGCTGACGGCCGCGTTCGTCGCGTCCGCGGCTGACGGCCGCGTTCGTCGCGTCCGCGGCTGACGGGCGCGTTTGTCGCGTCCGCGGCTGACGGGCGCGTTCGTCGCGTCCGCGGCTGACGGGCGCGTTCGTCGCGTCCGCGGCTGATGGGCGCGTTCGTCGCGTCCCCGGCTGACGGGCGCGTTCGTCGCGTCCGCGGCTGACGGGCGCGTTCGTCGCGTCCGCGGCTGATGGGCGCGTTCGTCGCGTCCGCGGCTGACGGGCGCGTTCGTCGCGTCCGCGGCTGACGGGCGCGTTCGTCGCGTCCGCGGCTGACGGGCGCGTTCGTCGCGGCGGGCGGACGTGGTGAGGAGAGGGGCGCCGAGATGGCGCGAGGGGCACGGCAGAGTCGGCGGGAGGTGCGCTGAGCGGCGCGAGGGGCACGGCTGAGCCGGCGGGAGGTGCGCTAAGTGGCGCAAGGGGCACGGCAGAGCCTGCGGGAGGTGCGCTGAGAGGCGCGAGGGGCACGGCTGAGCCGGCGGGAGGTGCGCTAAGTGGCGCAAGGGGCACGGCAGAGCCTGCAGGAGGTGCGCTGAGAGGCGCGAGGGGCACGGCTGAGCCGGCGGGAGGTGCGCTAAGTGGCGCAAGGGGCACGGCAGAGCCGGCGGGAGGTAGAGTATGGTCCTAGGATCTTGAGTGGTGTTAGCCGTAAGAGCTCTGACAACATGTGAGAATTGAACCGATAGGTTGATTAGGAATGATGAGGGCTTACATAGTTGGAGCTAAGGAAAAGAGGGGGTGGTTGGTACCTAGCCAACATTATTGCCCCCCACCAATAAGTTGGGTTGGAGAATTATTGGGGGGTCCCAATAATGTTGGTCAAAAGTGGGCCAACATTATTGGGGGGGCCAATAATCCTCCAACCCAACCTTGGTCCAATAATTGGGCCAAGGTTGGGTTCCAACCCCCATCTAGGGTTAACCCTAGTTATGCACCCAAACATTGTTTGGGTGCCTATCTCTATCCTAGGGTTTATAGGATCAATGCAGGATACAGAAGAGTAGTATAATCTAACATCCCTCCGCACGCACAGATGGTCACCCCCCTTCCTGGAACAGCGCGGGATGGAGAGCACGTCCTTCTTCTGCCCCACGAACATGCACCGAGTTAACACCTGCACCAGTCGCTGCCTGCCCTTAAGCATATCAGCCCAGCCCCTCAATGCCCATCTTGTTTTAGCCTATCAACCCACCTTCCTGTCACAGCGTGGAATGGAGAGCACGTCCTTCTTCTGCCCCAGGAACATGCACCGAGTCAACACCTGCACCAGTCGCTGCCTCCCCTCAGGCCTGCCTGCCTCGAATGGCTTCTGAACCGCCCGCTCCCACACGCCCTGCTGCCGGCCGTAGATGGGCTCGTGCAGGAAGGAGAGCAGCGGGAAGAGGTGGGCTACCTGAAAAAAAGGTGGAGGAAAGGGGGGTGGAGTGGAGGAGAAAAGCAGGGGAGAGGGGGGATGTGAGTGGCAAGAGGGGTAGGTACCCCAACCCAACCACACGCCCTGCAGCCGACCGTATATGGGCTCGTGCAGTAAAGAGAGCAGCGGGAAGAGGTGAGCAACCTGCAGGGATTGAGAGGCGGGGTGAAGGAGGGCAAGAGGAGGATGGGGAAAGAAAGGTGAGGCATGTGAAGAAAGGGTTGATATTTCCCCACACGTCCTGCTGCCGTCCGTAAATGGTTAAGACGGGAGTGCTTGGGTGGGAAGTGGTGGGGAGTGGCGGAGAGTGGTGGGAGTAGTCGGAGCAGCAAGAGGAGCGACTAGCCTGGCTGGTCGGGGTGCTGGGGGTAGGTGTGCCTGTGAGAATCCATCTCCTTGCAGCTCTCAAAGCCACAGCCATGCGCAGCTTGTTCGTGGCTGCCAGGCTGGCACCCAGCGTGTGCCCCTCGTCCAGAATCACTCTCAGCCAATGGATGCGCAGCAGCGGGGACGCGATCCGACGGCTCTCCTTCACTCCCAGCCGGACCCGCTTCCTCGCCGCCCGCTGAGGCCACCGACCTCCGTCCTGCCATCCATGAGACGGCCATCCGGGTGGCTCTGCTTGTCTGCATCCGGGAGTGCGTCCCCTTAGAGAACCCAACTGGTGGGTGATGTTTGTCTGATCTGCTTGTCCCTCCCACCTTCTTTTGACCCCCCTCCTACTCCGATCTCCCAATCTAGCTCCTCCAGCTCTCTGCATCATTTCTCCCTCCGTTGCTTTCTTATCTTGTTCCGCACGTTCCCTTGTCCCTGCACCCTCCTCTCCTTCCTCTTCCTTCCCTAGGTCCTCCTCACCCTCTTCCTCCTCTCCCTCCTCCTCCTCGTCCTCTGTATTACACCACATACGCTCACTCCCAAACCCCTCACTCTCACTCGCCCAATCCCCCTCCTCCCCCCTCCATCCCATCTCTCCATCCTCCCCTCCCCCCCACTCCACACTCAGCCTGCTAAACGTGGTTACCACCACATCATAATCCCACGCCAAGCTGTGGACAGCTGGCGCCTTCTGATTGGCCCCGTCATACACAAACACGCGCAGAGCCCCCGGTGCCGCGTGGCGGGAGATCTGCGTCAGCCAATGGCTGACGAGCGTGGTGGGGACCACAATCAGAGTAGCAGACGAGACGAAATGGTAATCCCTTGGTGCCACGTCAGCACTACTAGCAGCAGCAGCAGCAGCAGCAGCAGCACTATCGCTGCTACCACAGGTAACAGTGCTAACTGTAAACATATCCCCCTTTCGCCTTACCCCACCTCCCTGCTCTTTCTGCTTTCTCTGCCGTTTCTCTCCCCCCTGCACCTCCTTCCCTACCTGCCCTCTCTGCCCTCCCGGCCCTCCCTGCCCCTCAAAAATCGCGAGAGCGTGGCGGAAGGAAGAAAAGTCAAAGGTGAGGTGGGGCGAGAGGGAGGGAGGCAGCACCCACGACCCTCCAGACGCACCACGCGCACTCTGGTAGGGGCTGGCCCTTTGCCTGCCTCGCCTGCCTCTCCCTCCTGTGCCTCCTGCTCCTGCCGCTCCCACCGCTCCTCCTGTTCCGCCTGCTCTTCCTCCTCCTTCTCCTCCTCCTCCCTCAACATCATCAGCAGCAACAGCGCCATCGACATCAAGAATCGGATCCCCAGCAGCAGCGCTTGCAATTGGTACAGCATCAGAGACATGAGACTTTTGAGGCGCCTCAATTGGTACAGCATCAGAGACATGAGACTTTTGAGGCGCCTCAATTGGTACAGCATCAGAGACATGAGACTTTTGAGGCGCCTCAATTGGTACAGCATCAGAGACATGAGACTTTTGAGGCGCCTCAATTGGCACAGCATCAGAGACATGAGACTTTTGAGGCGCCTCAATTGGTACAGCATCAGAGACATGAGACTTTTGAGGCGCCTCAATTGGTACAGCATCAGAGACATGAGACTTTTGAGGCGCCTCAATTGGTACAGCATCAGAGACATGACACGAGTTTCCCCGGGTGTTGTCTCGCACACCGCCCACACCCACACCGCCAAGACAGCCACCAGCAGCAGCAGCGCTTGCCCTTGTCGTTGGCATTACAGCACCAGAGACATGAGACGAGTTCCCACCAGTGCTGTCACTCACACCGCCAAGACTACCAGTCAACATCTGCAGGCCAGACAGTGCATTAAAGCCCGAGAGCACATCCAGCCCTGTCAGCCCAGAGCCTGTCTCTGCTGTCACTCCTGCCTCTGCTGTCACTGCTGCTGCACCACTACCTCCTCCTCGTCCTCCTCCACCTCCTCTTCCTCCTCCACCTCCCCCCCTTACTCGTGGCCCATTTCCTCCTCCTCCTGCTCCTCTGCTGCCGCCACTGACTCTCCTCCCTCCTCCTCCATTTCCACCCCCTCGCACTCGTCCTCCCCTTGCTGTGTGTCCAGGTGTGTGGGCCGAGGCAGGCAGCCACACAAGCCCGAGGGAGGCGAGCAGGTGTGAGCAGCACTCACTACGCCCCACACACCCCGGGGGAACCAGCCCTTTTCTTCTCACATCCCTCCCTTCCTCTGCTTCACTGCCCTTGCGGCTGCTGCCACCACCCCTGTTGACCTTTTCTGCTCGTCTCCCTCCTCCCCTCTCGACTTTTCTCCCTCTTCCTCCCGCCACTCCTCTCCCTCGTCCTTTGTCTGCTCCTCCAATATCCTCCTCCCCAGCCCCACCAGTATCAGCAACCAGCCTCGCTGCTTCTCCAGGACCAATCCGAGCAAGCCACCTCACCCCTTGCTCCACGTCACTCCACTCCAACTCCGACTCAGCCCGCCGAAAGCCGCCCTTGATCCTCTCCACGAATAGTGAAACATTTGTGGGCAGCCCGCCGTCAAAAGCTTCCTCAACCGGGCAGAATCCAGGCAACGAGGAAATGTCTGAGTCAGCACTAGCAGATTCCTCTGGGTTGGCGCAAACCCGCCGGGCAGGGTCAGGGTTTAACCCACAGAACCACAACTGGTCGTCCGGATAGGTGTAGCTCCCGGGAACCTTCCTCCACTTGCCACACTCGTCGCAGGAGAGCCATTTCTCCACAGTCTCGCCGTCTGTCTCACACTGCCGCTCGCAGACTGCCTTTTGAGTCGGCTCAATAGCCTTCTTCACACCCTCGCCGTCTGACTCACACTGCCCCTCGCTGCTCATCTTAGCCACCTTTCCAGTCACATGCTGCCTCCCTGCTTCTTGATCGCCCTTTACAGTCACGCCCTGCCAGTCTGCTTCTTGTTCATCCTTTACAGTCACATGCTGCCAGCCTGTGTCTTGCCCATCCGCCTCTGCCCTTTGTCCTCCCTCCTCCTCCACCATCATCCCCCTGCCCTCCTCCTTCCCCCTCTTGCCCCGTACCCCTAACCCGCAGCTCCGTGTTACCACTCCCACATTCTTCTCGTTAACCCTCATTCCCTTTTCTGATTCTTTCCGCCCGTTTTCCCCTTGGTCCATGCCCCCAATCTCCTTCTCCACCTTCTCCCCCTTGTCCACTTCCCTACAATCCCCCTTATTCTCTTGCCCTTTCTCCCCATCAACCACAACCTTACAATCCCCCTTATCCCCTTCCTTCACCATTTCTGCGTCCTCCACCCGAACCTCTAGTCCACACACACGCACCGCTGCCGCCCCGCGCTTGGGCATCCCACCCTCTAGCACCACTTCTAGCACCTTGCTTGATTGAGAAGCCTCAACAATCTTCTCTCCACGAGCACGCACTGCTGTGCGCCTGCGTTTGGGTGTCCCGCCCCCAAGAACCGTTTCAGCCACTCTATCTGCATCGCTTGAAACATGCCCCAAACTCCCTGCATGCACCATTCCTGCTGCACCCACTGCTGCACTCTTCAACCCCTCACCGCATTCCGAACCCCTGCCCTTCACATCTATTCTTCTGCTGCTCCTTCTGCGATCATCAATCACAGCTTCCTTTACCTTCCCTGCAGCTGCCCCCCTCGCCCTGATCCTGTGTTTGCCACTCACGGCCTCTTTGCCACTCACTAGTTCCCCTAGGCTCTTGTACTTGCATGCTCTAAAGCAGGTGAACAGGCAGCGTTTAGTAGTACACATGCCAGCACCATCAGCAGCAGCATCTGCACCATCAGCAGCAGCATCAGCAGCATCAGAAACACACAAGCGGCCACCCATATTGGACAAGACACTCCCATCCTTTTCATCACCCTGCTTCTGCCACCCCTGCTGCTGCTGCTGCTGCTGCTGCTGCCGCTGCTGCTGCGTTTGTTGTGAATCTCTTGGGGGAGGGTAAAGAATACGTACACACCCTTGGGAAGAACGGGAATGAGCAGACGAGGGAGTGATCCGTGCAGAGGAACGAGAGGCCCTTCTGGAGAGACGAGAGGCCGGTGTTGAGTCCTTGGCACGAGCAGAAGAGCCAACTCGCCTGTCACTGCCCGCACTAGAAGGCACCCAATCATCATCCTCCCTCTCACCACTCCCTCTCTCCTCCTCCTCCTCCTCCTCCTCCTCTGACTCTTCCTCCTCTTCTTCCCAGCGCCTCCTGCTGTCCTGGAACCTCACCCCATCTTCATTTTCACCGTCTTCCTTACCCTTTTCTTTACCTTCCTCCTTACCCTCCTCTTTACCCTCTGAGTGACCGTTCCCCCACCCAAAAAAATCATCACCAGCAGCACACTCACCATTCCTTCTGCCACCTCCAACATGGTGCCTTCTTTTCCTTCTCCTCCCAGCCTCCTCCTCCTCTCCATCGCCACCACCCTTGCCTGCATCATCACTCCAAGAAACATCTACTGCCTGCCTCCCATCCTCTTTGCCTGCCTCGATGCTGTTCTTCCTAGCCTGAGTGCCTGTCACAAGAGTCCCATCATCAGCAACCCCAGGGGTGTCAGCAGCACAAATCCCTGATCTCCGATTCCCCTGCACACCACTCTGGACCACTCTCCATCCCAGCACAGCTCCCACGTCCATCTGACTCTTGAAATTCGGCGCTTGCAAGGCAAGCACCATTGCAATTGGATCCTTTCCCCATCGGCTCATTGCACTCTTTGATGCCTCCACTGCTGTCTCCCGTGCCGCCCCCTCAGATACCTCCTTTGCTGCACTGCCCCTCCTGCCAGCACTCCATCTGGGTCTCCTCGACCCCTTCCCTCCGCACTTCACTCCCCTGCTCTTCTCCTCTCCCTCACTCTTGAACTCTCCCTCACTCTTCTCCTCTCCCTTGGTCTCTAGCTCTCCCTCGCTCTTTCCCTCTGCCCTAAGCTTCATCCCTCCCTGGCCCTTTTTCTCTCCCTCGTGCTTCTCTCCTCCCTCACTCCTCTCCCTTCCCTCACCCGTCTCACGTCGCCCGCCCTTCGCCCTACTCCCAGCAGTCTCCTCCCCTCCCTCTGCCCCACCTCTCAAATCTGTCCCATCTTTCAACTCTGCCCCGCCACCCCCCCCTTTCACCACACTGCCCCCAGTTAACAGCTCCTCTGTCATCCCACTCCCACCTCCCTGCACCGCATCACACCTGTTGCCACTCCCTTGCACCACACTTAACACATTCCTATGAGCCTCCTTCTCCTCTAAACCGCACTCTATCATCCCCTTCTCCCCCCTAATCTCATCCACGCCATCCTGCCCTCCCCCAATCGCATTGCCATGCCACGCCTGTTTCACCCGCGCCCCCCCACCCTCCCACTCCTTCCCTTTCCTTGCCTCTCCAGGTAGAAGCTTCTCGTAATACCCCAGCAACCCTCCTTTCCACACCCCTCCTCCTCCTCTTCCTCCTCTCCACCCGTCCACCCCATTCTCTCCCATCCTCCCACAAACCACCAGGCGGCAACCCCTAGGCACAGCAGGCAGCAACCCCTTAGTCTTAAGAATCAGCGCCAAGGCAGTCACAGTCTTACCCAGCCCAGGCTCGTCACAAAACAGACCTCCCCGCACGTCCGGCACCATGCCGAACCTGTCCCTTAGGTCTGGCACCATGCTTAATCTGCTGGGCTCTAAGTTTGCCGAGCCTGAACATCCCGGAGCCTCCTTTTCTTTCTTCTCGCCCTCTTGCAGACTTATGCTTTCGTGCTGCTCACCTTTGCTTTCCTCTGCTTCCCACTCTCTGCTTTTTCTCTTCCCCCTTCCACTTCTCCTCTCGTTGCTCCATAGGAACCTCACCCCCCCTGTAATCACATCACACAGCATCACCCTCCCCTCACTCCCTCCATTCCTCTGCCCATTCCCCTTCACACTCCTCACTCCACTACCACCACACTCACTCCCCTCCTCGCTCATCCTCAACACACTCACTAACGGGCTCCGAACAAAACCCTGCGGGACCCCTCCCCTCCTCTCTCTCCCCCTTTCCCTCCCCACGACCCCCCTCTCTCTCCCCATCATCCACTGTAGAGCCGACCGCTGATGTGGAAAGAGGGAGAGGTGCGGCAGGCTGGGTACAGCTGGCAGTGCAAGCTGGCGCAGGCGTGTACACGTGGCAGCAGCAGAGCGGAGGTCGGTGGGGGAGAGGCGGGAGAGGGAGAGGAGGAGGAGGTCGGGGGGGAGAGAGAGGAGGGGGGAGGGAGGGGCGGAGGAGGAAGGGGGTGCTGGAGGGGGGTCTCTGAGAGGGGGGAAGGCATGGAGGGGTATGGAGGGGCATAGATAGGTGGGAGAATTTGGTTGAAGAGAGGGTTTAAGGTTTAAGGTGACAATCCAAGGACACCTAGCCAGCCATATAGGCAGCACCTAAGTGCAGGAAACGATGAACGGAACATTAGAGTGGGGAGAGGCAGAGGGCGGGGGTGTGGGGGGGGGGGGGGGGGAGGGGGGGGTGGGGGTTTGGAGGGACAGAAAGCAGTTTACTTACGGGTAGATTGTCGGGGCGTCGAACCGGTTGGGCAGCGAGCGAAATATTCTAGACAGGCTGAAGTCAGAGGAGTCGCTTGGAGGAGGTGTGACTGTATGCGGTGTGGCATCGGCTGGTGTGACTTTAGCTGGTGTGACTGCAGGCGGTGTGACTGTAGAGGAGGCTTCTTCTGCTGGTGAGCGGAGAAACGAGGAGGAGCAGTTCAGAAAGCCATGGAGGGTGCAACCATGCACATCACAGGCAGGCAGACTGGGAGGAGGAGATGTCCCCAGCACACCCATACCCGTGCCCACCACACCCACACCCCCCACACCCATACCTACACCACAATCGCACATCTGACACCTAGACGCACATGTAACACGCTGCGTGCTACAAGGCTGGTGACACGGATGCATGGGCCAATCAGAGCGGAGGTGGGAGAGAACAGCGGCAGTGGCAGCCCCTCCCTTCCATCTAGCAGGCAGGTACCAGAGGTCCTTGTGCACGTACACATCCACTAACACTTGCATCACCACCACCACCATGCCTGGCACTGCCTCCCCTGCACCCCCCTTGCCTCCCTGCCCCCTTTCCGCTTCCTCTCTTCCATTCTCCCGTCCTCCTTCTCCTCCTCCTGTGTCCACCGTTTTCCCTTCTTTAGTCCCTGCTGAACTTGAACTTTGCTGGGTTGACTTTTGCTCCCGTTCAGGTGTTTTGTCGGGTGGGAAGTGGTGGAAGGAACTAGAAGGCATGGCATGGCAACAGATCACCTGGGCTTTCACCTGAACAGGGTTCCGGGCAACAAACTCGTTAACACACGCCCAGACACTCTCTGACCCTCCACCTCCTCCCCCTCCTCGTCCCCCTCTCCCTCCTCCGCCTCCTCGTTCCACTGCTTCCCTCCGCTTTCCTCCCGAGCCCCCTCCTTTGCCAGGCCTTTTTCTCGGAAGGTTCTGGCCTCTGCCTGTGACACACTTGCTGCTGCTCCCATGCTCCGATTGAAGGCACGAATCACCAGCAGCACCAGCGGCAGCACCAGCACCACCAGCAGAAGCAATACCGGTACCAGGGGTGGTAGAATCAGCATCCAAATCGTCATCGCTGACAGCTTCCACGTCTACACGGGTCATGTCCACGTCAGCATGGTCCGCGGCTTTCTCAGCTCCGCTTCTTCCGTCCTGTAACGAATTCTCATCGTTCACTGTACAATTTACCGCAGCGTTACGCATAAGGGAAAGCGTTACATCCAGTGGTCTAAAACCTAATATGCTAATATTAAGGTCTGCATCACTTATACTATCCATATACCGGCCACGGCACATTGTCTCAAACCCTAATTCTTGTTCCTTCCTCTCCTGACCTTCCCAAACCAGGTTTAACCTCGTTTCGTTACCCCTTCCCGTGACTTCCACCTCCCTGCCAATCAATGACGCCGTGACACGTGTCCAGTCCACATGTCCAGATTCCGGAGGAGTAGAGCTCGCCTTGTCAGTGGCTTGGCCAATGAGAGAGGCCGATGGCTGAAGGGTGTTACAACCCGCGCTGCGGGCATGGTTACTTTTAGCTGTCGCGTCAGCGCGCACAGCTATTCGGTCCGACTCGGCAATACCGAGGAAAGAGCTACAACAGGTCGTGCCACGTTTGGATGAACCGTCAGCACCGAGTGCTTCGATGACTTTTTCTGCGACAGTTTCAGCAGGAAGGTGCGGAGTGCTAGCAAAAGGCGGAACTATGGCTGCAGCGGAGGCGACGAAGTAGCCAGCGTGCTCATGCCCGTACATCTGGAACTGCATTAGCTGGCCGTTTTGAACCCTCGCCGATTCCATCGCGGCTATCATACGTGCTAACTGCTGGCAGACTCTCTATCTAAATTCCAACGGAAGATGGTACTCAAGTGGAGCTGATTTTGCGGAATGCGAACGTCCTCCTCGTACATAAGCGGAAGCCGCGGGCGAAGTGGTTTTGGAATCTTGGCAGGCGTACACTCTATTCAGTTGCTGTGAGTAAAGTCTATAAGGTGAATAAGAGTCCGAATTCTATATTTAATGGTTATAATACAAAGGATGTACAAATCCACAATTGTCGTACATGAGAGTAAATGCAGGAAGATAATAAAATGGCTCCCTTTTTTTCCTCACACGGATAATGAAAACACGGAAGGATCCGCACATGTGCAAAAATTGCAGCATGCGCTCTTCATTCGCGAGCGCCGATGACCGATGATGCTCGCAGCCATCCCACGCCCTTGCTGGCTTGGTAATTGGCCCAGAGAAGCGCAGCAAAGTGACCCGGCGGAAGAAAAACGCCCAGAACAAGCGCTTCCAGCCCCAAAATGTGGAAGGATCCGCACATATGCAGGAAGTGCAGCGGGCGCTCATCATTCGCGAGCGCCGATGACCGATGATGCTTGTTGTCAAAACATATGCATATTAGTATCTAGGCTATATTAGGGCTAGCCTTAGGGGGTACACAAACATTCTCGACACTCTAGTCTTGTACCCCAACCTTGATCTAATCACACACAACTTCACGCCTAAGATTATAAGATGGTATCTAGAGCCTAGAGGTCTCTAGGACCTAAGATAAGGGCCCACCGTTACCACGTTACCTTACCTGCCTTGCCTGCTACCCGCGCGCGCCTCGGCTGCACGCGCGCGGCCTTTTTTTTTTTTCCCCGCGCACGCCGCTTGAGCAGCCCGCGCGCTCTTCGTTTAGGCCCGTTCTCGGCCCCGCGCGCCACGTCAGCCGCCCGCGCAGCCTCTCGCCGGCCCGCGCGTCACGTAAGCCGCCCGCGCACAACCCGCTTAGGCCCTGCGCGCTGCGTCCGCCGCCCGCGTAGCCCGTTTTCGGCCCCGCGCGCTACGTCAGCCGCCCGCGCAGCCTGCCGCCGACCCCACGTGTCACCTTCTCCGGTGACGACGCGCTGCCCCACCGTCGCCCGTTACGGCACCTGTGGGACCCACGCGCTGCCCTGCACCAGCTACGCCGCCCCTGGTGCAGCCGCCCCTGGACCCTCGAGCAGCCGCCCCTGGACCCAGAGCAGCCGCCCCTGGCCCCTGAAGCAACCGCCCCTGGTGCAGCCGCCCCTGGTGCAGCCGCCCCTGGACCCTCGAGCAGCCGCCCCTGGACCCTCGAGCAGCCGCCCCTGGACCCAGAGCAGCCGCCCCTGGCTCCCGAAGCAGCCGCCCCTGGTGCAGCCGCCCCTGGACCCTCGAGCAGCCGCCCCTGGACCCAGAGCAGCCGCCCCTGGCCCCTAAAGCAGCCGACCCTGGTGCAGCCGCCCCTGGACCCTCGAGCAGCCGCCCTTGGAACCAGAGCAGCCGCCCCTGGCCCCTGAAGCAGCCGCCCCTGGTGCAGCCGCCCCTGGACCCTCGAGCAGCCACCCCTGGACCCAGAGCAGCCGCCCCTGGCCCCTGCAGCAGCCGCCCCTGGACCCCGAGCAGCCGCCCCGGGCCCCTGAAGCAGCCGCCCCTGGTGCAGCCGCCCCTGGACTCCGTGCAGCTGCCCCTGGACCCCGCGACGCCGCCCCTGGACCCGCGACGCCGCCCCTGGTCCCTGTGCAGCCGCCCGCCGAGCGCCGGCCCTGCTCGCCCGGCGAGCGCCTGCCCTTCCCGCCTGGTGAGCACCTGCCTTGTTAGCGCGCTGCAGCGCCATCTGCTTGCCTCCCTGCCTGCCAGCCTGCCTGCCTGCCTGCCTGTCTGCCTGCCTGCCTGCCTACCTGCCAGCCTGCCTGCCTGCCTGCCTGTCTGCCTGCCTGCCTGCCTGCCGCGCCTGCCCTGCCCGCGCTGCTACTGCTGCTCCTTTTGTTACTACTGCTAGGCTATTGCTACTACTACTGCTGCTACTGGCGGTGGCCAGATGCAGCTCCAACGACATCCACGCGAGTCTCTCCCGCCCCAGCAGCTTCGTGAGTGGTACGCTAATTGGGGTTGTGGCAGTAGCCGTCGTAGCTGTCGCCCTGGAGCTGGTCAGTTGGGAGCGTCTGGCAGTGGCTAGCTGCAGCTGCAGCGGCGTCCACGCGAGGCACTTACTTCCCAGCAGCTTCACGAGTGGTACGCTTAGAGTAGAGGGTCTTTGAGTCCCGTTCGCTGCCCGTACGTCATTCGCACAGGTGATCGGGGTGGTCAGCCTTGCGGGACACCTGGTCACACACAGTCCCGCTGCTTCGCCCGTCTGAGCGACGCCTGGTGTACCGAGTTTGGCGACGAGGCTGAGCTCCCCACCTAGCTAGAGCTGCTTAGGCAGAGGGTAGATGTATTTGCTCTTGACTATGATGCTATTCTCACTGCCATGTATGCATTGCCTACTAGTGCTGACGGTGCCTGTTACGTGTGCGTACCGCCTGACCCAGGTATAGAGCCTGCTTCTCTAGGTGCTGGTGAGGCTGCTGCCCTAGGTGCTGGTGAGGCTTCTGCTCCAGGTGCTGGTGAGTCTGCTCTCTCTGGTACTGCGCCTGCTGAGGCCTTTTACACCTTCACACTTGAATTTGGTGCTTCTCGCTCCTTCTTTCGCGACAGCACCACCCTCACGCCGCTCAGTCGGCCGGTTGCAGTCTCTCTGGCAGACCCCTCTGGGGGTCCAGTCCGTGTGACCTCCACCACTGTCCTCCCTTGTCCTGCTGTCCCGTCCGGCACACTGTCGGGTCTTTACCTCCCCTCGTTCTCTATGAACTTGGTGGCGAGTTCTGCGCTCCAGGACGCAGGTGTTCACCAGTTCACCCCTGCCTACGAGCGTGTGACACACTGCACGTGTGCTCAGACGGGTCGTCACCTGGCTACCTTCACTCGGCAGCCGGGGTCGGGCTTGTACACACTGACCACTAAGTCCCCTCAGGTAGCTGCGTCTGCGTCTGCGTCAGGTCAGTTGTCGGCCCCCTGCTCGTGTCGCGCCTTGTTGCACCAGACCCTCCTTTGGCACCATCGCCTTGGTCACCCCTCGGTGCAGCGCCTTCGCAGCATGAACCGTCGTGTCCTTGTCTCTGGTCTTCCCAGGGTTCTCCCTCCCCTCCCACCCTCGCATGCTCCTCCCTGTCTTCCCTGTGTCGAGGGGCGGCAGCGCGCCGCTCCTCACTCCTCCTCATTCCCTCCCACAGAGGCTCCCCTGCAGACTCTCCACCTGGACGTGTGGGGCCCAGCCTGCGTCCGTGGACCGGGCCACGAGCGGTACTTCCTGCTGGTCGTCGACGACTACACGCGTTACACCACGGTCTTCCCCTTGCGCACCAAGGGTGAGGTCCCTGATGTTTTGATCCCTTGGATCCGCGCTGCTCGTCTCCAGCTTAGGGAGCGGTTCGGGACGGAGTTTCCCGTCCTGCGTCTGCGCTCTGACAGAGGTGGGGAGTTTTCCTCCAACCTCTTGGCAGCCTTCTGTGCGGAGCACGGCATCCGCCAGACGTTCACGCTTCCGGCCTCTCCGCAACAGAATGGGGTTGCTGAGCGCCACATTGGCTTAGTCATGGAGGTCGCTCGTACCTCCATGATCCATGCGGCTGCCCCCCATTTTCTGTGGCCGTTTACGGTCCGGTACGCCGCGCATCAGCTCAACCTCTGGCTCCGTGTCTCCTTGGCGGAGACCTCGCCCACACTGCTGTGGACGGGGAAGGTTGGCGATGCGTCGCGTTTCCGGGTCTGGGGTGCTCGTACCTTTGTCCGCGATTCGTCTGCGGACAAGCTCTCCGCCCGCGCTGTTCCTTGTGTCTTCCTTGGCTTTGTCTCTGACGCGCCCGGTTGGCAGTTTTACCACCCCACCTCGCGCCGTGTCTTCCCCTCTCAGGACGTCACGTTCGACGAGTCGGTTCCCTTTTACCGTCTCTTCCCCTACCGCACTGCCCCTCTCCCCCCCCCGCCGCTCTTCCTCGCTCTAGGTGCTCCCCATGTAGACCCCCTCCCCACTCTCGGTCCTGCTCCTTCAGGTGTGTCTCAGGTAGACCCTCCTCCCTTGCCTGCGCCGGTTGAGGTCACTGGTGACTCAGGTCCTGCTCGGGGTGCTGCTTCTGGGGGTGCTGAGCCTGGGGGTGCGGAGCCTGGGGGTGCTGAGCCTGGGGGTACTGAGTATGGGCGTGCTGCACCTGGGGGCGCTGAGGCGTTTGGTGAGCAGTCTCCCTGGGGCGGTCGTCTCTGTAGTGGCTCCGCTGGTACGTCGCCGCTGCACTCTCGTCGTCGACTCCCTCTCTCCCCATAGCAGCTGCGTGAGTGGTACGCTGACCGTCAGGGTCGCGCTGCTGGAGCTA